ATATTTTAGCTAAAAAAATTAAAATTAAAATTTCAATAAATTAATTAATTTACTTATTCATATGATTGACTTACTGAGAAAAAGACTATTATACCAACTTTTTTGCTTAAAAAATATTTGTGATTTGTGGATTATTTAATGGAAAAAAGCGGAAAAGATATATTTTTCACCAACGCAATTAACAAAAATTTTAACTTCTACGTTCAGATTTTTTAAATTACTTTATAGCACAAAGCGTTAAAGGACCTTAATTTATTAAGGATACTTTAAAGCGTTTATATTTTCATCAAAAGAAACCGACGAATGGACTGAAAAAAATCGTCCCACATAGCGTCGGTTGTGAACAACTCAACGAATTAATTAGAGGGTCCATATCAGACAGACGCACACCTTTCCGCTTTGAAATGAAAGCCCGCATTTGCTTCTAATTAATCGCCTCTCTCGCGCAGGAAGAACGGCATTCCATCGAGGCAGGTCGCCGGAACAAATCGAGTATTTATTTTGTCAAGATCAAAACATTATTATTCGGATTCAGCCGAGGTGCTGGAATTATTAATAATGCAAGTGAGTGTGTGTGTCGAAATGAATCTCGAGGCGTTTACCGCTAGTTCGGTTGGTACGGCGCGCATCTTGAGAGAGGGAGTTGTGGTCCAGCGCTGAGGCTGCGAGCAGCGAGAGGTGAAGGCCCCCAGACAGGTCTTTGACATTGCATTGTTGTCCTAGCACCTAGACCTGCCCGCCGCCGCTCTTTCGCCACTTGCATTCCTCACGACTTTGTGCTCTCCCAACAACAAAAGACCACCTTTTTCAGCTCGCCTCTTATTTGAATTTTGTCGGCCGACCTTGTCCGTGCGAAGACCCCCAAATGCACTCTGGCAAAGAAAAGCGAGGGGGCGCCGCAAGATCAAAACCGCAACCCTCGTCGCAAAAGCCACAGCCTCCGAGCAGGAGAAAAGAACTTTGTCAATGCACAGATGAAAATTAATTTTTTTTTATAAAAATGTCTGACAAATTATTTAATCTACTTTAAATTTTGTTTGATAGTGTATGAGGTATGCATTACCGGCACAAAGTTAAGAAAAATGTGGGAATATCACATTACATTTTTTTTTTTTTAAATCGCTTTAATGTATTAATTTTCAAATTTAAAATAAAAGTCTCCAATATAGACCACCCGCGGGACTCGGGTTTAGTTTTAGTACTAATATCTAATTCTTCCATCACTTCACTCATCTTTATATAATAAAATTGCAAACAAATATAATAAAATAAAACATTTTTTAAATTACAAATAAAATTAAAATACTTATATATAAGCTCTAACGTAAAAAGTAATAAAAAAAATAAAATTTACATAATTTTAAAATCTTACGTTTTATAATTTTTGTATCCTTTGTTATTTAATTTGTTGTAAGTTTTATAAAAACTAATAATATAATTGGGATTAATACTAAATTTAAGTTAATAGATAGCGTACTTAAAACGGCGACATTAAAAACCCAAACCTAGCATTTCTTTTTTATTACCTTTGAACCGAAATTGTGATCAATTGGAGCATCTCACGTTCTCTTATACATCTTCCGCCTCGCGGCCCGATTGCATAATAAAATTGGTCCTGATTTACGACCTGAGATGAAAATAATATAATGAAACTGAATCGGCGGCAGGTCGGTGACCGCGGCTCGCGTTTTATTCTAGATGGGCGACCACTCTTGATTTCTGTCTCTCACCTCGGGGCTGAAATTTATTGCACGCCGTTTGTACCGTTCTGCGCCAATAATTGGAGGAGGAGCTCCGTTCTTTGTAGTGAGTGATGATAATGAGAATGGATCGAGAGAAGAATCAACTTTTCCTTATTGCCCGTACGAGCGAAAATTGCACGTGAATCGTTTTATGAGAGCACGTTAGGAATTCTTTCTTCTGTTTACTCTGCAGCGATGCACACGCCCGAGTTCAAAGAAGAAAAAAATCGGAGGTCAGAAACAATAATAAATAATTCCAAGCCCTCACTTCGTATCGAAATTGAACTTCATTGAACTTAACTTATCCTTCACGTTTTTTTAATTAACTGCTTTAAATTAATTTGACAAAAATTATAATAATAGTTATAGCAGTAAAAGGAATTTATTTGAGATTTGAAGTAGAAAAATATTTATATTCGATTATTTATAAAATAAACTAGAAAAAGCAAATCATCGTTTATTTGATTAGAAGAAATAGTAATGCAATGGTTGTAAACTATATTAAATTGATCGAGTTATTTCTATTTTCTCCAAACAATCAGTTCTTTCAAAAAGAAAAACTTTCTAACTATAAGCAAATTTAAAAACAAATTAAAAAGAAATTCTTTAAAAGAAAAATCTACTGTAACATACATTTATCTTCCGATCTTCCGCAAAACGGCATTCGCTCTCTTTTTCCATTCCCTCTAACGCTTCTTATGCCTCTCATCCTTTTTATCAAAATTTAATCGATCCGCAGCACGATTCAATAACACAGGCGAACATGCGTCACAAATTTATCAATAAATTAAAATCTTCGACAATAAATGGAATTGTTGTGCGCTTTTTATTACAGCACACGTGAGCGATATATTATTACCTGCTCGCCGCATGACCTTTCGTCTCTTTTGACTGGAAAAAGATACATACTTTGTTTGTCGGGGGGCGTCGACTCTCTTTCGCGACGCTCTTGTCCTTATAAGCTCAAGTATCAAGTGCACGCAGACAGTCATGAGCGCACGTTGTGTAATTGCTCTAAGCACACAAATCAGCATGTCGCACGCCTTTTATTATTATTTTTTTTTTATATATATTTTATTCTCTCACTTTGCCGCCGAGGAAAGGTGAACAAACAGCGCGTTGCCTGCCAGAAGAGAAAAATTTTATCCGAGAGTTGTAAACATATTTTTCTTGCTCCGGAAAGCACAACAAGTCGCAATGGAAATAACACACAAAAACTCAGTAGGTGTTTAGAGTGTGCGGGAAGTTGAAAAGGAAATTTTCCAGAAGAGTTAATTATTTATCATTTTGAAGTCAATATTTATTAAAAGAATTCACGATTCTTAAAGGTATGCCTACACATGACGAGATTAACTTTTGGGTTTGGAACTTTTCCTATTTATACAAACTACACAAAATTTGTCAAAGGGGAAAAAAGAAGTAGAAGAAAATCAAAATTTAAAATTAATTTCATTTAACTTAACGTAATTTATAATTGTTTCCCATGGTGAATATTTGCTTTGAATTTTACATTGTAAGTAAGAAAAAGGTTGGACAATTAGAATACATTAATTACTACAAAATCATTCAAAAATAAATTAAAGGAGTCATTAAAATTTTATTTATTTTACTGCATCTACAATCTTATTGAACTTTTTTATTTTAATTAAATTAATATTGATTTTTACAATTACATGTATGATGTGAGTGCATAATATGGCCTCGACGTGGTTAGTCGTGCAGTATTAATGGAATAGGAGGATGGTTCGATCCCTGGGGCTATTCCGAGCTATGAGTCCCTTGATGTGCGAAAAGTATGAAAATGTTACCCTTTTCGCTGACACGTTAAAGTTGCACCGGGGTTACTTTGTCGATAAAGGATAGGGGTGCATTAGAGGGGGCGTTCCAACCGCATAGCACACACACATCAAAAGAGGGTGCATATTTGTTTCATTACGAAGGGGATGCGTATTGCACGACCCTTTTCAGCTGATTTATTTATTTATTATTTGCTTCTCTCATTTGCTTGCAAAATATGCTTTATCTGCTCGAGCGGAAAAATCATCCATTCAGGTATGCCTTTTGCCGATTAGATTTTGTCTCGCGAAAGTTAATTAATTACGAGCTGGAAAAGGGGTTCGGAAATAACGAGAGAAGTTCTTTTTTCAGTCAAAAACGCGGTGCTAATTCAAGCGGAAGTAACTCATCGGATAAATTCCCTTGCTTTTATCGCCGCCAACCCTTCCTTTTTCGCAAACTCGCGCTTAATAAGGTGTGAATTTTATTTCCTTTAGAAGCTTTAACAGTTTTTTTGGGTGGGTGGCTGCTTGCTAGGAGGAAGTACGGCTTCAACCACGCCCTGAAAAAATCTTTTCCTTGCAGTCTGCGGAAATAATTTCGCATCAATTAGCGTTCCAGACATGAAATGGATTCTGCCAGATTCTGCGAAATCTAAACGAGAAACTTTTAATTTGCTTTGTAATTTAATTTTTATCTTCACAGGGGATAAATGTATTTCTAATAATTGTAATTTTCCCTTCCTTCTCATATTAAACGAATAGGCACCCCGCGTGTCACACGTGTTTTCATGAGCAAAAATTATAACTCAAATAATCACACCACAAAAATGTTTAATTTCATACTTCTTTGATTTTTTTATCTAGTCCGTCTAGTCTTTTTCGAATTTTTAGACTTAAAACTAGATAAAATTTTATTAAGCAGCATAATTTGAAGTTTTTTAATCTTGATTTGGACCATTTTTTGGTTGTTTAATAATTTCCACAAAATATTTCGGTTTTTTGTTATAATTTACTTCTGTAGATGAATTTCAATTGTTCAATCATCTTTCGATACTAATTTTGTTATTTAAAAACATTTTTTAAATATTTTCATATTTAAATCACAATGATAATTCCATTAACTTTACTACTTTTATTATTGATTTTAAAGAAGAAAAAATTTAAGTTTGAGAATTAGTTGATCCAGCATTCCCATGCCTAAGCCTAATAGTCAATTCTTAAAATTTGTATAAAGATGTAATGTTTAAATTTTTAAACATTCAAATATTTTATAAAAATTGCCAATTTTGACATGACTAATTTTTTATGTCTGGAAATTTTGATGAGTGTGTTGGATGATTAGCTGCTAGTCGCGGGGCTTAAGATAAGATAAGGGCAAGTTGCGCGGTAGTGAGTGTGCTTTTGAGCAGAAGCCAAGTGGCGGAATCCCCTGCTTAGACAAAACACTGCTTGCGTACTCCTCCTCCTCCTCCTCCTGGTCGTTGGAGTGCGGAGTGCACGCGTGGTGCGGCGTGCAGTTTGCAACTGGGGGCGGCGGAGGGGCGGCCGCGCGAGGGGTGCGAGCAGGCGCCGGCCGACCAAGGGTGGGTCGCGCTCGCGATCAATACAGCATCCAGTCGTGTAGCTCTGCTCAGACATCTTGGTCGCCACTCGCACCGCCAACCTCAAAACCTTTTGCAAAAATTCTGCAGCGAACCGCCGACCGCCGGCGCCAGGTGCGTCGCCCTGAGATCGACCTACAGCCACTCTTTCGAAGGTCAGTGCCTCCATCACCCCTGCACTCACCCGCCGACCAAAGTAAACACACTCACACCCTTTGCTCCCTCCGTTCGCCGACTGCTTTTGTCTGTCGGGCCGGGCACGGGCGGACGGGGAAGCTTGCGAAATCCGAATTCGTTTCAATAGAGGTGCTTCTGCAATCCTCATTAGCAGGTGCACAAAAGGAAATTCACAGAGTCAGAAGAAATGAGAAAAGTTTTGGGAAGAAAAAAACAAAAACAAGTATTATTTACTTTTGCTATTTAGATTTGATTACAAATAGTAAGACCTTCCAGAGCTTATTTGCTTAACTAAGCAAAAGGTAAACTTTTCTCATCATTATTTTATGATCAATAAATGACATGAAAGTAAAATTTTGTCCGATCGATTATTATGTGCATATGTATGCAACCCGCACAACAAAGGCTCTAAAGATGCTTTAAAAAAATGTCTGCTCGGCTCTCCTAGTTATAATTTTGTGGGCAAAACATCCCAAAGTTCAAAATTATGGATCTGGCAGGAGGATGCGCAAAAGATCTGATTTAATTTTTTGGTAAAGAATAATATCATGATTTCAAATTTAAATTAAACAATAGTGGGCTACTTGTTATATAAAATATTAATACCCCACATTAATTGAAAAAGTCAGAGATGAAATGTTTACTGCTCAATTATTATTACTTTTTTATGCTAACTGCTAAAGTAATAATTTTGACTAATCAGTCTTCCTTCGGTGTTGGTTATGGTCTTTATTTATCAATTACGAGAACACATTGATATATAATTAAACTAATTTATAATCATTTTTTAAAAGTGTTATTATGTTATTACAAATAATTCATTATTTCGGCAACCTGCAATCAATTTATGGCTTTCCCGCATAATCTCATTTGCGGTCGGAATTAATTTTGAGTGGAGGTTTTACGTTTAACAATAAATTAACTGCCGTTGAGGACGTGCGATGTAGTATTAAATCGCGGAAACAATAGCGCGGAAAATCAGAAGCGACGTGCGGCAAAAACTATTTCTCTCTTCCCCACGCTGATTCTCCAACTCTTGAAAATTAATTATTTCTCGAACGAACAAAAAAAAACCTCCGGCTGAAATAATGTTGGGGAGGAGCGAAAGTGCAACTCATTGCGCCGATTTGCAAAAGGTCAAAACGTTTTTTCACGCAAATCTCTGCAAATAACGTGGTGCCTTTGTGTCGCAGCAGCCACAGAGTTTGGTGGCAGACACCATTGTTCAAAGGACAATCAACCGCGCGCGTGCAGTTTATTTTTCCATTAAAACTCCTTCGTCGATTAATTATTTCAAAGGCGCGCGACCTTGAATCGAGAAGGAAATTTTATACACATCGATGCAGAGGTGCAGCTTACATATATTGATTGTCAGGATTATTCACACATGTGCCGGGAATTATTGTGCTATTATTCACGCGCGCGTTTTTACGGTTGCGCCAACTCACCGAAAGATAAACAAAGCGCCGAGAATTGATAAGACGACGCGGCACACAATCAACCTTGGCGTCGCCGTCGCCGGTCTCTTTCATTTCGAATAGGATTAGTGAAGAAGAAGCAGTCAGTCATTTAGTGAGTGCGATATCGGTGACACGTGAAAAAAAATAGCACAAGGAATTCTATGAAAAACAATCGTGAGTAGATTTTATGCATTTATGAGAGTGAGGAGAAAAGTTTGAGAAGCGCGTGCAGAATGGTTATTTAATAATTTATAAAGTAGGTAAACGGCATTTTGAGCAGAATTTATTTGTTGATGGTAAACCGTTAGGTCGCGACTTAGAGACGAAGCTCACTCCTCCGATTGATGCATTTACGGATTTAGGTTGTGCGTCTCGTTTTGAAATTCCCACATCCACGTGATTTGAATGCATAAATCGGATTATATTTTGGTTGTCCCAATTTCAATAAAAATAAAATCATCAGCCACAATCTCATAGAAATCAGAATAAAAAATTTATTTGAATTGGAAAACAAAAGAAGATTCCAAATCCACAGATCTTTTTAATTTGACTAAATTAGAAATAAAAATACGTTGAATTAATATGATGTAGAGTTAAAGTTAAAATAGTAAAAATAAGAAATAGAGAGCAAATAAATATCTACAAATAATTCAATAATATTATAGTCCTGATGTCCAAAAATATTTTGAAAGAGGCTATTTTATTTTAAATTTAAAGGTTAAAAACTTGAGAACAAAATCATATTTTTAGTTGAAACAAAAAAATCAGTTTATAGTTGAACATTTTAAACTTTCACCTTAAATTAATTTCACCTTCAAAAGTTCCTTTTCGAGGTCGAAATCTAAACAAAAACTGCGTTGCGCCCCAAATTTTCCGGTTATCAACTTATACCGACCCACGTGACTCTTCACTTTAAGGCCGCAACTTGCACAGCAGTTTCTATTCCATATTTAGCACCAAAAGCGTTTAAACGTGGCCAATAACACCCAATCGTGCGCTCTTTACTACCAATTTATTCACACAGCAAAACGCATGCACGATCGATTTCCACGGAGTATAAACGAAGGTTAACTAAACAGACGATTACACATTCGAGCTGCATCTGCCCGCAAATCGTGCATTAAAAACAATATAAACCGGCGCCGCGCTGAATGAGAAATGAGCTGCTCCTTTTTATTTTTCGTTATTTTCGTGCTCAGCAGCTTTACTTTGTTATCTCGCGGTGACATAATGCACGTTTATTATTCATTGTTTCAACGCGGCCTAAATTCAAAAAAATTCAAACGGGCCATTCGAGGAGATAACGCTGGCTGGTCTCTGTGCGCAGAATATGGTCGAGGGGGATCGGCTTGCGAAAACTTGCGCTAAACTGTCGGAAAGCAAACAAAACGTCAGCCAAGTTTGTTGTGTGTTTGTTTGGGCCGAAAATTGGTTTTCTGACGTGTTGACGTTTCAATCAAGTTCGCAGGAAATGAGGAAAATCAGAACTAATCCGTGTTGGTCTCTTTAGATTTCCTTCTATTTGTCACTTCTGATCGATGTCGTCAAATCAAAAATACTGATTTTGAGATTCCTGGATTGGGAAAAATTCTTTTGATTTTGTTTTAATTCACATCAAATTTAAATGAATTTTCGTCTGTTTTCAAATATTTGAATTAAAAGGTTTATTTTTTTATCAATTAATTACAATTGTAAAGCTTTTATTTTTTATCGCCTTATTTGAACAAAATTGTCTTTATTTAAATAAATAACTATTAAATTTTATAAATAATTCTTAAAAAACTTGCTTAATTTAACAAGATTATTTTGACTCAAATAATTCTTCCTTGGTGCCGTTTCAACAAAAAATTTAACGAAAAATTTATCCCTCTTTCTATTTGAGAGGAGAACTAATTATCATTCATTTTCCAACATTATTAAAGTTCCTTACTCTTACATAATAAAATTTGTTACCCACAAAATTAGCACGAAATATTTGAGGTTGCCTTAAGTACATTTTTCTTGACTTGATATTATTTAAATATATCATTTTTATACTCATGAAATTTCAAAATAGTCGACTCATCTTAAATTCAAGCTCAGTTTATTTAAGGATTAGAATTTTCCGCTTCTTGTACATAATTACATTATACCTCCCCCTTAATTGAGTTTTGTTTTACCAAAGTGCATAAAATTCCCCTTCTTGAAACACGAAGTCTAGCCAGATTAGAAATAATCCCTCTGCTTATTAACGCCCAGACGAGCAAGAAGCTGCACAAAGAAAAATGCACTTTTTCTTTTCTCTGTACTGCGCTTTACCACGGTGGATTAACGGCGCAGAATTTGCATGATCAAATTGCATATATTTCTTTTCGCCGCATAGCGACCATTTGAAAATTCCGGCAGCATTGCCAGCCTGTCAGCAGACACAAAGTCATTTTATTGATTTTCGAGCAGTCGCACTTTTCGCTCTCCAGCACGTCCCTGCCCTGCGCTGCATAAAAACGCCGCATGCAACTTTCGACGGTGTAAAAATTCATGACACGAAACGCCATTGTTTAATCACCCCCTGCGCGAATCACCACCAAAAGCAGATTTTTTTGTCTCTGCTCTTCTCTTCCACCTCGAAAAATGGAAAAAAACATTTTTTTTGTGACGTTAAAATGCACTCTGCAAATGAAGTATGAATATTAATGGTGTTATATGAATTAAACTTAAAATGGGCAAAAAAGTTCTCGTCGGCTCGAAAATGTGACATTTGCAAAAATGTCACTGCTTTTTCAGCTCAGCTGGCGTTGTCATTACGTTAAGTGCCGCCTAGCGTGCAAAATGTTTAGCCAAGAAAGAAATGTGGAGAGCGCAATAGGTATGAAAAAGTAATGCATCTCTTTTTTTATTTTACATAAAAAGCACCTGGATGACATTTAGAGAAGTTTTACAATTGAAAAGTTTTATGCAGAAAAAAGTACAGGTGTTTAGCACAAGAAAACTGTCTAGTATTTATCTGTGAGAAGTTTTTAAAGGTAAAAGATGCGACTAAAAATCATAAAAAAAATTGGTTAACCGTAGTTGCAGTTAGTGTCCTTGAGTAATAAGTTTTCTGAGTTATCACATATTGTTTGTTTTTGATATGATACTTTTTAACAGAATTAAAATTGCCCTCAGTTTTGAACCCGATAAACAAATTTCTGAAACTAAAATTCGGCTAGATAATGCTGAAATATTCTTAAATCTTACAATTAATCATCTCGAATGTTGACCAATACGATACAGATTATGTGACTATCATCAATTACAAATCTAAGTCAGCAATTAAGAAATGAATCCAAACTAATTTGTTTTAAAAATATATTCTTAAAAATGAAAATTCAAGATTCTTGTTTATGCGTTTGCTATGGATCTATTTTTTGTATATTTGAGACTTAATTGATATTTTTTGCTAAATTTAAATAAAAAAAATCATAATTTAGCATAATTTATTGTAGAATTATTGGCTTAATTTTAAGCATATTCGGCATTAATTGTACCAAATTTCGATGTTGCTTTTGCACCAACAAAATCATCGACCCAGATGAACTCGAGAAACGTGCAACCGAAAATTTCCACTATACTTTTTTTAACACCTGCGTATATAAAAGGTGATTCTCCGAGTGACAAGTTGTCAGTCCATGAAATTAATGTCTGGTCGATTGAGTGACGAACCCATCACCGGAAAAATCTGCCTGTGTACAAACATAGGAGGAAGGTTGCGATTGCGCTCAAAGTCTCATGCAATTCCAGCAGGCCCCGTTCAATTTCCGGCGAAAACACCCAAGCCTCCGGAAAATGCAAATTTTCCTGTTTGCTTTCGCAGTTCCAAACGCAAATTGGGCTCCGGTGACGCTCAAAGTCAAATAATATAGATTAACGAACGTTTCCTCCAACTGCGCAAAATTTCCCAATCAAAATGTGCGTTTGTGAGACTGCGTTCATTACGAGCTCATTAAATTTATGTAAGCGTACCTTTAATTAGTAAAGAACGGTGTGCAGGCAAGAGGTCGCTAATTATTAAATGTCAAAAGGGCTTAAAATTATAATTTTGGCTTGCGTTATAAGCGGATAATTTATTGCTTCAGATTATTAAAAAAAAATGGCTTGCATAATTTTTTTGAAATAAATGAATTAATTTTTTTTAATAAATATCAACATTTCAAACATTTATTTTCCAAAATGAAGTTCTTAACCTCTTTTATTGTAAATAAAATCCCAAGGAGAAATATTTCTATATTTTTAGCGCCATTTAATTGCTTGTTAAACAATAAAAAAAAATAACATCTGGAAAGAATTAACCATTAATAATATATTAACAAGGATTTCCCTCAAATGAGTTTTCTGGCATGTTTCGAAAGTTCTACAACTCTATTAAATAGGAACCTCTCATGATCATAAAATGATTGAAGTAGAAACAATGCGGCGAGGAATATTTATGACAGGTGATATTTAACGCTATGAAATGGAAAAGGGACACGGTGTTTTTCACTATTTTAACGACTCTTTAACGAGCGTCTTAAAATTTCACTTTTGTCAGCGCGAATAAATACAAGAGTCGTAAAAATTACGATGAGAGAATTAAGAATGGTTGTGACACCCACAGCTCACTGGCGCCCCGAATCTGAGAAACTCGGCTGAGAATGTGTCGGAGAGATAAGAGAATTGAAACACAAGATTTCCAACTAAGGAGATGACGAAGGTTTGATCTTTACGAGTTCTTCAATGAAAACATCTTTAAACTGTAAATTAAACAAAAAGCACATGGCGTGACGCGCGTGCATCAAATTTGTAGGAAAAAAGCAAGAAGTCAAAGTCAGTGAGCACCAAAGTCGTGTTTTTGTTTCGCGGCCGCCGAGCAGACCTTCGGCCGGCCGGTCACGCATCCTCGCCGCTTTTTGACACAAAGCTGCGGAATTTGCATTTGAAACGCGATAATTAATCTAACGGCGGTTCGCATTTCCTTTCTTGTGTGGGTTTTTGGCGAAAACTCACTCAAGTGCATAATTATATATTACTAATTGTCATGTCTAATTGGCCAGCTTGCACTGCGCTATTATTATCTTGAAGAAGTGGGTTAATTATTGATTTCTTTCTCTTCATCAACCCACAAACGTGAAATTGAGATTGACGATATCTTTCTGTAATTAGGTTTATCAAAAGAAATCCTCAGCATTAATTAGAAACTGTGATTTTTTTATAGTATATATTATTGGCAATTTACAAAATCCCTTTTAAAAATATAATATTTTATAACCAAGCGCGATTCAATCTACTACTAACGCACAAATTTTAATTTATCAACATTTCTTAGTTCAAGACAAAATATTATTTATGTAAATAACATTATAAATTATTGGCTGCAAATTATCAAATAATTATTAAATATAAAGCTGAGTAATTGTTTAAAAAATTAAATTAAAAAAGTGTGAATATAATTTAATATTTAATAAATAATGTTTTGTAATAAATACCAAAACAAGCAAAATTTTACTCATCATGTGTCGTTTTAATTAATAATAATTTAATAATCATTAAATCTGATTAAATCAAAATTTAGTATAATTATGTGAATCATGAGAGTATCATTTTAAAAGTAAAATTAAATTATTTCCTGCAGTGCATTATGTTTTGGATAAGAATAAAAAAAAACTAACATAATATTTTTCTTTTTGTTTCAGGATGCAGAATTGGCTTGCACATCGCTACGTTTCGTCGATTCGTTTTTAACTGAATTTAAATGAGGTAAGACACAAAACACACATTGCAATCTAATTAATTCTATAGCTGCTTTTTGGGCTCTCCTTGAAATAAGTGCGGTGGAAATTAAGTCTTCAGCTGGCTAAATTTTTTGCGCCAAAGACTTGATTAATGACTCATCTAAGTTCTGCCGAGAGAAAATTTTGCCTTGCCTGCTTTTCATGGCAAATTAAGCGCAAGAAAGGACGACGTTATTTCACGTTTGAAAACTGAGAGAGACGTGCTCGGCTTGTTATCGATCTGCACAACAATGATGGCAATAATTAGGGTATGGTCCCAACGAGGGCAAGCCTAGGCTTTGCTCTTTCTTTCTTGTCTTTTCCGCGGGGCTTAATTGCGCCGATTGTCGACGCGAGTAATGAGACAGCGGCAATTATCGAAAAAAAACGAGAGCACTATCAGATGTTCTTCAAAATAATGCTTTCTGTTTCTGTAGAAAGCGGCAAGCAATCAGCATAATAATAGATTTCCATTTAGTTCCTTGTGAGATTGATTGAAGGCAAAAAGCTTGGCCTGTTTCCATCACAAGAGAAAATCTGCAGACAACACGGTTTTGTTCAAATATCCTTGTTAGAAAAAAAATAAGAGCATTATATATGTATTTGAGCTCTGTTAAGTAAATGGAGTTGCAAAAAGTCAACAAAGGGGATCTTTTAGAAAGGTATTACAATTCTTTTGGGAATTACGTTTTAGAATGTAAATTAAACTGAAATCAAGCACTTAATTATAGAAATAAAAAGGAATCTAAATTTTTTAGTGCAATTCGTTAAATAGTATTAAAGAATATATAACATAATATCATTTTTAATTTCTCATTATTATTCTTCCCTTTAATAATAAAATTAGCATCATATTCAGATTCATTTGAAAGATAAAATGTCACAATTATTTTCGATATGAGTAATTTATCCGTTTAATGACTTGTTTAAGAAAATGAAAATTTGTCGGATTATTCTAGGTACAGAGATTTAAAATTTTAAATATCTTGTGATGAGAATTTTGTAAGAACTGCAGCGCAGAAAGTGAAATTATAATGGGAGTAATCCTGAGAGTTGAGAGATCCTAATCTGCCGAGACAATCCACGCCTAAAGAGCCGACAAAACTCACGCTTGGAAATAAGTTCGCATGCATATGATGCGATTTGTGCGAGATGAGGGAAACCACATCTCAGCTGGTAGCTGCTGTCGCCACCAGAGAACAATGAATGCGTTCAGAAGAGCAGACAAATAATCTCAATTACGGCACTTCAGGCCCTTTTCTCCTCGGCGGTTCCCACACGCTCTGTGTTACGTGTGGATTAATTTATCTTGCAAACTTGTCAGATCATTTGCTCCTGAGTCGCAAGTGAAAGCAGCAGACACTTTGAAATCTAAACCATTATTTAATGGAGCAATAAATTTAGTTTAAAAAAGCAAAACCAGCTGCAAAATTTGATAAAATTTTATTAATTTTATGATATTTGATAGAATTGCATAAAAGTATTTGAAAAAATCCATTTTTTATGCATGTTATAACTTTTAGTTCCAGAAAAGGGGAAAACATTATTTAATTATATTCTTTTTCGAAATTAATTCTTCTTATCACACCATGTTTTGGACTTACATCATTTTTTATTTTTTATTTCCCTGTTATTTTGCTGGTAATAACTTTTGCCCTTTTATATGCTGCCATATTACTTTCGCATCAAACACTCTCAAATTACCGGCACACGAAATTTGATAGCTTTTACTTTTTGCCCCCTGTTTTCGTAGCGGAAAAGGGAGAGGGTGCCGAATGATAATAATTCTTGCGACACGTGCGCGGTCAATTAGGAAATATATTATTTTTATATATATTTCGGGAGCCTCGCATATGTGTTATGCAGCGGGGAGACGAATTTACGGCAACGACCCAAAAGGCGGCTCTTTATTGTCTTTCCACAGCAGGCCGCAAATATTGTTTTTGTGATGAATGGCCGTGCCTGCGGATAATGGACAAAGCCATACACCAAGCTGGGCAAATAAAAAGCTTATTGCTCCAATTTATCACGCAAATGTGGAACGAGACTGCTCGCTTTATGTTCCTCAGTCGCCCGAATTGACATCTTTTTGCCCCAATTACTGACTATAGATAGGTCTGCCCGAGGCGCGAATTACGGCCACAAACGGCGCCAATGTGAACACATAGTATCTTTCGCGAGCATCGTGGCGAGAAATGCGCGATCACGACTCGCTAATTTCAAGTCGGGCGCAAATAAAGAGGGTCGCCAATGTTACTTTTATAAAAAGAATATTTTTAAAGAAAACCGTTTAGATTTAAAACTAGAATAAATTAATTTGAAAATTACCAACACGCCTTCTATTATTAAATATAAATAAAAACAATTGAGATAAATTCATAATTATCGATGATTATATTTTCCATTTATTTGAAGTTTTGGTCAACCTAAAAAAAGGCAGTCAAAGGAAGGAAAATAATGGGTGTAATTTTTACAAGTTTTCACTAATCAATGTTTTTATTATTCAATTCAATGTTCTGTCACAAAATGATCAATTATGACCGTAAATCGATTCCTATTTTCCAAGTTGTGCATGTAATATTTAAATGCCCCATAGCGATTTATCCATTTTATTAGGTATAATTTGAAATCCCCAATCAAGTTCCCTTTTTTTACTTTTATTTTTGTTTTTAGTGCAATAATAATTACGCTTCAATGTAGGTTTTTGGAAAAATTGAGAATTTTTGTTTCGGACAAATTGTGGCTGCCCTTGAGAGGCTAGGGTCGAAACAATGAGAGCAAAGAGAGTCTGCAAGAGTTGCGACACCCAGACTGCTCCCTTGTGCACGTGACATAATATTCGCCTTGCGCTCCAATTAATTTTCCCGACGTCGTCGCGTCGATTACTTATACATGCTGATGCTGATGGAAATGATTTCACTACTCGCGCGCGCATGCCTCTCTTTTTCTTTCTTTCTTTTTACGCGACGATAACTTATGAGATTCGCCAAATATGGTCATCAAAACAACACCTTAATCGCGCACACGCACGACCATCGCACACACACGGCGTGGCCTAGTCTCTCTCACTTTAATGGAGCTTTAATTATACACGCGATTATTTGAATGGACTCGCGGTTCACACAAAAAAGTGATGGAAACTGGAATCGCCGGCCGCGCTCTGTCATTATCTGCAAAACGGCTCTTTTAACGCGGCAGGTAGTCATTAGATCAAAGGGCAGCAGGCAATGTGAAGTGCATCGGAATGTAGACAATTATTATGGTGGCTTTAATGAAGACAAAAAAATGTCCAAGTTTATTTTTATTTTTTTCAATTTTTGCATTCAAATTCCTATTTATCATAGGGCTAGGTTATTATTTTAACTTTATTATTATTATCGTTTTTTATTTGTCCAAATTGTTACATCACATTTTTTACTTGAGTATTTAAAAAAAAAAATCAATGTGTGGTATGACGGTTAGTTTTAACTAAAGATTTTTGACAAGTTATTTTAATTGCATGTGAAGTCTGTTTTTTTTTTTAAATCAATTTGCAATATTATTAAGCTTTTTTCACTCCTCAAATTTTAATTGTTTTAATTATTTGTTACTTATTAAAATTGAGCACAAATCTAAGCTTGATTTCACGTTCTCCGCACCAACATAATTTCTATGCATTTTCCCGGTCACTTTTGACTGGTCCCCTCAAAATAACACCGGTTGCAAATCAATTTTCGGAGTACGTGAACCTGAAAAAGTCGTATACAAGGGGAAAATATTGCTCACAGTAGGGAGCGTCGGCAAAAGATGGAAATTGAAATTCGACGACGCAGTGGCACCTGATAAGATTAAGTGAGAAAAAAGCAGGGCCTCCCTTTCAGCAGCGGTGGTCTTTTGAAAAAACGGCTTTTTCAAATGATTTTCTCCAGAGCGAAATGTTGCGACTTTACCACGCGCGTAACGTGTATCAAAAGCGAATACACACGACGATCATTGATTTTGCAAGAGAGAGAAAGAGAGGCGGTTACCTAGCAACGGGCGCCCTCTGCCAAAAAAGATGTCATCAAAACGAGCGCAGCAGCTTCTAAAAAATTAATTACACACCTCTTTTGTGTGTCAATAGAGACTAGAGCTAATTCAATTTGGAGGGCGTCGACTCTCGCGTTTTTGGCAAAAGTTGAGCGATTTCGACTGGCAATATTTCTGCTTTCGTCGGCACATGGCGTCTCGACCGTGAGGGGTGAATTGTGCGAGGAAAGCAGGAAAATGAGAGCTTTCCTTCAGGGGGACAACTTATTGGGGGTTGCGCCGAGACATGGCAGGGGGTAAGTAATACTGGGAAGCATAGCAGCATTATAAGGATGGATTTTATTGCCGCTTCTTGAAATTCTTCTCTGGCGCCTCTTTTCCATATTCCCTCTCATTATGTTTGAGAAAAAGACCCTTCTTATTATTTGCTGTTTCACAAACGAGTGAGAGAAAAAGAAAAGAGACGTGCTTGCTGCGCTGAATTTAGCCCCGGCGCCGCGGGGGTGGAAAAACAGGCTTGGGTAAAAAGAAGCGAGACATCAAAGGGCTGCTATGCATTTTCGCTATTTATTTACAACGACGCCAGGTGAATTAATTAATTCTCGCGTATGCGCGTGCACGCAGAGAAGCAACCCCTCCGTCATCGGGGGTGGTCCTTGGCATTTGCATGCGACGTGGCAGTCTTTTGTCGAAAATTTAATTATTATAACAATTAATACTGATGAAAAAGTTTCATTATATTCTCAAAAAGGTGACATTTTTTGCTTAAAATCTAATTGAAAGAGTCCCCAGATTTAAGCCGAGAAATGATCAAAACGTCATTTTTAACGAGATGTTTTTTTAAAATTATTTCATAAGTGAAATAAAATTACAACTACTTTTATTTAGTTTTTAATAAAACAAAATTATTTTTTGCATACTTTACAATCTTGACATCTTGAAGCCACTTTCAGTGATTTCAAAATACATAATTTATTATTGTAAAAAAAATTGTTATTGCCCTGTTATTGCCATTTCATTTTATCAGATTTTCATTTTAAAAAATCATTAAATCTAAAAAAAAATGTCTGCCTAAATGAAAAACTGAAATTATAAATTTCATTTTTGCTATATTTTTTCTTTAGCAGAAAGTTACTCCAAGCAGGAATAGCAGGAGTTGAAGGCAAGCAAATTTGAGGCTGTCTGCTCGACGCCGCTTTGCTTTGAATGGCCGTGAAAGACCCTGCACGATCTCCGCATCCTTTCGCGCGCACTTTTCTTCTTCTCCTTTCAAAAGGGATGGAAAAATCCGAGACTCTGAATATTTCAGCGTGTGAGCTGTTTGTTTGTGCATACTCAGTCGGAATTCCAATAAAAAGAAGCGTTTTTTCCGTGAATGCTGTGTGTGTGTTGAGGGAAGGAAAGGGCTTTGAAGTAGCTGCTCCATCCCTCACCCTGCCGACGATAACGAGAGACGTCGCCGTTGATAAAAAAAAAGAGATTCAAATGGCAGGTGCATGGGCGAAAAGAGAGCCGAGAAGCGAAAAATAATAATAATGAGACAAATATTCAACGAAATTAGCCTTAAGAGGAGGTCTGATTATTACTCTTGGAGAAAACCTTTTCATCAAAATTTTTAATGCAAATCACAAAAAATAACATTCTTGTCATCATAATTTTCATGTTTCAAATTTTAATAATTTTGTGACCTCTATTATTTTTAATTTATCATTTTTTTATTTTAAAACTTTAAAACTTATTCATATACCATCAGGCAACTGCTGCGCAAATACATTATATTAAAAAATATTTTGGTTTATCACGTGAATTTTTTTAACAAATGTACAATAAATAAACAAGTTTCTGAATCTCAATTTCCCGATTGTCACCAACGGAACTTCGATGGAATTCAATCCGAATATAGATTCGCGCCACCCTCCTCACTTCTGGTCCTAAATTACGCGTCAATGGAGATTTGGATCTGCAGAATGAGGTCTGATTGCGGGTGCTGCGACCCTCTCTGATATTCCTGCCCCTTAGTTAAGAGGAAGTCGTCTAATGAGATGGGAGGCGGTTTGCTCTGGAAAGCAGGAAGTAAAATAAAATTGCGGCCACTCCGTCTCCCCTTAATAATAAACAAAATTTATTCATGCCGCATATTCAAAAAGATGCGGCAGAATTTCCCTCACTCACTCGATATTGGAGCGATTTGAACCGAAGCGTGTAATTTGTTAAGCAGCGTGTCACATAATTTGACAGCTCAGGGACGTTTTATGAGAGTCTGACTTGATAAATTGATCATGCCCAAGTGAACAACAAATCCGCGTCCAGATCAAATTACCATGAGATCGCACGAATTCCTCACGCATGCATCACTCTTCCTCCTCCTCGGCTCTCCCAAAAATTTTGATTGAAAAGTAAATAGTCTCTTTTGCGTCATATGTATACACGAAAGAAAATTACGTAGACTGAACACATCTATCAGAATACTGAGAGATATTTCCTTCAAAATCCATAGAAATAATAATATAAACATTGACGTTCCTCTAAATCGTTCTTTATCATGAGATAAATTAGTTTATTTTATTAATCAATTTTAGCAAAAATTCTTAACAGTATTTTAAATTTTTTTACACCAGTTTCTGATAAAAAAAAAATAAGATGCAAATATAAAAGCCAATAGGTTTTAAAATAGTTTTTAGTTGATTGAAATTAATAATAGTTATTTATCAGAAATAATTTTAGCTTTCATGTTATCGTTAGTTTGATCATTCCTTAAGCAGTTTCAATCAATTTATGTATTAAGTACTATTTAAAATAAAATTTATTTCTCACTTGAAGTACTTTATATGCATTAATTTAGTGTCCATAGGTGAATTAAAACTAAACTAAAATTTGATCTTTTCTTTTGCTTTTTTCTAGGATGTGGGTGAGATGAAGGGGCGTCTTTCCGCATGGCGAGCAGCATGCCAGTGAGCGAGGCGACGAACGAAGCGGTGACGACGGGCCCTCGCGGCGGCGATGAGCAGCCGGCGCCGCAGGACCCCTCGGAGGAGGGCGGCGTCGGCGGCGGCTCCGTCCTCATCCGCATCCACGTGCCCGAGCTCAACATCAACAAGTGCCTGCAGTTCGCGCGAGAGGAGCTCATCTGGAACGTCAAACAACAGTGCCTCGCCGCCCTCCCGAAGGTACTACATTAATCCTCCAATTCATCAAATAAATTATTATTTTTTGAGAAAAAATAAATAAAATTGCATAGAAGTAAAATCGTTTGGCCATGCGTAAAGCGATTAGTATTCAAGAAGTGAGAATTATTGTTGTGCAGCTGTCTCTCAATTAAAAATTCTTTCTTTCACCAACAGTGACTCCGAGAAATTTAATGTTTGTCCGTCAAAAGAAAGTTTTTCCTTATTTTTAATGTTTTTAATAATAATGGAGAAATAAAATTTTCCTCTGGTCCCTTATTCAAATAATTTATCTCAGTCTGGGGAATAAAATGGAATTCTCGGGTCGTAAAAAAGGTACTTCTGATCACCGCGAGTTTGTTGAAAATGGCTGCCGAAGTGTCTGAAGCGAAATCATAATTTATTCACCGCTGGCAGTGTGCGCGGTTGTAAATAAAACATGAGACTTCTCAATCGCATGCGCGCAGATACTGTTTAAGGGCTCAATCTAAAGCCGGCAATAATTGTTTTGTGTGAGAGATGCTAAGTATATATATTTTTATCAATTTATTTGCGCAGTAATTTATAGTTCAAAAATCAGCAATACATTTATTTATTTTTATTTTTAATATCATTATAGAATTGAATTGTGATATAATTAAAATCAAGAGCAGATTAAATCAGATGTGACTGTCTTTCTTCGTTAAAAGCTGATGTATGGAAATGTATAATAGACTAATGGGATTTTTATAAATAATTATTTACTTTTATTAATTTTTTACATATTTAGTCTCTAACTAAAATGTTTTTGTTCCTCCTATTATAATAAACAAAAGTAAATATAAGAAAAATAAAAATGTTTATTTTGAAATTTCAAAATAACTAATTAATATTTGTAATAATTAAAATTCTATGATTTTATAGTTTTATTACTTTAAAAATTAACTTTTCAATTTTCAATTTGTTGCAGTTTAAATATGTGTTTTACTTAGCTTTATAATTTGGAAGCAGTGGCAACATTAGTTTTACACATTTTTCACACAATACGCCTATTCATCTTGGACCCATCTGTGCAAATGCGAGATTTCCGCTTGGACAAAGAGGTTCAGTTACGTTTTATTTGCCAGCAGGTCAACGCAGACGCATTTAGCTGACAAATTGCCAAAGAAAAAAATGACAGGCACTTTTTTACGCAGAATGCGCGAATTATTTATTGACGGTGACTCGGAAGTTTGGCCTGACTAACTGTCAAGTGTCTTCCGTTATCTTTTCGTTTATAATAACGTCTTCTTCATCCTCATATTCCACGAATGATCGCAATGAAGTCGGTCATTCCCTAGAGAGACAGATTTATATAAATCATGTCTTGGGTCAGAGCAGTTTTTTGTTTGCCTCCGGAGCAATTTATTCGACGGGTCTCGGATTAAAATTGATTGCGGTCTGGGAAAACAATGTCGATCGCTTCCTTAAAAAATAAACACCGCAGAGAGAAAAAAATAAACAATCAAAATGTCCAAAATGATTTCCTACTTCCTTCTCTTGATTAATGTAATTACTTTTATTTATTAAAGAAAGAATTTTTGAAAGTAAATTTGTAAAAATTAACATTGAAAATAACTCAATTCAGAAAAATTAGGATTCAGTTTTTACCCGTATCTTTTACTGCATTAAATATGTTTAAAAAAAATTCAACGCTAACCTTTTAAAAGCTGAAAAATTTTTAAGTTCTAATTAATATTTTAATTGAATGAAACTAATGTTCGATCAATTGTTTGCAGGAATTGAAGGAGAGCTTCAACTATGGCCTATTCGTTCCGCCGGCCAACGGCAAGGCCGGAAAGTTTTTGGACGAGGAGCGTCACCTCACCGACTACCCATTCAGCGGACCCGTCGGCTACCTCGAGGTAAAGATCTTCTATTGTTCACCTGATTTGCATAATACTGAAGAGTGCCACCCAATTGGGCGCATCCACTTTTCTGCTCATTATCTCTGCCAAGTGAGCCGTGCGAAAAAAAAACCGCCGCATCTATTTCGGTCTCACGCACAACACCCGTCAGCCCAAAGAAATAAAAAACATTTCCTACTTTTGCTATAATTTATCTTGCCGTCTGAAAACTCGCCGTCTGCTTGCAGAAGCAAGGAGATTTTAAATTTATACGCCTCTCTATTTTAAACCGCGGGAGTTAACTCAAACCAGCTTACACAAATTGAAAATAAAAACGCGTAAAAATGATTTACTGAAGTTGAAAAACTTGCAACACTCATTTTTTAAGCATACGAATACTTTGATAAAATAGTTGATATTTTAATGATTTTATTTTTCTCAACAGATTATTTTTGGGCAAAAATGTATGGAGCTATAAGCTCGGAAAACTTCCTGATCGGAAATTTGAAGCAAAAACTGCTAACACTCGGGCAACTTTTTAAGCTAATAAATCCATCAACTTTTGTTCAAAAACAAAATTTCCAAAACTCATCGAGCTCGTTAAGAAATCCATAAAGATTTTATGAATTATTTTCAAGTTGCCAAACTCTTTAAACTAACCCACTCTTGATTAACAAATTTTTTTTCTTTTGGAAAAAAGTTAAAATATAGTTGGAAATGAAAGAGGGTTTGTTTGAAAGAATTCGTAATGTCGCTTTTAAACGGAGATAAATAATTGACGCGCACGTTGCGATGACTTCTGGGTTGGTGTGACACACAGGACCCTTAAAAATAGACCTTGTCTGAGTCAAAAGCAGCGAGTGTGCGCGGCGCTGCGGCTCTTGGCACGCGTAAAAAGAAAGCCTCGCTCTCGCTCTTTAGTTTTTCAACCCTCGTCAGTGCTAGTTTTTTGAACATCACTCGGGATAATTCGAGCGCCTGCCTCTTTTTCTCCACTTCCGAATGTAGACGAGCCCGTTCCAGTTGGAAACATGTCTGCCGGCGGCGAGGACGCCGATCTGCGAGCCGCCATGGTATTTCACACAGAGAGACAGACGCGTATTTAATTTGACAATTGTGTTGTGCACGGACTAATCTTATCGCGGGACCATAGAAAAGAGTGCGTGCTAACGAACGACCTTTTCGCAGCCATTCTTGTATGCATGCCAAATGTTTTTGTCCGATAGATTTGCTTTTATCAAACTTTATTTTAAATACAACATTTCTGAATTCACATTATTTTAAGAACTTCTTATTCAAGAGTTGAAATTATCGATTTTAACATAAATAAAATTCAAATTAATTTTTACTAATCAAATTAACTCAGAATGTCTTCCAATCTAATATTAAAAACACCAAAACTATTTTCAAGTGCTTCTCCTCTTCTTGTTATCTCCACTATTTGTGTGTTTTTTCTCTGATGATAAAATAATTTCATTTGGTCAGATAAAAATCTCCACGGGTCCGACGAAAATAAGATGATTTTGATTGGCATGTCTTTTAGACACATTTCAACCTTTTGTCATTTTATTTAATTCTCAACACACCGTTTTTCCACACAAAAGTCTTATCACCCAAAACAACATGTCAAGGGTGTCGTTATTTCCCGAATGGCCCACTTTCGCCTTGTCTGGAAGTTTATCACCCAGACCTTGGCTCTACATAAAGAATTGTGTATAATTGTCGCACCTTTTATCAAAGCTCTTAACCTTGGCCGCGATCCGATCGATCATAGTTTTTGCGAAAAAACACGGAGGAAATTAATTTCAACCTTGGAGACGCGTGGGACCGTCTTGCGAAACTGACCTACGCCACTGTCCGCGGCGGATTAAACAAAAACCGGCTGCCTCCGTTAATTAGCAGGCATGTCGAGAACGGGTTTTTCTCTCTCTCAAGCAAAAGTATTAAAATTCGCAGTGGATTCTTTAATTCTTGCTTCGACTAACCCAAAATTAATTAATCCGAGGTCGCGATTGTAATTGAATTTTTTTTACGCAGCTCAAATACAAGAGACGTGTCTACAAGATGCTGCATCTGGATGAGAAGCAGCTCAAAGCTCTGCACACGAGGACCAACTTGCGACGCCTGCTCGACTACGTCACGAACCGGCAGGTGGAGAAAATCTCCAAAATGTGCTCCAAGGGTCTCGACCCTAACTTCCACTGTGCTGAGACTGGAGGTAATAAAATATATAAATACATAATTAATTATAATCATTTATATAAAAACAATTTATTTAAATTTTATAATTTGAATTCAAAAATATTATTATTTATAATTTATTTAATATTATTTTTTTCAGTCTAAGTTATATTTTAATATTTTGTTTTCAATTATTACATTGATTAATATCTTTCAATTAATACAAATTTGTCAATGGAGAAATAATAATTGCTAATCATATGAAATATCACGTTCTGAAAAGAAAATAACATTGAGGGATCCTTTAATAATCAATTTATAATTTCAATAAACTTGTGAATATTGGAAAAACTAACAATATTTGCTTTTAAGATATAGAGTAAAATATTTTATGATTACAACCAATTCCATAAAATGTAGTTGTCAACTTTCTCATTCAAATGAGACAAAATTGATTTTCGTTAAGAAAGTCTAGGCTCACTTTTTTCAAACTCTCCAATCGGTTACATAAAAGCTCTCAACCTTTGCATTCTCCAATCGTTTTAATTTATTTTTTGATTATCTCAGTCTGATAAAGCAATTAACACGGTCCTACTCAAGTGCCAATAAACCAAACGTCAATCAAAAGACGCATTTTTCTTCGGATTTAAATACTGATTTTACATAAAAAATTTGTCGTAGAAACGCCCCTGACCGTGGCAGCGGCGACGCCGCGGTCGTCGCGCGTGCTGCTCGCGTTGGTGAACGGGGGTGCGTTGCTCGACTACCGCACGCGCGATGGCACCACCTCGATGCACCGCGCCGTTGAGAAAAACAACTTCGAGGCCATCAAAACGCTGCTGGACCTCGGCGCGTCGCCCAATTACAAGGACTCCAAGGGCCTCACTCCGCTCTACTTGTCCATGAACCCGAACGTCGATCCGATGCTATGCGAGGCCCTTCTGCACGACCACGCCGTTGTTGGCGCTCAGGATGCGCAGGGCTGGCAGGAGGTTCATCAGGTATGACCGATAATTTTTCCGTGTCAATTGATATATTTTACTACTTTTTTTTATTGAATGGATTGATTGAATTTTTCTTCAACACATCATACAAAAAATTAAAGTTTAATGTCACATAATGCCATAGAATTATTTGAAATTATTAATTATTTAATGAAATTTTTATCAATTTTGCATTTGCAGGCGTGTCGTCATGGACTAGTCCAGCATTTGGAGCACTTGCTCTTCTACGGGGCGGATATGAACGCCCGAAACGCTTCAGGCAACACGCCTTTGCATGTGTGCGCTGTCAACGGACAGGACAGCTGCAGCCGACTGCTCCTATTTCGCGGAGCCGACCGGGAGGCCCTCAATTACGCCAACCAAACTCCTTATCAGGTAAATTCTCCACCTTTACAATTAAATATAATATTAATTTTTTATATATATTTAATGGAAATTAAAACAATTTTAATTAAATGGTGAAAAAAGTCTTTTCGGCTTATTTCTGGGCTCAAATTTTGGTTTAAAATTCTACAGACGGTTTTCCACAAATCGTTTTTTTTTTAACTAGCCATTATTTTCAAATTGAGGTAATAATTAAGGGATATTGTGCTTATTTTCTAATTAAAATTATGATGATACTGATTTTTAGAAAACGTGAGACTTGAATTGAAAATAGTAGATCTTATCACGGGAAAACATCATTTACTCAAATTTTTTAATTCAACTTTTGCTAAAATATTTTAAGAAAACGAGTTTAATAAAAGGGTTCAATAATCCTGGAAATAACAAAATCTTCAATAGTTCAACTTTTTCTTTAAGTTTCCAAATTTTTAAAGATTCGTAATCAGAATGAGCATTGGAAAATAAAAAAGTTTTAACCCCTGATCAACCAGTTTGGGATTCGAAATTGCAACAGAGTATGTATCAATCAAATCCAGAAAAAATGTTTTTTTATCTATTCTGGAGTAGAGTTTTAAATATTTTTGTGCTTTTCTATTCTTAGGTGGCTGTGATTGCTGGGAACCTGGAGTTGGCCGAGACAATCCAGAAGCACCGTCCTGAAGAGGCCGGTGAGTATTGACCATGAAATCAAACGACTTCAGCACGCCCGATCGTTTTGTAATCGATTAAAAATCACTGCCCTTTTCAAAATTAACGCAACCCGGCCGTCACTTTGGTCGGACCGGTTGCATAACTAGAAGTATGGAAGGGGTTGACGAGCGGACGGACCGACCCGACGATTGTGTTTCTCTCTCTGTTGTTGTCTCTCTCTCTCGTGCAGTGTCCCTGTTTTTCACAATCAATCAATCATGCACATATATATAAATGGTCCAAATGAAAATAGACTGTCCCGTGTCAATAGTTGCCCCTGTGATCATATGCAACGATGTACACACACATTTAGCCGCCTTTCACTCACGTACTCCTCCCTAGAGATGCATCAAAACAATCGCTCTTCTACACTATTCTTATACAATATACTGAAAAAATTTATATAGAACATACGGCTACCTTAAATATGATTAATAGTGCTTTTGGGACACGCTTTTGGTGGTGGCTAGAATTCAATAGTGTAAATTCCAAGTAAAATTCCAACAGAGGAAGGGAGCTCGGAGGATTATTTAATTTAAATATAAAATGCTGAAGTTTTGCTTTTTGATTTTTATTATTTTTGTGTGAATATATGATTATTAATTTTTCCTCCTTTTTTGTTGTGATTAATCAAACTGGTGGGTGCTTTTGCTGCTATTTAACAATATTGATCCTATAAACGGATATTCTGTGCAAAGAATATTCAGCGTATGGTGGTTACGCCCACCATTCTTTCTGGTTGGTGATGGTTTTTTTAACAAGAGGTTTGAGTTGTGCCAATATAAAACTTTTTCAACTCATGGATTCCAATAAATTCATGAATGCATGTGTTGCTCAAGGGGCGCCGCTCATGTGTACGATAAAAAATAAACTGGTGGAGGTGCCTAACGAAACTGAGCGTGGTGTTTTTGTTTTCGAGGGTGCTCTGTGCTTTGTGCTGGTGTGTGAGCTGTGATATAATAATATAACCAGTTGATATATCAATTTAGTGGTCTCACTAAAGGTGGCCGCTAGAATTTAATCGCTCTCTTTCTATCATTTCACTCTCTCTGTCAACCGAAAAACCAATTATTTCATCCTGGACCTGCTCTCCTCTCCCAAACTCCTTTAATGTACATTTCTCAGTAGTTGCCCCTTGCATTGTGTGCTTCGTGTATATTTATTACCATGTAGGCCAAGACTCATGCTGTTTCAGTGATCATTAACAACTAAAATTTAATTATGACGCAATACTTTCGACGACGGACTAAAACAAACTATATTTTGGAGGCAAATTTAAATTGCTTCTAAATGAATATGTTAATCGCTTCTATTGAGAATAACTTTATTTACCAATAACTTATTCTGTACACATAAATACAAGCTAATTAGTGATTAATTTAAAGAGGCTAGAAACGTTTTGAAAATAAATAATTCTATTTCAGATTCTGAAGATTTTATTTAAAACTTTTGGAAAATAAATATTGACCAAAGTCATCATAGATGGAAGATAGAATGCAGAAATTATTAATGAGACGATGGATTTTGCCAAATAACTTTAAATGCTAACATTTCAATTTATTTTGACGCAAAAGAGTACTTCAGATATGATTTTGTGATTTAGTTCTATTGTGATCAGCTGTGGAAAAATTATTTTCAAAATGTTTCAAACCTCTTTAAGAGAACGCTTAATGAAGTTTAATTACAAAAGGAGAATTTAAAGTTAATGTCATTTTAGTTCTATCTTGAGTTGGAAATATTCATATCTTAAATTTAAAAATTTATAAACAAAAATAATAATACTAATAAATGGACAGTGAAAAGAAACTAATCGGGGGTGCCGCGAACGGAAACGGAGTTGGTATACATACTTGCAGATGGAATCCTACAGTGTTTTGTGTGCGCCGACTTGTTTCAGTCCCCTTCCGAGAGCCTCCCCGGTACAACCCCAAACGCCGTCCCGCGAGCGCCATCTTCCTGCCGAGGAGCGGCTCGGTGCTCGACTTCCAGTCGGCGCTGCCGTCGTCGGCGTCGTGCCTGACGTTGACGTCGTCGACGCAACGCAGCCTTCCGCCCAGCTCCATGTCGAGCCACGCGCTGCTGTGCGCCGCCTCCACCCCGCCTCCTCCCCCGTCCCCGTCGCCCTCAGACAGGTCGAACCCTCCGTGCTTCAGCTCGGGCTGCTCCAGTCTCAGCGAGGCCAGTTCCAACCGCGGCAGCGAGGGATCCAGCGAAGACCCGGCCAGCATCGTTACAGGTACAACGCCAGTCTCAGTCAACACCTCTCGCCACCGTCCAATTTTGAGCAAAAACTTGTATATTGGCACGACTTTAAATCTCTGGGGTTTTAGGCTTTCTTTTTTAGGAGGATTGAGCGTTTTGTTTTTCCTTTTGAATTTTTCTTCAAAACTTGTTTAAACCTTTGCAGACAAAAGCCTGCTTGATCAGTGCGACATCATTAGCGACAGTTCTGGCGTCGGCACCTCCAACAGCGGAGGCAGCGGCGGCGGCTACGACACGGGCGCCGGCCTCCTCTTGGCGGGGGTCACGGCCGTGTGTGTCGAAAACTACAGCTCCAACACGCCCGGACACTTGTGCTTGACGCAGGGAGACATTGTAGAAGGTAAGACAAAGATATAAATTATTTTCTTTGTAAACTTGCCAATTAAATAGTTTAAGTTTAGACTGGTGGAAAATGCCTTTAAGAATGGACGGATTTATTTTAGTTATTTGTGTGGAATTTTATATGATTAAAATTTCTTCTATTTATTCTGTTCGAAAACAGTTGATATAAATTTCATTTCCAAACTTTAAAAAAATTTATCCATCCTTTATCATATTCTATAAAAATCAGTACCCGTATCAATTTAAAAAAAAAATAATTAAGTGCAAAACTCCGTAATTTAATACTCTCATAGTTTTATAAAAAAAAGACTTTCCTCCGAAAACCTATTTCAAATTTCAATTAAAAGACGAGACTAAAAAGGCATCTATAAAAACAGATCCTTTTCAACAGTCAAACACAGATTTTATTAATTTATTTAATTAAAAAAATAATCAGTTATTGTTAGTAACAAAATTAAATCAAAATATACAAAGATAATAATTATATGAGTGAAATCTAGAATTTTTTTACTATTTTAATTTTCCTTAACTTTTTATTCTAGCATTAAAAGTTTTTTTCAATATTCACTTTTTAGTACCTCAGAAAAATATTCATAAAACACTTTGGAAATTAATATTTAAAAACATTGAGTAGAGAATGTGATGATCTTTTACAGTCTCTATCTAATCTTTTGATTGTATCAAAATTTCATTCACAACAAGAATTAGAACTTAGCAAATAAAGATAAAGAAATAGCCTATCTTCATTATTGAGAGTAAAAAGTTTCACTATAAAATTAAGAACATCAAAGTCCGCTTATAAATTTGGCACCTCACCCAAAAATATTGAATGATTAGTTTCCAAAGTAATAGATATGAGATTCTCAAGTAAAAAATATTACATTTCAACATTTAATTTACTTATTTCTGCGAACTGCATTTTATGTTTTCTTGACTTTTTCCTGACTCAATGTTCCAATTGCGCAGTGACTGGTGCAACCGATTGCGGGCTGCTTGAAGGTACCTGCCGCGGGCGCAGCGGCCTCTTCGCCGCCCACTGCGTGCAGGAGGTTCGAATGCGGCAAAATGTCAACTCGGCCACCCTGAGGGTGGGAGGGCGTCGCGAGAACAAGATGAACCACTTCGCCACCGCCCCCAGGTCCAAAAAGCCCATCACCATCCGACTGCCCTCGGAGCCGCGGACGGTCGTGCTCCACCGCTCTAGAAAGGGCTTCGGCTTCGTGCTGAGGGGCGCCAAAGCCACGTCACCCCTCATGGAACTCACCCCCTCTGAAAGGTGTCCTGCCCTGCAGTATTTGGACGATGTGGACGCCGGTGGGGTGGCGGATGTGGCAGGACTGAAAAAGGGCGACTATCTGCTAGAGGTCAGTTAATTCACATAGAAATAATTTTCCATTAATTTACAATAATAATATTTTCATAAAGAGCTCAAAATTTCAGAACAACCAAATTTTAGCACGATCTCCTACAAAAACTTAAAACGAATAAGAAAAAGTTAAATAATAAATAACAAGATAAAAATGAAAATAAATTGAACAATTATAAACATTTTGTAGAAAGTTTTGGCTATGAAACTAAAAAATATGATAAACGTGGTTTCCTTGAGTGGTTATTATTTCATCGTAATTATTTCTTCAGCCTCATTCTGGTTTTTATTTTTCTTTAAAATTTCTCCACAATTTTGCAGATAAATGGCGAGGACGTGACGCAAGCGTCGCACGAACACGTGGTCGAGCTTATCAGGCGGTCTGGCGACCTGGTGGCCATGAAGGTGGTTTCCCTGGGCGAACCGGGCGTTGCGACCGGCATGAAGGCGGCCACCACGTTGCCCAGTAGGCAGTGCGCCACCCTTCCCAGGAAGTTGAATGCTCAAAGTGAGTTCCCCGTTTTTTCTCCTCCAATAATTGAAATTACTAATTTTTAAACAAAGAAGAAACGTTTTACCAAGACTAAACTTAATAAATGGGCGCTAACGTTAACGCTTTGCTGCTTTGCAGATCGTAACCCAGCGCCACTACCACCTCGCAGGGATCCTAAGACAACGCTAAGTGTGGGCAGAGCTCGGGCCAGATCTTTGGTGGCAGATTTAGGTAAAAATCTAATAATAACACTCGGATAACAATCAATGATACAACAGAAGAACAGTCCCTCAAAACGTTTGAAAAATAATTACACTGAAGAAGAAGATTAAATTAAAAATTATTTATTTGACTATTCTATGTATCAGCAGCGCCTAAAAATGGATTATTTCATAAAACATGTACACTTTTGCTGGAATTGGATTGATATTTTCAATTTATTTGAAGAATCAAAATAAAATTTAACCAACTGATTTTAAACATCCTAAATAAAATACCTATGAAAATTGAAAGCTTAAAAATAAAATTGCTAAGAGAAGTTTATCTTTGGAATGTTGGCATAATTATCATTAATACTCAATTCCCTTATATTTCCAACGAACTCACTTTTTTAGAGATTTTATCTCCAAAAATGTGCTTTACTTATTTCTTTTCTGCTTGAATGATAGATGGAAACCAGCAGCAAAACTCGAGCCAACTGGACGAAGCAGACAGTGAAGATGTGACCCTGTCGGCAAACACAACAAAGAGCAGCTCGACTGAAAGTGTGCAGGCAAGAGGGACGCCTCCGAGGACGGCGTCCATCAGGGCGAGACCAACCTCGTCTCGAATCACGGCCGCCGAACTGGAGGAGCTGTTTGCGCGCCAAGGACCTGCGCCACCTTCCCCAGCGGGAAGCGCCAGGACGCCCAAGGTCTATGCCAGCGTGGCTGAAATGAAACGCTCCAGAGGAAAGGTACGCAACTTAAAAATTTCTGCTCGCTAAAAATACAAATAATTTAATACGGACAGTTAGTATTTGTTGGTCAAATAAACAAATGTTATAATCGTTTTTAGTAAAAATAACTTTTAGCTCAGAAAAGAACAGACTGATTAATTCAGGTGATAATTTTTACTCCTTGGCATTTTTTTTAATTTATTTCCATGTAGACATCATGATGAAAATTGTATGAATTGGGAGAACTGAATTTTTTTAAACTGACTCTTTCCTTTTGGAAATTACTAAAATGTTTTTTTCCTCAAAATTAGCCCCTCTAAAATTGATAAAATCGCTCCAAACCAAGCTTGCATATACCACCCCAATTGAGTTGAAAAAATAACAACAATCAGCAGCTTGACCTAAAAATTAACACTGATATTTATGAGAATCCGCTTCTCTGTTAAATAAAAAATAAATAAATACAAAAATGATCAGAAATGTAAATATTTTGATTGTTTTGATGTTTGTCAGCTGGGACGTCGCGGGGCGTCGGACACGCTGCACAAGTCCTTCAGCAGCACCCCCGACTTGGCGCACGTCAGCCCAACGCATGCAGGCGCGCGAATGTGGTCGTCGCGGGGCGCGCGGAGTCAGGAGGACATCTCGTGGTGGGTGCAGCCCACGCAAACTTCTGGTGAGTGCCACTCGCGGCCTAACCATTCTAATAATACAAACAAACTTCTCAAAAACGCAGCCAAGCACAGAAGGACAAAAGTTAACAAGAAAGGTCTCGAACACTTGTGTGCCTATAATACCTATAAACTTACAAACTTAATTGCACTCGATATTGTACTCTCTGTTGGTTCTATTCATTCTCTTTGACGCATTATTTCGTATTTGGTGACTCTCTTTCTCTCTATATTGTGGTATGATTATTTTGCTGAAACCACTCGAGCAGCTAATTTTTGCCAAGTTAGATAATTTTTTCGTTTACACAAGGAAACATATTAGATGAAATCTTCAGAAAGCGATTTTTACCAAGCCCTAATCATTTTATATTCCTTAATATTTCCGTATTTAAAAAATGGTTTGATGGAAATTTCAAAATTATCAAAATCAGGAGGGCTGGAAACTAAGTAAAAATCGATTGACTTTGCTACCTTAAATTTCAAAACTTGACCTTAACCTGGTCAAATATTAATATTTTTCTGTCAACTGACATTTAATTTAACTTAAAATGTTTAATAAATAAAAAAAATAAACTCTTTGTGTTTGTGAAATTCTCTTTTCGAAACAGAATATATAGAATTTTATTACTAAAATGTTTTGTCTTATCAACTAATTAATTGAACTTTAATTCTTAGAAAATAGAAATGGATTTTACATTTTTTTTAATGCAGTAATATTATGTGTAGCAAAATTGACCTTTTCCAAGACTAGAATAATCAGAAAATTTTAATGTGGGGCAATTAAAAAGAATAATCTGTAATTAAATTTTCTATCTTTTGACAAAGTTTTAAAAATTGTTAAACAATAAGATGTTTTCGAGATTGCAAAAAAAAATTCTTATCACCTCAAATCAAGTTCGCTCAATTCGATTGAAATTCGGAAGTGAAGGTTTCACATTACGTTTCCTTGGCAGTTTCATAGAGCAATGGTATATCAATTACGTATTACATATAATTTTCCACACCCAGTGTTTCCAAGCAGACCTACGTTTGCATGTGGCTGATCACGTGTGAGTGTCGTTTTGCGCGGGTGAAAATTGGTTTTTGTCGAACGATTGCAGGTCACATCGGGACGACGGCGATGACGAACGGAGGCCGCGAGTACGGCCACGCGTGGCGCAGCATGGAGCGGCTGCACATGGAGCACGAGGCGGTCACTCGTTCCCTGTCGCAGCGCACCCGCTCCCTGCCGAGGAACCGCTCGCTCGCCGGCGCCGCACCACCCCCGCCCACCCACCCTCCGCCACCCATTCCTGTCGGCCAGGTCGTCAGAGTCGAGGTCTCGCCACGCACCAAGAGCAGCAGCGAGTACGCCACCGTCAGGGACTCGCCCGTCGGCCAGCAAGGTTAGTCACAATGAGTTTTTTTTTTTATGAAAAAAAAAAAAACTGACATTGCCTTGTGTAGATTTCAAGCAATGAAATATTTATACAGTTTCACACAAAAAATGTCCTTTTTCTTAAGTGAAACGTTTTCATTTTTCTCATTCCTATTTTCTTTAATGCCATTTTAATTAATTATATTTCATTTCTACGTTTTAATAAAACTTTCAGCAGACAGTCGAACTGCAACTCCTACCAGTCCTGAGCCAATCATGTCCAGCTTCAGGCCGGGCCCTGCCAAACTATACGCCAGTCCTGAAGAGGTAAAGGTCGTGGCTTTGCGGCAGGGTTCGAGCACCCTGGGCCGGACGCCAAAGGAAGGTGCCAAATCTCGATCGCACAGTCTTCCACCCAGTGGCGCCAGACCCTTGGTAATTTCACAACTTCCACATTCCTGCATTATTTTTTCTTATGTCCGTATCAAAATCATTTTTATTTTTTTAATGTCATGCACCCAAACTGTTTGTAATAAATGTCAAAAAGCTCCAGCCGAAAAGGCATGATTTAGAATTGAATAAATCTGGAGCTAAACGATAACTGTTAGAAAAAAAAAATAGAAGCTTTAACCTTGCGTGCTTGTGCAGGTCCGAAAGCACAGCCAAGGTGAGGGCAGCACCACTTTCAAGCCCCCGGCGGATGGGGCGCCAGCCTCCCCTGAGAAAGGGAGCGGCGCCACCAGCCCGTATGCACAACCCTTCCAGCACAACAATGCCGCGGCCGTCGCGCCTCCAGTTGCTGCTCCTCCTATTCCTGAACCTGATTACAGCATGAGCGAGGTGAGGACAAAATCAAACGAAATCAATTTCAGGTCCAGTGAGGTGCATCATTTGTTTTTTGTCGCACGTTTTCTTGACTCTAAATGTTGTGTTTTTAATTTGATTAATTTTTAGTGTTTATTATAGAGTAGAAATTTGTTGGAGAATAATGTGAAATCATTTTTGTTTTTCATATAAATGAATTAGAAACGCGACTTCACATATTTTTGGAGATAAATTAAAATTAAAAGCATATTAATTAGTAATTAAAATCTCCTACAATTTGAGGAAAATTTTTAGCACAAATTTTAAGCAAATACCTTCAATTTCATTTTTCACATTTTCATCTGATTTTAATTGACTTTTTAAATCCAAAGCTTTGATACATGATTGGATTTAATTTTTTACCTTAAATTAAAATTAATGTTAAGAATTTTACAATTTTCATCACTAACATTGAATTGAGAGTTAAAATGGTAACAAGGGGCTAAAAGAAATAAAAAATTGTTTGTATAATGAAAAAAAATAAGAGGAGTTATGGAATAAAAGGTGACCTATTACAGGGCGAAAGTGACGAAGGTGGCAGCGAAGCGGGCAAGGGCCCAAAGAAGGAGCGCCGCCCCTCGCGCCAGAGCTCGAAGGACTCAAACACGGCCGAGTCCATCAGCCCGAACGGACCTCTGTCCCCTTCTGCAAGGTCTTCCTGCATGTCACCCGTGTTCAAAGACCTGCTCGCCCAGAAGGTGGCTGAGAGGCAGACCAGGGTCAACGGGGCGGGCACCCCGGCCGAAGAAACGCCGCCGCCGCCCCCACCCCACGCCAAACAACCAGAGACGCCGTCGACACCCGTGGCAGAAGCGGCACCACCTGCAGCACCGTCTGCCAGCAACTCCTCCTCCTCCGCCGCAGCCACCAACGGCAATCTACCTCATAGTTTTAGTGTGGAGGAGATCCAAAAGGTACAACACATAAATCAAATTCAGAGCATGCAGAACATTTTGTAATGCACTAAAATCGCAAGCATGCCTTCTTGCAGGAAATCATCAATTCACTTTTCAGCTTTAAGATAAAATGAACGTTTCACTGTTACTTTCTTCTTTTAGAATTGAAAATCGATGTGGAGTAAAAATAAAAATAAATCATTTGCTTGCACTAGCTCTTCCTTCATATTTCCCAGATCAGCTATACTTTGGATGTTATTGAGTGTTGCCCGAAATTTAATGTAATTTTGTACTAATATTCTGTAATTCAATTTTTACAGGTAAAAACTCAATTAAAGAGCTCAAAATCCTATCCAAATGACTTCTCCCAGGAGGATGGTGATAATTCATCATCGGGGGTGAGTTCGGATCAGGACACGCAGCCAGAGCCAAAGACTGCGGGCGACACAACCCACCCCCCAAAATCCTCCTCGCCTCACTCAAAGTCTCAGCAGACCAGGTAAGAGTGGGACAGTTTGGTCCGTATTGATCTATAATTGGGTGTTTAAAAACATTATTTTGAAATATATATAAATCAATTCACAAATTGGCCGTAACTTTCTAAAAAGTAGATTTAAATTTTTGTGTAGACATAGATAACGAAAATAACCAGACACGCTCTTTCCCTTTTTGAGAGAAACCGCAAGGACATTTAAGGCTGTCATTGAATATTTTTCGCCATTGGTCATTTTCCCCCGACTAATAAGTTTGAACAAACAAAACAGGCCGATCCACACGACCCGCATCCAAGTAGGCGCGCCTGCATTTGTGCGCAGCTCCAGCGTGATCAACAGCGGCCGAGCACCAGGTCAGAAAGGGCCTGCTGCTATGGCGTTGAATGTGAATGGAAAAATGCCAGCGCCGCCCGAAAAGAAGCCGGCGCCACCACAGCAGGCGCAAAAAGACGAGATCAAACACATTTTGGAAGAGAGAACGTGGCAGCCAGACGGAAGCGAGTCCACTGATGCACCAGGTAATTACATTTTTTTACAATTTTATTAAAAAATAATAATAATTATAAAAGCTGAAGGTGGAAAAAAATGAAGCATGTTTATTTTTATTTTCAGAAACAATTAGTTTAGAAAAATCAAAGTCGCATAACTAAAGTTTAATGTTCTTTTAAAGATGCGGTCACCACTCAAAAGCCTAGGAGAAAGAGTGAGGATGGTGCAGGAACAGCGAGGCGAGCGGGCACTGGTACGCTCACCAGACACGCCGTTTCCCTCGTCCAACTTCCGCCTCCCCAAGAAAGTGAAGGCGAGAGCGATCACAGTTTACCCCCTGCAATTCGCCACTCGAACGTGAATTCAGCCACTCTTCCACACAAGACGACCAAGACCGTCACCTTCCTGGACCACAAAATCCAGGAGGAGCGCGACCGAGAACGACAGAGAGAAATCGAACGTGAACGAGAACTTCGAGTAAGTGTACAATTTTTAAATATAATTCAAGGAAAAAATACTTATCTCAAATTTTCAGCAAATGCAAATGCGAGACGGGCCTATCATGGCGTCCAAGCTGATCATGCCGAATCACAGGCAGCAGCCACTCTCCACGGCCCACATGGGCAGCATGGGCAGACATGGTGGGCAGCGCAGTCGAGAGGTGGACGCCATGGGCAGACCCATTGAAATGGAGCGCAGCATTGAGGAGAGTTTGCAGCTCATTCAAAGGCACGTCGAGCAGCTCAACATGGTCAGCGTAAGTATTTATAAATAAAATGTCATCAAATAGGTGGTTTTATAAAAAAAAATCAAAGAGTCTAGAAATTTTAAAAAGAGATTCCTAAAAGTTAAAAAAAAAAATTACCAAAAGATTATTTTTTCTGTCTCATATTTTCATTTGAAATTTCTTCAACAAAAAAGCAACATGTATATTAATTATTATATTCATTATCTATTTCTGTTTTAATAAATTTCTCTTTAATTTAGGGAACATCTCAATGTTAAAACTGATTGGTCTACTAAATACTAATGCTGAAAAGTCAAAAGTGAATAGATTTTGTTTTAAATTTTCACGCCTTCTAAACACAACTATGGCAGACTTTGTATTGTCCTCTGTAAAAATAAATTGACTTAAAATTCAAATTGCAGGTTGTTCCACCTCCGCCGGAATTTGATGGAGCTCGAGCAGCGGCCGCCGCTGCCGCCGCAGCAGCACACGCTCACCACTACCACCCGCACCAGGCGACGCACCCCCCGCACCAACACCAGCACCAAGGGGTGATGCACGCGTCATACCCGTCGCCACACCAGCAGGCGGCGGCTGCAGCGGCCGGCAGGGCGCACCACCCCCACCTGTACCATTTGCACCCGGCGCCTGACGAACCGGTGCTGGTGGCGCCGCCGCCAGAGTTCAGCGACCTCGGCGAGCAACACAAGATGACCATCAGGGTGAGTGGCGCGACGCGCAACACCCTGCAGCGCATGACGCCCGAGCAGCAGGCGCAGTACCTGCGGCAGCGGCAACTCGAGGAGATGGCGCGCCACCGCCACCTCGAGGACCTCAACCGGCAGCGCCAGGAGGCCATCCGCATGCAGCAGCAGCAGCAGCAACAGCAAAAGACTGTCCGAATTGTAGGCACCCTGCCCAAGAAAGCGCCCTGAGACTAGTTTCGTTAAACAGTGATTTCTCCATCTTTTTTTCTAAATATTTATACAGGCATGTTGAATCTATTCAATGATCTCACTCGGTGGCAATGAGTCAGCCAGTCAAAGCAATTTTTCACGATTTTCATCCGACACCACATCGCAATAGCAACAAAATAATAAATGCCGCCGTCCTTGACTGAAAGGGTCCGGCAACAGAATTTATAAATAAAGAGAACTATTGAGTTTGCAGGTTGCTGAACCCTTTGAAGGGCTCTTTGTGAAAAAACGCACACACATCACTTTTTTGGTTTGCGACGCGGTGTTTTTTTCTGTTTGTTGTTCGCTTGTGTGTAAATATTTTACAACGAATTCATATTATATTATCATTGTACGTTGGATGAGAAGAAGTCAGGGGGCCGCTTGGGAATCACAGGTCGCCGGCAGTTTACTTGAAAACCCACCACCACGTTTTTCTCGTGCCGAGGAAAGTTAGAATCCCAATAAAAAGACTACACTTTGTACATAACTAATAAAAATCATTAACGCAGTTGAATGTATAAATGTTTGATAAGAGCCAACAGTTAGAGGTAAAATTATACTTCTACGCGATAATTATAGAGTGTGGAGCGCGCGAATTTGTGACTGAAAAGAGCCACAGCAAAAAACACTTTGACTCGTTTTCAAGCCTCCTTTCAAGTCCAATGTGTAAAATGTCATTCCCAGTTATTGTGATTCTTAGTTGGTAATTTAAATTAATTTATTCATGCCAAATTTGTGTCATATGTATTGATTGATAACTCGATTTATAAACGTGGCGTACATTAAAAAAAGAGAGAAAAACCTGCTTGTGGATCGAGATGCTTTTCATCGGAAGATAAAAAAAGAGAAAACGCATGTATGATTTCTGAATGTTTGTGTATCATATTATATTGTTACATAAATAAGTTCCCTCGTAAATTATCAACATGAAAAGTCTTCTGCCCCAAAAATAACGAGGGGCAAACATTTATTATTACCGCCATCATTACTCTGTGTATCGAAACACCCTCGGCCCACACTCCCTCAACTCTTTCTATCTATCAAACTCATCATTGTGACGATTAATGATCTATATTATGCAGTTGTTTCCGCTCTATATTGTTGGAAGAAAAATGCTCATGCCAAAGTTTGCGAGGTGCAATAATGTTTTTTATTTCGCGAGATTTACAAAAATTCGGCTTCAATTTCTAGCGCTTTTAGGGAAAATGCTGACGAGAGCCTATTATACAACATGTTTTGTAATAAAAAATCAAACTCAAATTATTACTTGTGGAAGATATATCATTACAACCATGATGATGAAAACATTGCAATGATGGACTATTGTATTTTAATATTAAACAACAAAATCGCCTAACGTTCCACAATATAAACTAAAAATATCCTAAAAATTTTCTGGAATTTCATTTCTAAAAATAACCCAAACCAAACCTATAATTATTTTCATACAAGTAATCTTTCCACTCACTGTAATTCAATTTTGTGCTTACTTAAGATTGTTTGACCTTGCAATTATTATTTAACAAACAATCGCACCAACTAAAAAAGACGCTCAAAATCTTACATGAAATGCTGCAATCAATTAATTTCTTGTTTGAATTAAATCTGTTTGAAAAATCGATTATGTAGCTGAATATTTTATAAAAGCCAAAACTTCAATAAAATATCAGGGCTGGTAAAAGTTTAGAAATATTATCAATAAATAAAAGATGATAATTTAACCAATTAGGTAGGTTTCAATATTAGGTAATTCTCTGGCAACAAGCCGGAAAAACGACGAAAGCCTATTTGGTAGAGAGAATTGATAGCAAGCCTTAGTAAACAACTGGAATAAAACTTTTGGGCCAAACTTTAAATTGAAATATGTGATAAAATATTTTTTAATTATGGATATTCAAAAATAAATCCTTTAAACGCATCCAAAGTTGATCACTTTTTAAAGTGTCGACATATTTGGTTGCGCAAAAAATTTATCAACAAGCATAAACAAAGCAGAAAAACCTTGTTTTGGTATATTCGCCAACAAATGACGTTCTTGCACGAGATAAATCTGATATTATAAATAGGAAAAGCTGATACGAGAGCAGTATAGATACCCTCTCGAGACCAGTAGCAGGGTTATTCTCCTCGATGGCTTACACACGTTGTTCACTCGTCTGCGCTCTCCTGATCGCCGGTTTGGTTTCAGCGGCGCCCACTGGCTCGGAATTAGAACATTTGGAGCCCCAATTGCCAAACGTTTGTTCATTCAGATATACTTCAAATTCAACAGCGAGTTATATTTATTTTTTATTTTTAGGAAGATGTGGTGAACAATGATGTTGCCCAAGTGAAGGTAATTGAATATTTAATATTTTTTTTCCTTGTAAATAATGTGTTTTTCAGAGACATATTAGATTGCAAGAGACTCCCACAGAAACTTCTGAATGTAATGAAGAACATCCACCCCCTTTATGCAACCTGAAAAAAACCCTGGAAGTAAAATTTTAAAGCAAATTTTTTTTAAACACTTGGTACTAATAATTACAAATTCTAGCCTATTGCCGCAGATGTCAAGAATATCATTCGTGAATTCTGCCCAAAATGCACAGCATCAAAGGTTGGAAAAAATAGAATTTTTAAAAGAAGTTAAACTAGCACACATTTTTAGCGCGTCATATTGGAAAGGATGATGGATACTATAGTTCACACGTGCAACGAACAGGCCGCAGAAGAAGAACCCCAGGCTGAGGGACTTGCGAAAAGAGTGGCTGATAATGTGGCTGCTCTAATCATCCAGCACCAGCAGAGACACCAGGAAGAAAATCCACTTCAAGGGGAGAACACCGAAAAACTCGTGGACCAACTTATGGCCCGCATTGCCGCTACCAATATTCCTTGCACTCGCGTTGCACGACAGGATGATTTAATATCCGATTCTAGTGATTCCAGTGATCCTAGCGATTCCAGTGATCCCAGCGATTCCAGTGATCCCAGCGATTCCAGTGATCCCAGCGATTCCAGCTCCTGCTCATGCGACTCTTGCAGCTGCTCTTCCTGCTCATGCGATTCTTGCAGCTCAGATTCCTGCTCTTGTGATTCCTGCTCGTGCGATTCTTGCAGCTCAGATTCTTGCTCTTGTGATTCAAGTAGCTCAGATTCCTGCTGTTGTGACAGTTCAAGCTCCAGCTCTTGCAGCTGCTGTTCCAGTAGTTCTGACTCCTGCTCATGCGACTCCTGCTCCTGCGATTCTTCATCCTCTAGTGATAGTTGCTGCTGCTCATCATCTTCAAGCGATAGCTGCTCATCTTCGTCAAGCTGTTCCTGTGATTCTTCATCTTCGAGTGACAGCTGCTGCTGCTCCTCGTCTTCGAGTGACAGCTGCTCATGCAGTTCATCTTCAAGCGATAGCTGCTCTTCATCTTCATCTAGCTGCTCTTGCTCTTCTTCCAGTGATAGCTGCTCATCCTCCTCCAGTGACAGCTGCTCCTGCTCATCATCTTCTAGTGATAGCTGCTCATCATCTTCCTCGAGCTGTTCCTGCTCCTCGTCTTCGAGTGAAAGCTGCTCATCTTCCTCGTCCAGCTGCTCCTGCTCCTCGTCTTCGAGTGACAGCTGCTCATCTTCATCGTCCAGTTGCTCCTGCTCCTCGTCTTCCAGTGACAGCTGCTCATCTTCATCCTCGAGCTGCTCGTGCTCATCATCTTCAAGTGACAGCTGCTCATCTTCATCCTCCAGTGATAGCTGCTGCTGCTCATCATCTTCTAGCAGCAGTAGTTGCTCTAGCAGTAGCTCCTCGTGTTCCTGCGATTCTAGTAGCTCCGATGACTGTTCCAGCTCTTCATCCTGCTCATGCGAATCTAGCAGCAGCGAATGCTGCTCTGGAGAGATTCACAAGGAATGCAAGTGCTGGAAAAAGGTGTCGGTTGAGTGCCCATCCAGCTCTGAGTGTAGCAGCAATTCAGATTCTATCTCATGCCACAGATGCAGCGTGTAAGTGCAAAACCGAGACATTAATTTTTTGAATTATATTTTAAAAATTTATTTTTTAGGCGGACACATCTTATTCCGGTATACCAAGAAGCTGAGCAAGCGTATTACTAATTTGAAGGTGAGTTCGACTTGCTTCAAAATTAATTTTTTCTAAAATACATTTTTTTCTACTTAGGTTTATTTAAAAATTTTTGCAATCCTGACATAAATTATTAGCCTAGTAACAACAAGTAAGAAATATACCAAGTTTCTCACATCTCTTCAATTAGGCATCTCCTCAAAACTCGCACATTCATTTGTATTGTTAATATAGAATGATATAGAATATGCACAATGTGCAAATTAAGGTGATGAAATAAAAATGAACGCTTTTGTAATCAACCAAACAAAGTGTGTGTTTAACGATGAAACCTTGAACACCCGATAAAAGCTTCTTCCTCCATGATTTTATATCAATGATAGAATGAATTTTGTAAACTTTAAGCCTGAAGAAACGCTTATCGATGAAAATTTTATGTGATTATTTTTGTTTTGAGTTTCAATTTCAATTATAAAAGCAATTGTCGCAAACGAGAATTTCACATTCAGTTTGCGACATTCAATCCAGAACGTTTTAATAACAATGACGGAGCTAAGATTTGCGATTCTGTTTTTCGCAATGTTTGTGACACTTCAAACCTCGCAGTGCGCAGAAAAGGTAGATTAATTGTACTTTTTAAGAGTTTATAAACATGATTTCAAAGCAATTTTGAGCAAACTTTCTTGTAATATGAGGTTAATTATTTAAATTTAATTTCTGGTTCTAATTATTATTGTTATTTTAACATGGATAAATATTTAAATAAGAAAATTATTTTTCATTTTCACACACAAAAGAAGCTAAATTAATTCCATTAGTTCTACTTTTATTAATAAATTTATATATTATCAACCTGAAAAATTTATTAACTGAATTATTCATTATATGAAACAATTCAAACCAGGCAAAAGCGACTGAGGATATTAAAAAACAACCAACTTACTCGAGAAAATCAAACGTTAGTTCAAAGGAGGAGGTAACAGTAAGTGTACATTTATTGAATATTCTGTTAACAACTATTTCATTTATAAGAATTCTAAGAGTGAAGGGGGGTTTGCGAAAACCATGGATCCCCAAAAAATAGAGGAGCTACGGAGGGCAATTCGTGCATCAATGACAGGCCACATTTGTAGCCCTTACTACTGCAAGAAGTGCAGCAACTCTGACAGCAGCAGCAGCAGCTCTTATTCTGATAGCAAATCAAGAAAATCGACAAGCAGTTCTTCGTCTTCCGAATCCCACTCGAAATCAAGCAAGCAACAGAAAATTAGGATGCTAAATGTGAAAAAACTGCACGACAATTTGATTGAAATGGCCAAGGCGCTCAGGGGCGAGTCTATTGAATCCAAGGATATCAACAGGTTCTCCTGCAAGCCTAACTGCATTGCTTGTTGCCAGCCTGACAAGTGAGAATGCTTTCCTAAATAATTATTTGTATAATTATGAAATTTTTTTAAACTTTTTCAGACTGGTGCCAGTTTATGATTTGCCAAAACCGCAAGGATATTTCCACCCTACGCCTTTAAATATTAATAACCCACCTCAACAGATTCCCTATGGTATGGTATATCATTATAAAAAAATTTAGGCTTATATGCAAATTTAATTAAATTGGCAGGCCATCCAGCACCGCTACCACCTGGAAGACTGTACCATGTGGATCCACAATATGCAAGAAATTATTAGATAAAATTGAAATTAATGCGCATTAAAAATAAAATAATAAATTTTGCTTTATTTGTGAAGAATAGTAGTTTTCATTAGAATTTTATTCTAGTCTTTCCTATTGTAAGTCAATGCTAATCAAAAATAAGTGTAGCAATTTAAAAACAATATCTTGGTTAGATTTAAGTTAAAATGTTGACAATTCATAAATTAAATGTAAGTGCAGTTCGTGATGGTGATGAGAAAATTTTCGAATTTTTTCACGCACGAGTGCTGATGCAATTTGTAAAACAAACAATTTACAAATCCTTTTGAAAACAATTTCATTCATCACTATCGTCACGCTTCCAAAACTGGCATGCGGAAAAGTTCTTTGCGATATTTGTTAGTTTCATTTCGTGACTGGCACTTGACGCCTGCAATTATGAAGTTGCTCCCGATAATTGCAATAATTTATCTATTGTTTGCGGCGCAGGTCAGTGATATTATTTATATTATATAAAAGAATGTAAATTACTTATTTTGAATCACTTTTTTCATACAATTATTCAATTAGTATCAAAATAATTTTAATATTAATATCTGTTAAGGCTGCTGCTGGAAGCAAAAAAGAAAAAAGTATCAAGTTAAGGACTAGTGCTAAAAATAAAAAGCAAGGAAAATCTGCGTCATTGCGAATGCCGTTGTTGCTTAATAACAATCCCTCAAAAAATGTGTTGAACAGCGTCAGTTCATCTAGTAAATCCCAAATGAAATTGGAAGAGTTAGATAAGACGGTAAGTTTCGTTTTTAATTTCATCATGAAATTATAGTTTTAAAATTTCAGCAACTTCTTAATATCATCAATATAATGGCCATTTCCAACAACGACATGCTGGCAAAAATAACCAGCCAAATAGACGCCCTGAGTAAAATTCCAGCGAGGAAAATTGCTTTTGAAGATTTAACGAAAAAGGAGGAAAAGTTGCAGCAAAACCCGGCGTTTTCAGGAATGTTCCCGGGATCAAATTCTCCCCCAAGAATAAATGATGCACCTGTCTTACTGAAGCTCCCGACCACTAATTTTGAGAAAAGTGGTTCTAGCAGCAGTAGTGAATCGGAGAGCTCAAGCTCAAGCAGTAGTTCGGAAAGTTCCGAGTCCGATGAAAGCAGTTCTTGGAATTCAAGTCTTGAACGGCAAGACCGACCACCGGTTACAGTTAGCCAACTGGTAAACAGACCTCCTACTTCAAACAACCCTTCACTAGGTAGTGAAAACTCATCCAGCAGCAGCTCATCTTCATGAAAGGTGTCAATTGAAATATGTTAATACGTTAATTGTTCTTTATGTTTGTTATTGTTACATTAAATCTTTATTTATTTAAATAATGAGAGCATGGAGGAAAATTTTGTTTCATTTAGCTGGTCATTGTTGCGCAAAGGAAATAATACATGTACATAAAGGATTTAAAAAGAAAAAAACTTGAAAAGAACTTGAGTATAAAGTAAATGATACGCTACAATCATATTGCAGTTGCAATTTAAGGTTATTGGTGTATCACAAGGCAATCTCTGCATATAACAAAATGCATCATCAATATAATTATTCAAAAGTTATAAATTTAATATTATTTTTAATCTTGAATTATATAAATTATTAACCAAAATATAAAGAAATAAGAATGTCTTATTTAATAAAATATATCTTTCATTCAGAATGATAATTACGTTTATTAAAAGATAAATGATAAATGATGCAACTGACTAACATTACAACCTTTTTAATCAATCTCTATTATCAGCCAAAGCACTGATATGACAAACACTACTCAATTTTTGTTCTGGCAATTGTAGTTGTGTAAAAAAAAAACATGGCGTTTTCTTTGAGCTCAATTTCTGAGCTTTTCACGCAGGAAACTTTAAGAGTGGTGGTGGAAAAGGCCTTGGCCCTGAAGGGCACTCCTGACCTCAAAATAAAAAGCTACTCGGTCGAAGCGGGCGCTGGAAAAGGCGACGGTTACATTGGCATCATCTACCGCATCAAGGTAGTACTTTCGGACGGTTCCCTTCTTCCCATGATTGGAAAGGGCCTTCCGCCCAATATGGTCCGCCGGAAGACCTTCCGTTGCGAGTCCTATTTCAGTAAGGAGGTGCTGTTTTACAATCAGTTGGCGCCGATGCTGCGAAACTTTGAGCTGGAGCGGCGTGGCGCTGAAAAAGTCACTTCCGACTCTTTCCTGCCCATCCCTGAGTGTTTCCACGCCTTCAGCGACGGCCAGAACGACTTTTTGGTCATCCAGGACCTGACCGAGTTGGGCTACGGCATGACCGACCGCAAAGCAGGTTTGACCTTAGGCCAGACGAACGCCATCCTTCACTCTCTGGCTCGATATCACGCCCTTTCCTACGGCCTGCAGGCGCTTTACCCTGAGGAATTTCTTCAGGTCGCCAAAGGAATCGCAGAGCCGTGGTTCGCACCCCAATATTCCACCATCTACGCAAGGTACATGTTTAAAATTTATAACGTTTGGCTTCGTGCGGTCCAGGACGAATTGGAAGGAACAGACGTTTTGGAAAAGTTGAAGGCTTTCGGCAAAAACGAGCACGTTCTTTTTGAAAAAATTTGCAATTCGGTTCAAGCCCTGACGCCGTCTGTCATCAACCACGGCGACGCTTGGTCCACGAATTTCTTATTCAGCGGAGATAAACCCATGATGATCGACTTCCAAATGGCCAGGTACTGCTCACCTATGGCGGACCTTTCAACTTTCATCTTTGCATGCACCACGGAGGAGCAAAGAAACTCAGCTGGCGGCATGGATGAGATTTTGGACAATTACTATGAGGTAATTTTTTGCTAAATATATAATATGAAAAAATGGGCCAAAAATAATATTAAGTTGTAATTTTTCAGGTCTTGTGTGACTCAGTAAATAAATTGGGCGTTGCAAAATGCCCCCTGACGAGAGAGCAGTTACAGGAGCACTGGCGAGTGAACGGACTAAACGGGTTCGCTGCTGCACTCGAACTGGTGCCCTTTTCCATGGTCGAGTCTGAGGACGTGCAGGACATTGACAGAATGGAGGGCGAAGAGCCCGTCGATCTAGTAGAGCTGACGCAGTTCAAGGATATCACAGATCCAGCAGGAAAGAAAAGACTGGTTGATCTAACGCGATTGGCAGCTCACTATGACATAATTTAATTTCTAATTAACATTTTGCTTTTGAATATCAACTTGAATTATAAAATATAAATATTTATAATAATAATAAATAAACTAAATAGACAACAAATGAAGCAATAACTTATTATTCATCAATTTTTTTGCTTATCAAGTATCTCATTATTTTCATGTTTAATTATCCCATCAGTTAAGCAAAAATCAGAGGAAATAAGAGAAAACGTGTAAATCTGAATTAAAGATTCTTAGATTTGCATGTGGATTGCAAATAAAACTGTTCAAGTTGAAGAACAAAATATAAATTAATTTTTTTTTTAATTTTTAATAATTCATTCCATTCCAATTTTCTGCCAAAGCTTATTAATTTAGGCAAAAGACCACAAATTTGTGTCAAATAATTTTCGCTATATTATTTTTTGTCATAAAAGTTTGGGAGCTATTTAGATATTAGTTTAATTACAATTATTATGCATTCAAATATTTATTTATCTTTTTTGGGGCTTCTGTATCATGCATTTAAAAATTTGCATATTGCTCATTTAGGTGTTGATATTATAGTGCAAAAATTAGTGTTGATTTCCACTCCGAGATGTCGGGTTCGGCAGTTCGCGGCCTCCAGATGCCGGGTCCGTATCTCTAAACTCTCCAAAATAATGGGTATGTATGGAAGGATATTTTTTAATGCCATCAAAAGCTAAATTGATTAATAAAGTCGATTCACTCAATAGATAACTGAGCCGCTTATTGGAGTAACGAAACATGGCGCTGTCTCTGAAAACCATTTCCCAGTCCTTCACCGAAGAAATTTTACAGGTGGCCGTGGACAAGGCCCTCAGTTTAAAAGGACGCACCGGACTTGGCATTAAAAGTCATTACGTTGAGCCAGGAGCGGAAAAGGGCGATGGCTACATGGGAATCATTTACCGGATCAGGGTGCAGCTGTCGGACGAATCCGAACTGACCCTGATAGCCAAAGGTCTCCCACCAAACATGGTGCGAAGGAAGACCTTCCGCTGCGAGTCGTTTTTTGCAAAGGAGGTTCTCTTCTTTAATAAACTGGCACCGATGCTGCGAGAATTTGAAATAAAAAGACGTGGAGCCGAAAAAGTAGCCTCGGACCCTCTAATGCCTATTTCTGGCTGTTACTTCGCAATGAGCGACGGCCTGAACGACTTTTTGGTTTTTGAGGATTTGAAAGCCTTGGGCTACAACATGACAGACCGAATTTCAGGCCCAACCGAGGCCCAGAGAACGTCCCTGCTCAACACTTTGGCCCGATTCCACGCCCTTTCCTACGCCCTGCAAACCCTGGAGCCGGAGAAATTTTCCAACGCCGCCAATCTGATTGGCGAGCCGTGGTTTGCGCCCGAGTTTGCCAAAACCTATGAAGGGTACATGTACAAAATGTACAAATTGTGGCACAACACGGTGAAAGACGAACTTGAAGGTACCGAGTACCTGCGCAAGCTAGAAGCGTTTGGCAAAAACGCGCAAGTACTCTTTGCCAATTTGTGCAAGTCTGTGAAGTTGCTGAACCCGTCGGTAATAAACCACGGAGACACATGGTCCACCAACTTTTTATTTGACAAGAGTGACAAAGTCATGATGATCGACTTCCAGCTAGTCAGATACTGCTCGCCTATGTCCGATCTTTCAATTTTCATCTTTTCCTGCACCACTGAGGAGCAAAGGGAGGCAGCTGGTGGTATGGACGCCCTGCTCAGAAATTATTACAATGTAAGAAAGAATAACTTTTTAATCGAAAAAAAAAGCATTTTATAATTAAATTTCTGTAAAAAACCTGCACATTTAAATTATAATATTATCTTCCATAATTTCTGCTTTTTAGATTCTATGTAACGCAGTTCATGAACTGGGAGTTTCGAAGTGCCCATTGACTTGGGAGCAATTGCAAGACCAGTGGCGCGTCAACGGTTTGCTCGGATTTTCATGCGCTCTCGAGTTGGTTCCTCTTTCGCTGGTCGAATCAGAGGACGTTCAAGATTTGGACCGCATGGAGGGCAACGAGCCAGTGGATCTGGTCACGCTGACCCAATTCAAAGACATCACTGATCCGCAGGGGAAAAAGCGCCTATCGGACTTGACCAAACTAGCCGTTGACTATGGAATGTTTTAAGAAATATCAAAAAATTGTATTATTATTATTATAATTTGTAAAGAAAATTTAATATTATTTAAGCTGAGAATTGAAAATAAACATAAAAAGTTCATGACACGATTTAAACATGGTCTTCACTTAGTTGCAACTTTCCAAATAAGCATTTGATGATCGCAGCCCAGGGCAACGTAGGGCAAATGGTAGTGCCACGACAGTCCATACGCAATCTGTCAAAAAGTTCCAACGTATTTCAGTGTTTCTCTCATAAAATTTTTGTAAACGGTCTAATATAACAATAATAAAAATAAAATCCAAATTTCTACGAAACTTGACTAAAATAAGGATGAGCAAGAGTGAGACAAGAAAACATGCAGTGGTACTCACCGGAAGTGGAACAGATAATTTTGGAAGTTTGGCTGAAATGTTGTACACTTTGAGTTGGTGCCCGGGCCTGCCAATGGTGGCCAAAACCAGATCGGAGTTGCTACTGAATTTGATCCAACGGCCACCCTGAGGGTGCACAGGACGCACTTCAAGAGGTTGGCTGTAAAATTTTGTGGTCAGTCTCAGATTAAATAATAATTAAATTGCTATCAACCTTGGTTTTGAAATGTCCCAAACAATCATTTCTCCCCCAGCTAGAGCACAAACAAACATGCTGTTCGACGGAGCCCAATGGGCTGACATGAGCGGTGTCGTGCCAGAATCGAGGGACATCATGGGCTGCTGGTTCTGCACATTCAAAAGTTGGATGAGGCCATTCTTCTCGGCCACCAGCAACTTCCCTGGTTCTTCTCCGTGCCAACAGACAGCCATTCCTTCAATAATAAAAATAAAAACTCTCACATAGTTTTGGGATTTTATTTCAATTAATACCAGGTGATTTTAGATTGATTTTGATCTCTGGCTTTTGGTGTTCACTCTCATCCCTAGTATTCCAAATTCTACACGTGAGATCGTCACTGACAGAGGCAATCAAATTTCCATCCGGCTCGAAAGCCATCGCATTGATGTAGCTTTGGTGCCCCTCCAAATCTGTTATGGTCACACTTTCAGACAGATCTGTTTTGTACAGTTTAATCTGGAAAATATTTTTTATTACATGGAATCTTAAAAATTGTATGATCATACAATGTTGCTCATTTTAATTTCGACAGTTGGAACAGTGGAGACGCTGTACGCAACTGCAAAATGCACAAGTCTCGGGAGACCTCTCAGGGTTGTGTCAGGACTCCACGCAATCGCTTGTGGGCGAAGGCTTTGCTTGAAGGTTTTAAGCTCAATAAAAGTTATATCCTGCGATTTGGAGACTCGTCCTGACTCGCTCAACTGGCTGTACATCTGCAGCTTGGTGTTGTCGGGTGTTTCTTCCCAAGCATGATCTTCCTGCAAAAATGAAAATGATCCTCTTCTTACGACAAGTAAATTATTTAACGTACTGGGAAGAGGACGGCGCCTAGAACGACAGAGTTTTCGGTGCCGACGCATACCAAATCCTTTGACCAACAAAAAGGAGAAAATTCAACGACGAAAATCTGACTTGGAAAATCAAATGCGTGCTCCTTTGCTGCGTTTGGAGTCCTCCTACAAGAAGTTGAACCATATTAATAAATCGAGAAGCACAAGAGTAAATTAATAACATTAAAGTACATAGAAAATTAAATTAATTACATCATGCCGGCAGTCTGATGTTGATTGTTTTTGTATCAAGTTAAGTGAGTATTGAAGATTCTTCTTCCTATTTATTCCAGTGATTCCTTTGGCTAGAGGATGGTCAACTTTTAGTTGTGACGTAATGACCAACATTCAGTTAATAATTACTCGCAAAACAACAGAAAATCTTCAAATTTTAAATTGTTGCCTTTTCTGTTTTGCATTGGCCGCTAAAAATTTAGCCATGTGATTAAAAATGGTTCATGTTCCCGCCGCTCGAGAATTCAAAATGTAGCGCGAACGCAGCACGTGCCTTGCTAAAATTTGGTCAACTTGTCAAAATGTGTGTTCTTTCGAATAATTATTTTTGTTTCTTCATAGTTCTTATGTTGTCTGCAAGTGTGTTTCGTCATTATTCAAAACCACATGTTACAATGTGGTAATGAGTTTGAAAAAAAATTGAGCTGGTGTATTAAAAATTAAAAAATGTAAAATAATATTAAATAAACTCACCAATATTTCCTCTTTATGATTATAGTGAGGAATTAATTAAAGAGACCTGAAGCATGATGTTAGTTGAGACCGTAAATTTTTTATTTTTACTGATATACAAATTACATGTTGAGCAGAATATTCACAAAAACTTACATGTATAAATGAAGCACATAACAAGAGAACATGAATGTGCTTTTATTACTGAATTCAATAAAAGAATTTGTCTTTTGCTATAAAAGACCTTTTATCACAAGTATTTAGCTGCAGCAAAACTTATCTAATAATGAACGTAACTAAAAATGCAGTGATTTGAGGGTTCTCGTCTATTATTTCTTACAAACTAGTTTGAAATGGGAAAAGCATGAAAATGTGCTGCAAACTAATACCAAATAGAAAACAAGCTTATTTTCTTCGTAATTCTTAACAACATGAGCTTAGGATCATTTTTTAATCAGAACAGTGCGCAAGATTAGAATTGATTTGAATACTAAAAAACTTAACCTTACATCTAAAGTGGCAGCACTCATGACTTGCAATCTTCGCCTGCAATTTTGGAAAAAATATAATCTAAGGATAAGATGATTTATAATTGATTACACGTACTTTCATGAGTAGAGGCAGCAGACTCTTGGGAAAATTGGTGTTCATTGAATGGTTGGTCTGGACCTTCGGGCAAGTCTTCGGAACTTGCCCCTTCGTGGGTAGCATCGTCAGCAACTTTGCTCTCTCGTTCACTGGAAGGCTCTCGTTCCTTAATTATCCTCTTTCTAGTTTTTGGCACACAGCTCAAATATGTTTCGTTGCGTCGCCGCTGAAAAATTATAAAGAATTGTAATTTTATTAACATTTAATATGTAATTAGAAAAAGCTCATTTTTTTTTAAACAGCTACATAAATGGCTTTAATATTGCTTAAAACCTTAATGTAATTTCAATTGATTAATTGAGAATTTAGATCAAACCTGGGAAGGATCAGCTTTAGGAATCTCAAGTAGTGGGTTCTTAAGGGCATAGTCAGCTTTGTACTTTTGCACAACGTCACCTATTTCCTTTGCTCGGTCCAAAGAAACAAGCTCTAAAATTTGAATTAATCAGAATCAATAAAAAATCTACGCCGTATTGAATAAATCTAACCTAGGCAAGCCAGAAAATTCTCTTTTTCATCCAATTTCCTAATTTCGAGAGGAATTCCAAATTTCCTATCGATCGAATGTGCTAAGTTCTGCAAGTCCAGGTCGTAATCAATTTTCATTTGTTCCAGGCTGTTGAAATTTGAGCTTTTATTAATTTGGCTTAACAATTTTATTATTTTCAATTACCTCACTACTTTTTCCTCATAATCCTGCTTGGGAACAACAGCCGTTTCCGTTTCCATTTCTTGGTTTTTGCATTCTGATTGGTTTTCAGAATTTTCAGCCTTATCCTCCAAGCATTGCTTCTTTTCAGGCACTGCCTCGTTTTTGTTTCTGATTGAATGTTTCATCCTCATGATCTTCATCAGCCGGCGCTAAAATCACAAATTTGCAGCGAATTAATTTAAAAAATTCAAATTCAAAATCTTTTTCAAATTTACTTTCAGAACAAAATAGAGTGTTGATTATCCACAACAAACAAAGCCGATCATCAATTTAATTATTTATTTTGTTGGAACCGACCATTGAAAAAAACTTTATTAAATTTGTGTCTCACAAATCTTTTTGTTGCTATTTTGATTACTCTTTTTATTTTTTTCAAGCTCTAATTTTATAAAATAAAAATTAACTGATTTGTTAATTATTATTCTGCATCAATTTTACTTTTAAGCAATATTTTAATTGAGTTTATTTTATTGATTTAGGAAAAATAGATAGTTGGAAAAGTTGTAAGGGGAAAGCCTAGTGTGTGCAACAGGACACACCTCCTTCCCCCGTTCCCTCGTGTAGCAGCAGCTACGTCAAGGGCAGTGATTAGACGTTTATGTCAATAAAATAATCTACGATTTAGAAAAGTGCTAATAGTTCCGTTACTCGACATTATCCTTTTTCAAATGCAAAAGAAAACCAACAAGAGCTTTTCTTTAAAATATTATAAAAGTTAAAAGAAATAACAAATGAATAAAAACCCAAGTGAAAGTCCACTTGTTTGCTGCCGCCCATATTTGACAAAATTTGAAAGTTTGATTATGAAAAAAAAAAATTTGCATTATTCTATCTAGATAATTGGGAAAAGGGAGATGATTTAAAATTTATTTTATAAATAAATCAGAAAAAAAATTAATTTTAGATGACATTATAATTACCTGACTCGCGCCGAGGGTTGCAATGTAACGCTGGAGATCACTAAGCTCCTTTTTGACCTCGGCATTCTGAAATTATAAATGGTTTTTTGGTTGCAGAATTTTTTCAGTGTGAAGTTCAAAGTACTTATAACATAGAGATCAAAAAGATAAGTTCATTAACAGTTAAAAAATTGTGACGCGGAAGATAAAGAATTTTATTATTATATTCTTAATTAAAAATCCAGCGCCATTTAAAATTATTTATTTATATATTTACTTAATTCTTTCCTAAAAATAAAATTTTATGCTCAGCTTTATTTTAATAAAAAAAATTCTAAATATTAAATATGTCGATGAACTCAATAAAAATATTGTTAAACTGCAAATTTTTCCTCTCAATATCATTACTCACCTCACAGTTGTTTTTCAGCTTGAACTGCAAAACCTGCAACACGATTGGCAAACAAGTGGTGTTAAATTATCGAACTAATCTTTTTATTGTGAGTAAAAAATCCTGCAGATTCGTTGGGAACGAAATGATTCGATTGAAATAAAAAAGTCTAGATACAGGCATTTTATTTTGACAAAAGCACACGCACGTACACACCGCGAGAGCTAGATCGAGTGACCATGAAAATAAAATAAACCCGTCTGGCATATTAGCTAAGTCGGAGGCGTTTGAACCAAAATGAATGGGGAGCTGCGAAAATTGCACATTGCAAAGTTCAACATTCAAGGAATCGTTCTTGATAACATTTCGAAAGGGTTACAGGTCGAATTAGGGAAAAAATCAATGTCGAAAATAACAACTCATTGCCAGGGGTTGACGAGCTGCGAGAAAATCGTAGTCGAGAGCAGAGGTCGAGCTGGATTTTCCGAAAATTCGGGTTCAAATTTACCTGATGGTCGCAAATGGCTAGCCTGAGTTGCTTTTGGATGTGCAACATCTCCGCTTCTACACTTTTGGTCTGCGCCATTCGGTCTAGGTGGACGAAATAATTTTTTGAAAATAATCACAAAATTCAGTGCTGCTGGAAATGCATGAAATCTTAGACACCGAAGGAGCGCTTGATAATAGCGACGCCAGCGCCATCACCTAGCTGCTTTCGAAAAAGTAAACTAAAAGAATCAAAGGCGGGCGCTTTTTTAGCCATCTATTGGCGAAGAAGAAAAACCTCACCGATTGGTCCATTGGTAGGGTGTACTTAAGGAGTTAACCATAGTTGTCGATACATTTTTAAATAGCTGAAAAATATTTCAATTAATTAGCATTTTCCAGTTTTTACTTTGAATTAATTGATTTCTAAAAAAATATTTATTGAACATTTCTTGTTAAAAGCAGGTTAAAAGTAGAAAACCTATTAATATAATTTACAGATATTCTTCTTCTTCTTGAACACTCCAGTCAACATTCCCTTCGCCTTCGGCTTTTCGTGTCCACATTGTTGTGTGCACGGTCCCGTCAAACAAATTGGAAAAAGTTTGTGAATTTTCATCTTTCTCTGCTACAAACGAGCTTAATTTTGTGAAATCAACAAATAACATCAAGGAAATCTAGCGGCCAAGGTTGATTCAAGGTAAATTCTGCGGAGTTTTCAATTTTATCGTGCTCATTTTGTCATAAAACTGCATTGGCGGGAAGGAGCCGTTGATTTGGAATTTTTGTACTTAAACCGGAATTTTCAGGCCAAGCACAATGTCCAAAAGGGGGCCGACGTCAGAACTAAACCACGACAACTGGGACCAAGAGGAGGAGGACAAAGAAGTTGCTGGCGAGTTCAAACAAGCGAGCACCGATGTCATTCATACGAGAAAGATTTTGCAGGCTAAAAGAAAGTCCATGCCCTCGGCTGATGGTGCTGTGGTATGTAATCTTCAATGACTCCTCAACTTGCAGTGGAAAATAACCCGTTTTATTGCAGAAAACTCCGTTCGGAGGTTTCACCGCTTTTGGTGGTTCAAGTTCAACACCAAACAAGCCCAACTTCAACTTCATTGTCAGCAGCAAGTCTGCAGAAACTCCCAAAACAAATGGCCAGGAGAAGAAAAGTGACAATGCCGAGGCTCTGCTCAGCTCTAAAGAGTATTACCACCAGCTGAAGAGCCTCAACGTGTCTGTTTCAGCGTGGATAGCAAAACATGTCCAGAGCAATCCCTACTGCATCATGACTCCTGTGTTCAGGGACTACGAAAGACATCTTGCCAATATTGAGAAGAAGAAACCCCTAATCACATCCGATGGCGAAAACACAGGTTGCTTAAGTTATTTTGTACTCAATAAGTCAAGTTTCAAATTTTTTGCATTTATAAATTAAGAACAATGCATTTAACAAAAAAATTAAATATTTTATAATTATATGATTACAGATTCATCAACCCCAATGGAGCAGAATAGTGAAAAAGAAAGCTCAAGTCAAGAGAAAATTACCGAGACTAAGGACGAAACTCCCAAGTCTGAGGAATCCACTTCTCCTGAGGTTGGAGTCACTGCGGCTGCTGACTCTGAAAAAGCTGAAATAGACAAGTCTTGCGAGGAAGATTCTGCAGAAAAAGACGCACCTAAAGGAGAGACAGCACCAGTCCAACACCTACAACCACCGCACAATCCATTTTTGGCTCTATCAGCTCCGCGTCAACTTTTTCCTTCTGTTCAGCCAAACCCTCGACTACCACTGCATCTGCGACATCTTTTGTGTTTGGAAATACTGCTACCACAGCCACAAGTTTGTTTGGGTCTAACCCCAGCCCATTTGGTAGCAGCACTCCTAGCGGCGCCACCTTTGGGTTTGGGAGCATTGCTAATAAGCCCTCTGGGCAACCTACTTCGGCTGGATTTTCTTTTGGAAATTCAGGGTAAGTTTCAACAAATGTTTATCTTAAATTGAGTTTTAATCCTTTGATAATCTAGTTTTTCATTTGGTGCACTGGCCAAGAAGACGGAAGCCGCTGAGGGTGAAAATGCTGAGGAGGGAGGCGATGAGTCGGAGGAGCCACCCAAGGTGGAGTTCAACACTTTCAAGGAAGATGATGCTGTTTATGAAATCAAGTAATACCTACTTTATCCACATGTTATTCAAATTTTTAAATAAAAAATGTCCAGGTGCAAAGTTTTTGTCCTAAAAGACAAGGAGTATAAGGAGAGAGGCTTGGGACAACTTTTTATAAAGAAGAAAGACCCCGACAGCAAGGCTCAGTTATTGATTCGTTCTGCTGGTGCCACAGGCCAAATTCTGATCAACGTCTTGCTTACCTCAAGCTTGGCCCCAAAAAGAGTTGGGAAGAACAACGTTCAGATGCCTTGCGTTCCAACACCAGATTGCACAGAGCCAAGCATAGTGATGATTCGCGTGAAAGGGGGGGAAGATGCCGACGAGTTGTTGGCTAAAATCGAGGAGTACAAGAAGTAAAGCTGGACGTTTATGAACCTTGAATCGTCGACTCTGATACATGTTGCTTTAATTTGTTTTGATCATTGGCGATGAACCTTCGAGGAAGGGATTGAATGCTAAATTAAATCCTATGTACTTTAAATCTATTATGAACTGTCGATGCAGATCACAGGAAAAAATAAACCAATTTCGCTGGAATCGTAAAGGAAATTTAATCTGTTTACTTGATAGTAAATCCCATCATAGAAGTTATTTTATTTTTTGTAATCTGCACTAGATAATTAGGAAAGAAAAAATCTTTTCAATAAAAAAAGATTGAATTTTAACTCGACAATGAAAGTGTGAATTTATTGCAAAAAAAGAATACATTTATTTTATTTCCGGCTCTTTTTGAAATTGGTAGTGCGCTTGGTTTTGGCTTTGGCCTTTAATCCTTTCGCAACACCTTTTGAAGCAGCCTTTTCCAGTTGAATGATCTTTCCAGCGTTCTTAGCACGTTTCCTGCAAAAAGCATTGCAATAAAAAAATGTAGTTTTTCCAACTTAATACGTTACCTTTTGTTAAGAAGCGCCCCAGAGAGAGGGATATAAGCATACGGATCTACTTTTCCCTTTTTCTTGACATCTCCTTTAGCCTTTGCAGCCTTGTACTCTGTGCCACTGTGCACCCCTTGCACTGGCCGATGGATTCCACTACCTCCTGGTTTGTATTGCTGCTGCAAACTGAGGTCTTCCATGCTCCTACTCAGATCATCTCCATGTGGAGGCGCCATCACATACCGGCCAGGACGAGGTCCAACTTGGGAAGCAGCTTCGTCCATATCATCAAGGTCATCTACATATAAAGAAATTTGTGTAGCCTAGTAAATACATTATCACATATTTTTTTTTAAATTACCACTATCATTGTCCTGCCTCTTTCGCTTCCGGTTAAACTTGTTCATTCCTTCCTCTTCTTCGCCATCACTCTCATTAATTATCAGTCTGCCGTCAGATGATACTTTGAATCCTCTATTTTTATCTTTCTTTGAAGCGTCCACATGAGAGACATATCCCGGTTTCTTAGCTGACAAAATTTTCAAATAAAACTTTTGTCAACAAAAATAATAATATTTTACCAGAAATTCTCTGCATTGATGTTGGATCCGTAAAATCAAGAGCATCTTCGCTTTCCTGAATCCAAGTGTCCAGCTTCTGTCGCTTCTTCGGCCGTTTCTTTTCATTATTCTCGTTCATGATTTTCTCATAATCTTCTTCAGAATCACACTCATCTGCCAAAACACTCTCAATGCTTTACATAAAACACAATATTAAAAACTCCATTAATACATAATTCTCAATGATTACGTTTGAGGCTTTCTGCCAAGCGAGAACTCTGTGTCCAAGTCATCTTCTTCGTCGCTGTCTTGCTGGTTTGCCTTCTTTGCTCTGGCCTTCCTTTCTAACTCTTTCCTCATATTCTTGATAATCTTGATCCTCTTTGTCATAACCAGATCATCCTCTGGTACCAATTCGTTCAAAATTGAAACTCCAAACTTGCGTGCAATCCTGACAAAGATTTCTTTCGTTGGCAATCTTAGATAACGTTTGCAGTCTTCATTCATGTCACAAATTGCTGTAACCTATGTCATAAATTTTAAAATATTCCCGTTTAAAAAAAAATTGTTAAGCCATACCATTGGGGAAATGAAAGGACCTAAATTTATAGGGTCAAACACAGTCAGAGCACATTTGAAGAAACTCAGCGCAGCTTTTGACACTTCTCGAATAGACTGACTGGCAAAGGCGCACATTTCAGGCATCACAAGAGGCAGAATTTCTATAGGGACGGTTTCTAAAATTTCCAAATTACCATTTATAAAAACACACAACAAAGAGTTCTCAAACTGACCCCTGAGTTGACGGACAAGAGAGGCAATGGCCAAAAAGCTAGCCGAAATCATCAATGAATCTGCAGCGTACACCTCTTTGCAGCAATCCAGCAATTTTTTGACAAAATTCAGAATAGAATCACTGTCGTTTTCTCCAGTCCAACGCTAAAAATTTTTATAATCAGCTAAAATTAGTTAGAGCTGTCCAAAAACTAACCTGTCGAACTTTTCCCAAGTGAACAAGCAAGGAAAATGCCACTTGACGGCATTTAGGTTTTTCGTTTCTACAACCTAGCAACCCTTCTGTGATCATCTGGCTTAGTATAGAACCTTGGTGGGGCTGCAGATGGTCACTAAGGAGTAGGAGGCACCTGCATCTTGCCTACAAATTTATTTGTCAGTGTTTTCGTTAAATCAAATTGACTAAATTTACAGTTCTTCCAGGATTCTTGCAAACTTCATCCGCAACAGATATTAGTTGGACAAGCCTGTCCATGTTCTTCTGAAGGTAAGCTTTACACTCTCCATCTTCAGATGTGCAAATTTGCTCTATTATCCTATAAGCCCTCTTCTGCTCCGAATGGTCAGCACTGAGGACAAGGTGAGAGCAGAGATTTGCAATTTGCTTCAATCTAGTTTCATCTTGGTAGGGAACCAGTACACTGAGCAACTGTAGGATCGAGTCTTGAACTTTATTTGCAACCAGTCGGCTTTTCTTGGCCTGCTTTTTAGACTTAGTTTGAGCCGCTGGTCCACTGGCACTTTCTTTCATTGCAGCCAAAAGCTCAGTGTCCAACTTAGCAACTGCCTTGTCAAAATACAAATAATGCTTTTCACTGTCAGATATCTATAAAAAAGCAGTCTGTTAATTTTCCATTACTTCGTACAAAAATTATACTTTTAAAAAGCACTTGATGGTTTCCAGACTGGCCAACCTGATGCCTTCGGGTCTGGCCAGGTCAGTAAATATGGTGCACAATATTGGGATGTAGTTCTTGCTGAAGTTGCCAAGAAGCTGCTTTTTGTCACCATCTTCAAGTGCGACTGTGATTAACTTTCGTAGACCAGTCATGACATCGAGAGAGATTTCGTTTTCGTTCAGAGTGTTACCTAGCAGTTGAGCTACTTTCTGGAATAGGAAATTACAAATTATTTGGTATTCATGACCAAATAAGTATCATGATATATTACCTTAAAGTACTTAAAGTCAGAAGGGTTGGTACAACAGCTTGGAAAAATTGACCACAACTGCACAAATAGGACATTGAAAATGTGGGCTGCAGCTTTATCTCCAGCACCTTCAAGTTCCTTCCACCTTTTGCTGTTCGAATTTATATTTGAATTAAAACTGAGTTTTCCAAATCATGTTAACTCACTAGCAAGCCACTGCTTTAGGAAAAATTTCATTGTGGAAGAACGCCAAAGTAGTGACTTCAATGTTGTCCCTCAGCACAGGAATCAGCCAACTTGACGGGAAATCAAATGAAGTTTCGTAGCCTGAAATCTTTAAAATTCAAATGCAAAACATTGTAGAATTAACATTTTTTTGTTACTAAAAATGTATCACTAACCTGAAGTGGAACCTTACACAAAACCAGTTCAGGCCCTAGATTTTTCACAAGAGCTCCAATAGCTTTGTCGATTTCTGCAGCCAAATCTACCTGATCATCATTTTGTCTGATCCCAGCCAAAATGGCCAAAGTTCTGTTCAGCATGGATGCATGCTCAAGAGGAATGACCTTAAAACATAAAAATCAGAATAACAAAAATGACCAAATTTTTAACTTAATTTGAGTTACTTGATAAATTGCTTGCAGGACGTGAACGACGTACTTCCACGTGGCCTTGTGTTGGAACTTCAGGCAGCGCTCCATGTAGTCCAACGAGCTCTGAAGAGCAGCCTTGTGAGCCTGAGTGGATGCTGCATCAAGAGGAGCATCTCTGGGTCCTAAGCATTCTAACACAACCACCTTAAGAGCCAAAGCAGTTCCACCGATTAAACTAATATCGCTGCCCAGGCACATGAGATCAGTGCAAACTTTGAAAAATCGGGGAATTTGCTCCAAACTCAGCTGGGGTTTGTTCCTGAAAAACGTGTGATGTTATTACTTTCATAAAACTTATTACGCTCTATTATTTTCTGTATGAATTGTCAAAAAATATACTTACTCTAGAAGATTGGAAAGGGCCTCATGCATAACAGAGAGCCACATGAGAACAAGGTCCGTGTCATTACTGGACGGTTGAAACTTAAACAAGGCGTTGATGAGCTTGCCGTTGAGGTCGGATGGTAAAGTCTTGGTTGAAGGCCTTGCTGTGACCAAACCTTGCAGTGTCTGCAGACAACACTTGGTCAACACACCATCTCCAAGGGTCATCAAGGTCAGCAGCTTCTCAACAATCCCCTTGACCTGCTGGGCTGGCAGCTGGTTGATAACCGTACGCAGCAAGTTGACAACGTGAAGTGTCCTTGTGATTTCAGACAGGCACTCGTTGCTGTCCAAGACAGATTGACAATACTGTCCAGCCACACTAGCTGCTGGATGCATGGAATCGTTTCTTTCCGAGGCTCTCAAAACGCTGGTAACGATTGCTTGGGCAACTTTCCGAACCTTGGGAATTTCAAAATTTTCTTTTGTAAAATTTAATTAAATTTGATTATTACTTTTGGCATGGAGTGAGTTACATAGGCCAGAAGAGCTTTGAAAATTTCACCAGCTAATGGTGCACTCCAAGCTGAAGGATCTTGCATCCGCAAAACAGAGCCAAGACAAACAATTAGCTGGAAATAAATTATGTTCAAGTTTATCAAAGAGATTTTTAACAATCATTTTTACCGCTTTCAGAACAATAGCATTTTCAGATCCAGAGAATTTTTCTAGATTCTTGAAAAGACTAGTGGCGATTTCATTAAACTTCAGTTTAATAATATTTGGGGAGACTTTCTTGATCACAAGAGCAATTAAAGCCAGAACTGCTGCACAACTGTTCTCGTTGTCGCACTCGTCTAAGGACGTCATCTGAACAGAAATATTTAGTCGTAGCCGGTTAAATTTGTTAAATATTTACCAAGGCTCCAAAATACTCATTGGCTGTCTCAGAGCCTCCATTGGCTTTGATTACTTCGGTGATTCCAGCCAGAACTGCCAGCATTTCTTGATGTAGTTCATTTGAAGCTTGAAATCCTCTCAAGAAACTTTTTAAAACAAATTTAATATAAAGAAAATTTACACTTAAATTTAAAAAACCTGTCAAAGGACTTGTTGGAACAGTTGCTCCAGTCGCTTGCAAACGTTTTGCTCGACTGAACTCCTTCAGACATTGATTCCGTTGTGCTCGAAGGGCCGCTCTTGGCGCCGCTCTGCATGACATCGTGTCTCCTGAGTGCATCGTAGGTGAGCGTGCCTGGTTTGGAACTTGTAGGGACTGAAACGTGTAAAATTCTGGTGTGAAAATCGGCGGAAGATTTTGCTCCAAGATTTTTACCCAAGTTGGGCTGGAAGAACCTGGATTTGGCCGCATCTCTGTACTTGGTCGCTTCCGGATTGGAAACGCAGCTGTGACCTTTGGTCCAGCGCTTTCCCTTGGTATTGGTTTTCACTCTGAGCTTCTTCATTTCGTCGGTTATTATTTCTAATTAAAAGGCAGAAACATCAAATTTGCGGCATGCCTGTAACGTCGTGAAACACACGTGAGAATCGTCGGAAGAGAACGAAAACAAACAAGAGAAAATCGCGTGTTTACGAGATAGGTCAGTAGAGGCACTGAGAGCAAAATTTACTCCATTCGGCCAATCCGATTGCTCCAATTTTCAAATTTCAGCGCCAATAGAATGAGGAAGTAAACAGCGGGAAGAACATGCATTTCAGAAATATTTGAAAATTTTTATTATTACTTATTTTCGGTTAATTCTAAAATTGTAAATAGGATAGAAAAAAAGAGAAGAAAAGGCAAAAAAAATGGTAAAAAAAAATCAGAAATGTATATTTTTGGTATTTTAATTTCAATATTTCGCCAATAATTTCTTAATTGAAAATCTTATAAAGATAATAAAAAATTCAAAAATCTAAATCCTTGCCCTTGCAGCTAGGAAAAAAATACTTATTTTATGATTTACCAGCTATGTTATAATTTTGAGGAAATTTTATGGAAATTACTTTTCAACCCTGACAATAATAAAAGTGTATTATAAAAAAAAATATTGATACATATCGAATAAATTTTTATTACAAAGTAAGAAGCGATAATAAAGAATAAATTTTGTTTGATTCAAATATGATTGAATAAAATATCATTGTCTCAGCCTAGAACCAAAACAGAGTAGTAAATCCGGTAAATCCATAATAATTACATATTTTTTCTATTTCCTAGTTCTATTATAGAGAAATAAAATATCCTAGAAAAATTTACACACAATGTTTTGCACAACGCAGATTTGATGCGTTTCTGGTACTTGTTTCCACTTGCCAACTTTGTACTTTGGCTCATGGATAAATATGTCGTGATCTACGCGGAAATTCTTAACAGCTACGTCACTGCTGCCCTTGCACTTCATGTTCCGCTTTTTAGGCATGTTAGCTGATAACGCTCCGTCAGCAAAAAAGTTTTTGTGCGCCACACCAGGCCCATACAGTAAACACATAAGCACTCTGCTCCCTGTCGTCAAATAAAGTGGGTTTTTGAATGAAAATATAAAAGGGCTAAACACGAATTTTGGTTCAGTTATTTTCTCGGCAAATTTGATATTTGGTTTTCCATGTGGCGGTGTGATCTCGATGGACAAAAACATGTGGACATTGTTTTCAAGAAGGTCTCCTTTGCTTCTGAAAGCGGTTTTTCTGATTAAAATCTTATTTTGAAAGTATTTAAATTATTAAAACAATTAAAACTGGAAAAGAGCTTAATTTTGTATTTACCATACCCTTTTTCCTGATTGACGTGAGACAAAATTTCCAGCGACGCAAGTTGCATATTTTGTCCCGCTGTGAACTTAATAACATTCCTCTGTCTGAAATCGACCATTTGGTTTAATCCGTATTTAAAAGGGCACTGCTTGTCAATTTTCATTAGTTCTCTTGGGACTATTTCAATGACTCCCACATTTTTCACTTCTTTCGGAGGCTGCCTGTACGGCTTCCTGGGTTTTGGGTTCGGACAAAGTGACGCCGGCATGAAGCTTTTGTCATCAAAAACAATAGCATGGGCCAAGCCGGCTCTTTCCCTGGTGTTTAGCAATTTGGAAATCGACGAAACCTGACCCACGTCCAAAGTCAGCAGTCGTAAATAAGGAAGAAGATACCGGATGTGGTTTTGAGGAGAGCTGTGTGGTGAAGGGGGACAAAATTATTAATAATTTTAAATAAGGCATTAACCAGTGGTTAGTACCTTGAGCTCCATTTGATGCAAGCGTTAACCAAATCATTTTCGGAATTCACATTTAAACTGTCAAGCTGCAGTAAAATTGCAATACTTTGTTGGGAGACTTTGAGAAAATCTGGGTGCCCAATGCAACTTGTTGTTTCTCGACTTAAGATCTTTATCAAATCATATAAATTTTTGTAATGAAAAAATAATATAATATATCGATATTTTACCTCGATGCACACAGAGCGAAATTCAAAGCGATGAGACAAAGCATCCAAAACAAGCCAAACATTTGAGGAGTTGATCATTTTCTTGACAATTGAGGCACACAATTTAAGCAAAGGCTCCACGAGGTACTCATCTGCGGCCAAACTCAAGGCTATTGCGTCCTCTAAAGTTTCAATGTCTTCTTTCAGCACATGAATATGAATAAACCTAATAAGAGTTTTTCTTTGAAATGTAGAAGTTTTTTCTTTTTTGAATAAAAAATAAATTAAAATCTTACTGGAGAAGCATTGCGAAAATTCGTCCGTCGTGGTTTTTTATCCTAATTGGGTTTTTATGTGAAGTATTAAGCATTGCCTCAAATTTTTCACTTGCTAATATCAAGTCGCATTGAAAAGCATGGAGAAGCTAATATTAGGCAAGTTAAGTATATGAAATTCAGGATAAATTATTTTTTACTCTCGAGGTCAATTCATGAGGGCCGACGAGAAACGAGCAGTCAGTAATCCGCCCGTTCATAAGTGCAGAAATCTTCTTCTGCTCCATAAAAGTTGCCACAACACTGCTCTCTTCCAATAGTCTCAGTGAGACATTTGATTTCTTTTCGGAGCACTTTTGAAATAAAATAGCTATTTTCCTCAAAATCTTTGCTGACGAGCAGGCCATTGTGCTTGAAATGGGAAACTTGACGTGCGATTCTTGCCGAGACATGCCACAAACTGTAACAATGTGCGGCTTTTGCTGTCCGCTCTTGAAATGTGAGAAGTCGTTGGGCGGAAATTGGAGCCCAGGCTTTATAGTTTTAGCTGCGTTCTTTTGTTCCTTACTTATTGCAGAAAAAAAGATAGTCTGGTTGCCAGATATAATATTTTGCACAAACAAGTTTTAAAAAAGCAAGTATTTAACTCAATCACTATGTATTTTCTATTTTGTACAATTTCATTTGTTCTATCAAATATGTTAAATTAATTTCCTTTTTAAATTGATATGTGAATAAAACAAATTTTGATAAATAATATATAACAATAAAAACAAGTTTTCATCGGGTATAAATAAATGAAAGCATTTGGGATTCAACGATAAAGACAAACAAGTTTTAATGAGAAGACGGAGAGGCACAGATTGGTCACTGCATTGTCTTTTGTGACCATCGCATGAAAAGTTAAAAAACGAGACAGGTCTTTATGGCTCATGAAAGAGATCATCAACTAATTAGCATGAATAGTCTAATTTGACTTTAAAAATTGTGTGCATTTATTGAACTGTGCTTGTCTTTAATCGGATTTCTTGAAGGCGGCATCGGTTGCCAACTTGGCAGCTGAAAGTAAAATTTCATTTTACATTTGACCTTTCCAGAATTTTAATATAGAATCTTTGTCTGGTTGATAAAAAAATTGCTGACTATTTTTTTTAAAAAAAAGTTTAAAAAGATAACTTTAATTTACCGTCTCCAGCAAGCTCGGTCAACTTTTGGGTGGCCGTGCTGAGCACATTGTTGACATCCTCCTCGTGCTTCAGGAAGACAGGGCGGATGATGCGCTTGTAGACCACCAAGGAGCCATTGAATTCAGAGGGAATAAAGCACCAGGCAAGGAAGACGCACTAAAATAAAAATTCAAAATTATTTAATAACATTCATAAAAATATTTTGTTTCTGACAAAAGGATGATAAGCTTGTGGTTTGACTCTGTGGTTTTATTATATCTGATAAACATTATTTGTTAAAAAAAACTAATTATTTAGTATAGAATGAAATGAAAGATATATAAATATAATAATATTGTTATCCAATTATTATATTATAATAATTTAAGTTTAAATTAATTACCTTAGCCAGGTAGTAGAAGGGGAACCAGCTGAGGAGCAGATCCGAGAAGAACTCGAAGATGGAGAAGACGGCAAAGACGACCCAGTAAGTGAGCCACTTGGTGTCGTCCTCCTTGTTCTTTGTCTCAAGGGCCTTGATGGAGCAGATGGCTGGGTAGACAAAGCCGATCACATTGCACAGCAGCTGTGCTCCATAACCAAACAGCAGGTACAGGCCAATGAGAGCAAACACACCTAAAAGAGATATAAAAATTTGTTAATATGCATCTAGAATAAGTAAATAGCCTAAATTATGAAATAAAAATACATAAAATACCATTTTCCTTCAATTATTTCGGCACAATTTAGTCAGACAAGGTAATAAAATTAATCAAATAAAACCTTATCGTACTGCCTTTCCAACCACACTGGTTCCACTTATCTCGAACAGCCTCAAGCCATGATCCCCTCTCAGCGACTTTTTCCTGAGTTTTATTCATTTAGAAAAATATTTGAAAAATCTTTTGAACAAAATTTTAGGCAAGAACCAACAATGGATCAAAACTTTAGACTTTGAATGTAACAATACATTAAATCCGTCATTTAACAACAATGGAATTAAACTATGTATGTATAATAATGTATAATTTTTTTGATAAAAAAAAAATATCAAAATGCTTAACACATAATATTAACAGAAGGAAGTTGTAAATTTTTAAAAAAAAAATTAAGTCTATAAATATTTTTTTTTTTGAAAAATGCGAAAAATGACCACACGGATGTAATTAAAGGGTTATAATTGGTCATAACGGCCATGACTGTAGAAAGTTTGTTTTCGAGGAAAAATTCTTGAGATCCGACTTGATGTTGGCCACGGCCACTTCAGGGAGGAATTATTCTTGGCTCATTGCACTCGCAATCGAGGGTCGAATTCCTTACCCGCGACGATGTAGATTCTCTTAACGCCGGTTTTCTCTTCTGCCTTGCCAAGAATGGGCGTCCATGGTCGGCCCTCCTCGCTCAGCGTTTTCTCCAGCTTCTCGCGGAAGTCATTCACCCTGGCGGTCATCCTGCTGCGCGCTCTGGTCGGCCGAACTATGTGCAAGCGAAAAAGTTCTGTGCGATCAATGCGATAATGCTAATTTTAGTGGATTCGGCGTTAATGATTCACGGATTGTAACGTACCTCGACTCAAAAAAATTACCCAAGGGCCCAAGGTCGCATTGCTGCTGCAAACAAAAGACGAGCGCCAATAACAATAGCCACGCCCCCTTCTTCATTTAATCCTATTTTGTTCGCTAAAATTCGTCGAGTCGGCCCGAATTTCAGTGCGAATCGTCAGTTGTCTCCGCAGTTTTTGGTGCCGTGGTGCGTATGAAATTATTTTCCACCGATTTTCTTGAGTTTTTAAATTAATTGTAGGATTTTTAGCCGAAATGGGAGAAATTCGTGCTGCCGGTTTTGTCATCTTCAGACGACTGGCTAATCAAATTCAGTACCTCTTGATGCAAGCCTCTTACGAACCGTTCCACTTCACTCCTCCAAAAGGTTCAATGTTTTTTTATGTTTTTCATGAAATTAAGATATTAAATTTTCGCTCGAAGGCCACGTTGAGGAGGGTGAAGATAATTTGGAGACTGCGAAAAGAGAAACAAAAGAGGAGGCCGGAATCGATTTCAAAGACCTTAAAATGCTTGAATTCACCAAGAGCTTAAGAGTAATTTTTTTGATTTTGCTTATAAGACCAAACTAATGTAATTTAATTTTAGTACGAAGTCAAAGGGAAACCTAAAGTGTCCGTCTACTTTCTCGCCGAACTGGTGAACCCTGAAACCCCTGTGATACTTTCCCACGAACACAAGGCGTACGAATGGCTGCTCATTGATGACGCCTGCAAAAAAGCGAATTTCCAAGATATGCAAGAACTGTTGAGAGAGTGCAACGCATTCCTCACTAAAAACTAATCGCCCTAATATTATTGAAATTTGAAAAAAAAAATCCCAAGTAATTTGTGGAAAATGTTCCTTTGAGTAATCTATGCAAACATCCGTTAAATCAATCTAGTGGAAGTACTGTTTGTATGTTTGTAAAATTTCTGTTACATCCAGAAAAGACCAATAAATTTTTAAGCTCCCCTGCAAATAAAGCTAATTTTTGTTTACAGACATTACTGTTGGTATAAGTAGGAGATTAAATGAAACACAGCGCAATTAACTTTAAAAACAATTATTATATTCTTGCTCATCATATGTAAATAATGCATTATGTCAACAAAAATGCATCTCACAAAAATGTGAAAACGCAAGTGGATAGGTGGGAAGGAAAACACTCACATGAGAAGGAAGGAATAATTTGAAAAGGCCGAAACAAGTTGGAAAGTCAACGAACCGCGTATATGTCGATGCAAAACCAGAAAATGCCTCTAATATATGCATGAGAAAGAGAGAAAGTTTTATGTTAAATTTTAGAGCGTTTAAAAAGAGTTTCCAAGAAGTTGATAGATAGTTTATCGATAGAAGTGGAATGAGAGAGATAGAGAGGATGATGGGTTGATTTTTCTTTTCTTAGAACGATAATAAAACTACAGCGTGAACTACGTCAACCGAATCTCAATACCAGGAAATTTGAATGAAAAAGTCATACTGTATGCAACCATAGGCCTAGTTGTCATTTCGTCCCAGGAAGAGTCACTACGCCGCGCTACGACAGTTTTTCAATATTATTATTGAGAGTTAAGTCATCAGCGTTCGAATTTTGATTATTTAGCAATGATCCAAGAAACAACGATCATTCATTCATTTCTTGTCTAGGTAGCCCTGCTTGCGTACGAACTGCAATCAGGCTGAAAAATTGGCCCATCACTTTTCCACGAAACGATTGATCAAATTTGAGAGAGATTAGAGACGCCTGATATGTGCAATCATTTTTTTTCCTACCAAAAGAACCGCGTGGAAATTTGGCTTCAATACAGTATGCAGGTTGCAGAAAATTGGGGAAAAGAGGCGAAAATGTTTGGGGTTTTAGAGAGAGCGAGAAAAGGGTCGGGAATCAAGACGGGGAACGGATCAATTTGTCTCAATGATTAATCTGTCTTACACTGTATTATACAAGATATAATCATTATTTTTCAACATTATTACTAGGCACTTAATAATACGAAGATATTTGCTACAAAATACAAAAGTGTGCCATCCATTTAGTTTTCTTTTTTGGTTTATTATGTCATGTATGTATATAATTATGCCTCAATAAAATCAGCAGCTCTCTGTTTTCCACGTCTCTCCTGCAACTACTGAGAAATAATCAGACATACTGAGTGTGTTTTTGTGTGTGTTTGTTTTGTGTCTCTGTGCGATGGGTATTCTCTTTTTTTTTGTATAATTCCCGACTTAAATTGTCTCGTAACAGCGGAGGTGAAGATTAATAATTAATTATTCCAATCAAATCAACTCTCCAAATTTTGCGCTTTTGTAACAACACTGGAAAGCAGAAAAGCTTCATTTTAGATTTAATTTCAACTCTAGAATGAATTTTAATAAGTAGGGTGATCAACACTATGGTTTTTAAGAACACAGTTAAGTTGTCGCTGTTAAAGTTGAATGATTATTCTGCTCTGAAAATTAAAAAAAAAAAATTGATTTTGACGGAAGTAGATTTTACTAAAACACGTTAATATCAAATTTCCTTAAATTCATCTTTTTTTTTCAAATACTTTGCTTTATCGTGATATATTTTAACATTCTTTAAACAGCAGTTTATATTAGCAGCAGAAAAGTTTTTTTGTTGATTTAATATTAGAGATTACATTTTTTTCCTCGAAAATCAGCAATTAATTATATTTTTATGGATAGTTAAGGTGTATTATGATATAGTTGCGTTTTTCATAGAAAGAGAGGCGAGAGAAAATTTCTTCGTTATATACGTTGAAGTGAATGTGTGTGTTGATTTTCTGTGTTATATTACGTGAAAATTTCCAAGTTTTTTTTTTTTAAATATTTTAACTCAACAATATATGCAGTTTGTGTAAAGTGGCAAGAGTTCGTGAAAGTGTGTTGAATACGTTGACAATAATGAGAGATAGAGAGATGAGATACATGGAGCTGAGTGAGTTTCGCGCTCCGAAATTTGAGAGATGTTTACTTTTATACATTTTTTCACTTTTTGTTACTACGTGAGATACCTTTACGAGTTTTACAATTTTATTCCTCTCAGTACACTCTCTCTTGCTAGCTCGTCATAGTAAATAATCAACGGGCATCCACGCGTCTCTCATCTAAAAAAATATCACACACAGTCTAAGGTACTAGTATTTTATATAATATATAGAGATTCGTATTAGATTATAAGAATTTAAAACTTGTTTGTGCAGCTTGCACCAACGTCATTATGAATCATGCGTAATTAGATCAACAATTAACAACAGTAGTAGAATGAATGAGAGCGCTTTTTTTTAATTCATAATATATAGTTTTTGCAAGTAAAGACGTAATTATTTCAACTCAAACAGTTTAGAGGCCAACAGACAACTTGTCAATATATAATTTCAATCAATGAACAAACGCACACATGACAGGATAATTTTTCCACCTAACTAAGTGGACATCATTATGCACAGTCAAAAGTGTTTTTGCAGATCAAGGACAGTAAACAAAACGAAAATCGTTGGTCAATCAAACGACCACGTGAGTGTTCCAAGTATAAGTTGTAATAAAAAGACAACAATCCTATCTAGAGTTATCCTGCTCTAGGTAGCTATATATTATATAGATAATAATGATCGTCAGTATATAATTAAGTAGTAATTTAATAATCAATTAATTAGTGTGTATCATAGTAGCAGGTTTTAGCAATTTTACCAGTATGAGAGAAGGTGCGCGTATTGTTTTTTTCCACTCTAAAGTTCGTTTTTAGAGAAACAGCGACAAGATTTTTTTTTAAAAGTGAGATTCCACAACGCTGTGAAAAGTACGAGAGAGACATTAAGGGAAATAATATTTACTTGTTAATAAATTGTGTGTTACAACATTCGCACGTGTCTAAATAATTGTAGATCATTTTTGACCTGCTTTGAGTCTTCAACACGCAAAAAGAACATTCAGCAGGATTAGTCTCTCCAGCGCATTTTTAATATTCCACTCTCTCTCGCACCCGTACTATAGAATGCACCTATAGTATGTTTATGGTAACTTAAAGAGTATATGCGTATATTACTTTGTATGAGTTAAGTCTCTATAATATGCCCTTATTAAATACGCTTATAAATATCTGCAGTTGTTGATGCTCTCATTATATGGTACAAACACGTGTGTGGGTTTTTCTGCCGACTTCTATATTTTTAGTGTACTGGCTCTCTCGTCGCGCGTTACGTCGCCCTAGACAGTTGAATTTACCACACAGAAAGACTTTTCTTCATAATTTACATTTTGTTTAATAATTAATTCACTCGCGGTCAGTAATGGTAGCATGTGTGTATAAATTTTTTGACCCATTTTTTTTAAACCTCATTTTTTCATTTTAATATAACCTTTTTAAGTATTATCATTAATACATAATTATCTTGATGCTTATTGCTTTTCTGAAGTCTAACTTGTCTTTCTTGCATTTTTCAAAAACAAACAGGATGGTTTTATTTCGTTTACGATTGCGCCTAACGTGTATGAAAACGTCAATAAGGAAAGCACCAATTTTGAAATTTCTTATACTTCTTTGTCACCAATCCAGAGAAACGTGTGGTATTATACTTTTTTTTTACAAAAATAAACAATCGGACAACAACAATCAAATGCGATTCAAATATAAAGTACACCAAGGAGATCAGAGTTTTTTCTTTCTTCAATTTACACACTTAGAGAAATGAGCAACATCGATAACCCTCCGAGCCCGAGGGGTTGTCGACAAGGCTATTACTTTTCCAAACAGGTTTTATTTTATTTTAAGTCAATTTTCTTTGCAGTGGCAGCTCAAGTTGCCAAAACCCCCTCAACCAAGTGAAATGAAATTGAAAATTCTTCTCTTTTATTTTGGACAGAGTTGAGTTTATTTTGGCTGAATGTCCGTCCGCCACTGCAAAAATGAACCCAGACGGACCTGTGAAAAAGAACAAATCTTTCTCAAAGGATCTGAACTGAGAGGACGTTTGAAAAGCATCAGCCCGCAAAACAATATGTTTCCATCTAAACTCTTCTGCTGTGCGGCCGCCGGCCCTTTCAAAAATGAGGCTGACGGTCCGTAGTATTCAATTTTTGCTTAAATTCTTTCATTACTTTTTTTCTTGTCGGCTGTTATTGGTTAATTAATAACATCTAAGCAATCACAACTTTTTTGGTATCACTTTGTAAATTAAAAACAAGACTTAATGCTCTCTCTTCATCTTGTGTGTATAACCGTTTTATGTTGTTTTTTTTCACTTCAGTTTTTTTTTAGCTAATTTTACATAATATGTATTATAATTAATTAACTTTACGCAGTTTTGCTAGTTAAATATGTACAAGTTTTTTGTTGTCTCACTTTTATACCTGATCACTCAATGATTACACAATTATTAATAAATCAACTAGAGAGATTTTGCTTCTTCACCTAGAGAGCAATTTTCGTGTATCTGTTTTCCGAAATAATTTTCCCTTATCAACGCGCGCGTGAGTTTGTGATCATAAAGACTTCTATGAAATCAATGCAATCGTTACAACTAATGAACAACTGTTGCTTTGCAAACAAATCAACGATTATCTCAACGAAAAATGGCACGATTATGTTTCTGGACGTGTTAGAAAATTAACACTTTTGTTTTGGATCTTTTTCGAGAGGCTTCTCTTATACATATATTTTTTCGCAAAAAGTTTTGATGTGCGCAAACTTTTCTCCTTCGTCCACCGCAGTGTGTATGTGTGAAATTAGACATGCGTTCATTTTTCTAATATATATATGCATCATTGAAATATATATGTAATATATATTATTATGTGTAGGCCATTCGAATGTATTATTCTCGTAATTTTTAACTTGTGTTTAAATTCAAAAATTATTAATGTATAACCGCACATTCTCGGGGTTTCATTCTTATTCAGATGAAAAAATTTGATATCGTTTTCGTATAAGTATTACAAACCACGCGCTGAATCATTTTTCAACAGGCAGAGTTCGTGTATAGTCACCTCACAATCGCCCCGGGGGCCACGAAGAAGCGTTTATTATTCTTCTCTCTCTGAGACTCAAATTCATATATCTATTATATGGATCAACAACAATAATAATAATAATAATTATAATACGATATAACGAAAAATTCCTTTCTAGAGTCGCATTATGTGTGATAGAGTTCGATCCTTTTGAATACATTTAAAAGGGGCACATGATGACTTCATACTCAAACATGAGCGAGACGGCGACGAACACAAAGTACAACAAGAACATGGTGAAGCCAAGACCCTTGTTCATCCGCCAGTGGAAGCAAGCGATGGACATGATTACGAACAGGAGCATCATGAAGAGGATGGAGATGGAGCACACCATTCCAACGCTGTTCACTTCTACAGGTCTCTGGTACACCATGCCGTAGATTAGCCAAGGCACCGGGAGTCTGCAACAAGAATTTATTTAAGCCATGCCAAGAAAATTTTCTGCAATTTGGTGATGATGAGTGTATAAGGTATGCAACCGGTGCAACATCTACGCTCATCGAGTTGACTATTTATGATAATTCAGGCGAACAATTTATTTTTATTTTTTAAACAAGCCATCTTTGTTTATTTAATTAAATTAATACGCTAGAAAAATCCGATAGATGTATAATTTAGGACATTTTAGTCAAAATTAAACAAATAAATGTGATAAATGACGATTAATGATAAAATGTACACATGAAAGTTCTGTCTATTTAAATAATTAATGTCAGAGTTTCAAATAAGTCTTTAAAAATTTAAAAATGCAAGCTGACAAACAAAATTATTTTCTATTGAAATACTGTTTTCGCAGACAGACGTTATGTTTTCTTTTAATGGACATTTTCGCCTGTTTTTCTGTGGTCATATTTTATTATTTTGGTAACTTGATATTTTTGAAACGTTTTATTTTTCTCAAACGTTTTTCAGCCCACTTAAGGGGAACACGCTGAAATTCAATTACTAGGCTCTTACGTAAGGAACAACACCTCGGTCTAAATTTAGCTGCACGCAGCAAATTAGCCGCAGCGCGCGCTCCCGCGTAGTTCTGGGGAAAATTAGCGACGACAAAAAGCGCCGTGTCAGAGAGAACACGAATGAGCCGCCCCGAGGGCCGGTCGCGCTAATGTACGTGGGTACATTATGCATGTAGCTGGCATGCATATTCATCTGAGCACGCGCGCGTTTTGCCGTGCGAAGCGCACCGAGCCATTCATAAAATGCGTGACAAAGTAATGAATGATTAAAATCTTGGCCCGTTGTGTGCCACAAAAAGCACTCGCGATTTAGCCGCATGCAGCAGCGCCAATTTAAGTGGATTTGAACTTATAAAATTCTCCAAAATATGACAAATTAAGGGCCAAAAATCAATTCCAATTAAGCTTTTAAAAGTTATTTAAAGTATTTCAGAGGTTAATTAAGCGGTGCGAAAATTTCCAGTCACCAATCAATAAAAAATTTACAATGTAATTCCACTCTGCAAATGATACACAAGAAATATCGATTATAAAAAATTGAATTACATTTCAAAATTCTGTACTAACATGAAAGGAAATGGAAATATTTTATATGGCTAAAAAAATATTATTTTTGTAAATTACAAGAATAAACAAATAGGACAAATTGAAATAAAAATTAAATTTTTATTTACAGCGAGTTCAAAGTTTTTATCAAAATTTTTAAAGATAAGCCAAAAGAGTTTAGAACATATTGCATTTTACATTATCTTTCCATTTAAACAAAGAATGTTGCTTAAAATTATGACCTTGACTAGATTACCTCCTTTTTTTTAAAGTTTTCTCGTCTAATTAATTTGGCTCTGAAATTAAGCCGCAGAATATATATCAGTTTCTATCTACTTTAATAATGAGAGACCAGCACCGCACCAGTCATGCGCCATTTGCGCTGTCAATACTTGGTTCTCTCCCTTGTGTAGGCCGCAAGAAAGTCTCTTGTTTTTCCCTATTTTTAACGGCGGAACCGAGTCTCGGAAGCGAATTTCGTCAGGATCAGTTTTCCTCCCGCTTCGGATTTCGGCGGCGTGGGAGGAACGTGCACACATAAAAAATGAAAACTCCATCTCTGCTCGTCCACCTGCAGAGTTGAATGCGCTCCGGGGAGTGCAAAGTAACTTTTGCTTTCTTTGGAGTAGAATTCTTTTTTTCCTTTCCTTCAAAAAGATACGAGCTTTTCTCTTTTGAGTCAGCATGCAGCCAGCCGGGCAGAAACACATAATAGCGCTTGCTGTGTTGCTTGCTTGCCTGAGTATATATTATCTTTTTTATTAATAAATGGGCCAGCCAGCCAGCAGTTCAGAGGCTGCTGCAGTCGGTAAATATGTGAGCGCGCCTTTGTTCCACACTTTATTAATGAGAGCCCGAGAGAGAAAGACCGGCTGACTTGCAAGCTGAACTTTTGAGAGCCGAGGAAAACTAATTTTAAAGGCATATTTATTTCAATTTGTTGGCACGAGGAAAGCGAATTTTCTGCTCAAAGAGAGAGTGGTTTCCACCTCGCAGAAGGTGGAGTGCACTTTGCCAGAGGTGTACGCACGCGGTGGCTCAACTTGATTAGCAAAAATTTTATCGCTCCTAACAAGGCTCCACTTAACAGCGGTAAATTTAGAGAAAATAAAACACAGAGGTTTGCAAAAATTTCGTATCTGATTAAAAAAAATTCAATCGGATTTCTATTTTATGCATCAACAATTCTATTAGTGGTAGACTTTTATCATTATTTTTTCTATTTTTAAAAGTAAAATTTCTTAAACAAAAATTATGTACATTTCCGGTTTAGCTATATTTGCACAGACCAGAGAGGTCTTTTACCAAAAAGATAAGTTTTATGGTTGCAATTACATTATTTAAATAGTGTGTCTATTGACTTCTCAGAAAAGTTAAAATTTCTATTTTATTAAAAAAATTTAGATTTTATATTTCAGAGAATAGAATCTAATTAAAAAAATTTATTTAAAGTATTTTAAATTTGTATTTTTATATCTAACATAGTTCGAAGAGGAAAAATAGTTTCGCAGCTAAGTGAATATTTGTAAAATAGTTATCTTGCAAGATGGAAATTGAAATTGACTTGAGTTATGCCTCGAATAACGCAACTCTGTGAAAAAGAGAGAGAGAGAGATATATCGACTCACCCCACTGTGACGTCGAAGATGTTGCTGCCGACAGACGAGGAGACAGCCATATCACCAAACCCTTTTCTCGCCACAATCACCGACGTGATGAGATCAGGAATCGAGGTGCCGGCCGCCAAAAAGGTCAGACCCATCACCTGCCGAGCGGACACATTGAATCAAACGGCTCGAAAGAAAGAAAATGATAACAAATATGAAAGGTTCACTGACCTCTGGCGGGATACCGACAGTGTCGCCAGCAATATTGGCCCACCAGACCATCAGGTACGAGTAGGCCGCAATCCACACTATGCTGCCCATGAAGGTGACAGGGAACCACTTCTTGCCTGTCAAAAACAAACACAAATTGTTAGAAAATTTATCAGAAATTTTAAACTTCAAATTTCACGAAATGAAAATAATTTTTGACCAGAATTAAAGGCCAATTAATAAAAATTTTCTCTCCTGTTTGATTTTCGTTAAGTACCTTTCGGACTTCTAGTATCAGGCAAGGTGAGCCACAGTGGGAACATGATTGGAGCCACCAGAACGTAGGTGATTCTTTTGCGCCAAGTGTTAGGCCACGAGATGTCCAGCGGCTCGACGGGCTCTTCTAGCTCGTCTTCGGGCATGTTCTACACACAAAGAGGATTAAAATTGAAGTGCGCCAGCCGAAGGGGTGGCAGTGCGAAACAGTGAGTGAGATACGCACACACACATATTATAAAGAAAAAAAGTATAAGAACTTCTACTGTATGCGAAAGAAGAGAGAGAGACAGGTGAGAGAGAGAGCAGATAGAGAGGAAGCAGACAACAGAGTTCTATACCAGCAGGAAAAAGATGGAAATTTGCAAGCGAAATATTTATATATTCTCATTTTCGAGAGTGTGTCTGTGTGTCAGTCAGTGTTTGAGCTATTTATAGGTTCATTTATAAATATCTCAGGATAGACGCTAAAACTCATGTGTGAGTGTGTGTATAAAATTATTTTCTCACAAAAAACTAATTTCAATTTCTTTTTCAATAATAATAATAATAATAATCGCCAGACCAAAAAACCGAAAATGCACACACGCATTGTGGAAAAAACTCATTGACGTTTTCGTCTCAAAATCAAAATGAATTGTAAATCATCATTAGGCAAACACAAGAATCAAGAAAAAACTTTCTGCTTAAATATCGTTCGAGTATTGATATATAAACATAACAACAAACAACACAACAATTAACAACATCGATTCAATCTCAACAACTCTCCATCACTGTGGTGCATCTGCAGGCCTGTAAAAATCAATGCAAAAAACAGTCAAATCAACCACATGGTAATCAAATAATCAGGTCTCTGGCAAAAATCATATAATTCTTGATCAAAAAATAATGCCTTGCAAAAAGTCTATGTTATAATTAGGCCTGCTTCTAAAGGTCACTACAAATCTAAACTTCGACACACACTATGTGAAAAATTTGCAGGGAGAAAATCAATTTTCTAAAAATATTCGGAAATTTCGACTTGAATGGAAATTTCCGCTTGGAACTATTTGCAAGGCAGCATAATATAATATGGTAACACTAGTGAAAAATAGGTCGCGATCTGAAATTTTTATTCAAATATTCCAGACGGCGGCCGCTCAAAAACGGGAAACGTTTTTCGTGCAAACGCCCCTCAATAACTTTAACAATTCCATAATATTATGAAGCAAAATTCTGTTATGTATGTTGAAGTATAAAATCAAAGATAAGAAAATGGAACCGATAAGAAGTGGTATAGAGATAATTATATATATAAGAAAATGACAGGCAAAAATAGAGTTCATGTCTTATCATGCACAGCATAGAGAGATAAAACACGAGAGAAAGATAGAGAGATAGATGAAAATGCATGAGGGGGAGGAGATCGAACTACACGCGTTCATCCTGTGAATAAGTTAAATATTGATTTGTAATCAATTGGCGCTCTCGGTGTCAATTAATTAAAAATTAAACCCAGAGTTTGGAGCCGGATTATTTAACACCGGGTGCGATAAAACGAACGCGCGTGGCTCAGTCAGTAAATCAAAATGTGGTGATATCGAATGATCGGCAACCAATGAAAACAAGGCCAATGAAATTGGCATTATACAGGTGTATGTAAATGAAACCGCTGAAATATTGCTCCCTTGGGAATTGGCGCGCCGAACGGATAAAAAGCATCCCTTTCTATTTTTTTTGTATACATTTTACTTTGTACGCAATTGTGGTAGTAAAAACGCAAATTGAAGCCTCTCTTTTATTTTTGTGCTCGCAACACTTTCCCGGGGCGTTTTACATGCGAGAGCCGTTTACATTTTTATCCACGCCGCGGCACTCGCAAATTTACTCGCCGCAGATTGGGCTTTCCAGTTTTCGATCCGCAGAGTGGCATTGCAATGTCGAAGGGGGAAAAAAGAACTGGGCAGTTCAGATTGCAAGAAAACTGCTTGTGAAATATGTCGCACGAGTAACTTAAACAAAAGAATGATTTGAATAATGTATTAAAATTTAAATAGTGTGACTGATTTTTTTTTCTCTATTGTCATTAAAAAAAAAATATTTGTATAATTAGATACAAAATTTTAATTGAAAGAACAATATAAAGCATAAAATAATTTTTTAAATTTTCATTATTATTGATTGTTGTTAAAATCTCTAAGTTTAAAATGAAATTTTTTAAAGGTAAATAAGTAAACAAAAAGTAGTTACGGGGTTGGGGGTTAAGAATTATTATATTAAATATATATTAATTAAGTAGGTTTTTTGTTTCAGTGTCAACTAAGGGGTAGGAATAACAGGCAAGTACAAAAAAATTTATTACTTTTTTTTAATTATTTATGATTTAATTGTTCAAGAAAAGTGGAAGATACAGTTGCTATCAAGGTGTTTGAAGTGGATGAAAAATATATTTCATTCCATTTTCAACAAAACTTTGCCTTTCTTTGTTCTTTTAACAGGACTGTACAAATATAAAATGAAGATAAAAATTTTTTTGGTTAAAATAACTTTATCTCTGTAAAAAAATAATAAGAATTACTTGTTTTCGTTGCCTAGGAAAAACTTTTGATCCGAGAAATATTTATTTAAAGATTTCCATTAAATAATATGTTACTATTTATCCCAATCCATTAGCCACAGGCCTGTTTGAAATATAAGAGAGAAAAAGACAAGTACAACCAAAACAATTTCAGCGTTTCACTTGCATGTTTCTGCAAAACTACAAAAAAAAAAGATAAATAAATAAACAACAACCGCGCGGGAGACTCGTTTTGTGTGTGAGAGAGAAGTGAGTGAGTAGATGAAATGAAAATGGAACAGGATGTGTGTGACACATAAGAACAACATTAATCTGTGAGTGATCAGTCTCTCCATCCATCAAGAGCAAAAAACTCGGTTGCCAAAAAGCAATCAAACCGATCGGATATAGTAAAACACTCAATGGAATAACAAATAAAACTATGCAAAAATTAATATCTGTTGATCGAAAATAACTGGGGGGCACAGGTGGGTTTGAAGAAGAAAACTGCTCTGTTGGTTTTGGTCTCGGTCGTCAATTAAAATTATGCAAAAGGGGGCGGATCAGAGGGGTTCAGAGGGTGATGGAGGGATGACCTACACATTCATCATCCGTCTGATCAGCGGCAGCACTATCGGTGATAAGAGGCGAGCTCACGAGGTTTCGAGGGCCACCTCTTGGCACTGTTGGAGGTGTATCACAGGTTGCAGGTAACAATCGCTCACGGGCCTGAAACCACAACAACCAGCCCGACCCCAGCACGGAGTCATCAACAGCTCGTCACATCAGCGCTCAATCAAAATCAAACTCAATCGCAACAAATCAGGACAAAAATAAAAATTATTCAACAAGTAACAAACAGTCTCTTAATAAAAAAATGTCGCAAAACTCGGTGTTTCGATCACAACAACTTCAATGTTTTCTCTCTATATTTTTTATAATTCATTAAATCTGTGTCTGTTTAAAAAAATTATTTGATCGCTAAAACTCGCCAGAAGTTGGGTTATGTGTGATTTAGTGTTGTGTGTTTGCGAATGCGTGTGTGTTTGTGTTGTCTTCTTTCTTGACTGATTGATTGGCAGTGAAATGAAATGGAAAGAGCAGCGGCGGAAAACACAAAGCGATCAAGTGGCGGTGACAATGAATGACACACAACGTGGTGTATTGCGTGTTGCAAAGTATTGTAATAATTACTCTTGTATGTCGATTCGAGGGCGCATCCCGTTAAACAAATTGTAAGAACAACAATAATCAGTTTTGAGAGCGGAAATTGTCTAATTTAATAATGAATTTGTTTATCTGTGAATATAGCTTAACTCCGTACAGTTTTCAAGTATTTAGAATTTGTTTAAATTGGCAACATATCTATAAATTTTAATAATTTGTTAATGATGTAACATTGCAACTAATGAAAATTTGGAAAATAACGTAAGCAAAATTTTAGCAAAAATTTGAAGATAACAAATTTATAATTATAAATTATATCCATGATTTTCTTTTGAAATATTAAAATTATATATGTTGAGGTATCATTAATTTGCATTTTAAATCAATGTACTTATCTTTGCTTATGTTGTAAACATTAAGTTTTATTTTTTTTCTTAATCCAAGAGTTAAAAAGTTAATGATTATCGAGGTGGAATTACCCAGATTTATCTCATAAAACTCATCAAGGAAAATAGCAGAGTTTGAGTTAAAAAAATGGTTAATTTTATTTATGTATTATTTATTTCTGAATATTTTAGGAGCCTTCTTTTCACTTTTTCTAGAATCAATCTCAAGCTTGATGAGGAAATCGTGCCAATTATGAAGGGTAAACAAACAGAAATGTGTCCGACTTTTATTTTATAAAGGGATGTGAGTTATAATTTCCAGTTAAAATAAACGCGCAGGCCGGTCATGTCTCATTTTTTGGCACGCGCCCCAGACGGATAAATCTTTTAGAGTGACGTACGGCGGCGCCGTCGCGCAACCTGCTGCACAGCGGCGACGAGCAGGTTGCATACATACCGCGGAGGCGAATTTCGCGACTAACGTTTTCGCAAAAAGTATACGGCCGTGAAAAAGAGCTTCAGGCCGTCGAGCAGAGTCTGCGGGCGGGCACGTTGCCAGTGAAAGAAAGAAGGAAAGTCTGTCTGTTATACCTGCCTGCCTTTTGACCTTACCGAATTACGCGCATTGTTCTCGCTAATGTGACGCAAACTGCGAGAGAGCGCCGCTTTTTTAATTAAGCGAACGAGAGAATGGGAGGTGGCTGAACACGTGCTCCATCAAGCGAGAACGAGATTATTTAAAAGAGCTATCGGCACGGCCGCGATTGAAATTCATTAGACAATCTTTACTCATTTAATTAAATCATTTATGCAAAATTTGTAAAATAAGATTTTGGAATATTTCACACTCAGTTAATCATTTTTTTTTTAAAAATACGTACCTATGTTATACTAAATGCAATCGTTTAAAGGGGGGGGGGGGGTGTAACGAGTATAAATTTTACTCATGGAAATTAACTTATTTTGAAAAAAGGTTGTCCTCAAGCATTTGTTTGTTTTTGTTGATGTTCTTCTATGAGGATAAATTTGTTGGTTGGCTCAATTTTTTGGTCCCTGATTTTGTGTGCAGGTCTGCAGGATGATTCTTATTGTATCTGATCTGCTCTCTATCTAGCGAGACTAATCGGCTTGGCGATGCTCTTTATGCCTCCATTTTAATTGGCCGCCTTGTCTCTGTGTGTAGACATTAGAGACGGGGGCTGTAAAAAATGATTGCTGTTGAGGCGAGTGCGGCCCATTAGAGAGACATTATTATTACCAGCATCGTCGTCATCGCGAATCTCGGCGGGATTAATTTTGTAAAAGCTTTTTCATTGGAGATTAAACGCCCCGTGATGGATGCACAAAAGCCACGAGCTGAATTAGTCTCAATTATGAGCACGTGCCGAGAGCAGATTATATTTTGCATTATTTGCGGAGGTGAAAAAAGATAATGCAAACTCGCATACCACGACCGTTGCATTAGTGGTCGCATTAAAATAGTTACGGCTAAATGAGGACAAGCAATTAAAATGCTACTCTCTCGATTTGCAAGCCAATTAAATTTAATCATGAAGCTTTTACTGGTCAAAATATTAATCTTATTTCATATAATTTGCTTCAACATCACAAATATTTTGATACAGAGTGTAATTTTATATAGATTTTAAAAATTGTAAATATGCAATATTTTGTATTAGGTTGGCTCACAATTTATAATTTCAATTTATTTTATTTTCTTCAATAATTAAATGCATCTCAGTTTTCAATCATTTTTAACAATTTGATGAACCAAAAGCTAAAATATTTTTAATCTTCCACCAACTAGATAGTTCAAGGTTACATAATACTTATATAATAATAAGCCATTTTTATTGATTTGGGCTTCACTTGGAATTATTATTGCTATCGAGTTTATAAGTTTGCAAATTCAATGAGAAAAGAGTTTGTGTTTCAACTGGTCGTGCACGGTACACTTAACAGCATGCCCGTCGTTACGGGGAACTTTACTTAAGGCCATCTACAATCAAAGGTCGGCGATAAGTAGCGCGGCTCTTTTACAGGCCATAATCTAAATAGGCAGGAAAGGTTCTTTCCCGCCGGCCTTGACTTCTTCCGTGTTTATTTTCCTAATAAAAAGAGCAGCAATAAAATACATCCAGAGGATTCAGAAATGAACTTTTTGTTCTATAAATTTTCTTCTCAGATATAATCCGATTTCCCGCGTCCAGTGGCTACATCCGAAGTTTTAATTTATTCTAATGGAGATCAAGTTGTTGTGGGGGCGCGTAATGTAGCGGAAATTAGGCAGTGCGAGGCGCCATTTTGGAGACATTTTGGGGTGGACTGCTCTGGGTGGGTGTACTTGGCGGGCGCGGGCGGGCGGGTGGAGAGTAAGACAATGCACAGCCCAAAGGACAATGGGAAGTGGGCGATTTTTCGTCGGCTGTTGTGCCAGGGGATGGTGCGTGCATGCACACATATACAGCCGTCAAGGAGCACCTAGTCATTTCATCACGGTGTTGCGCCCAACTCGCCGACTCCATAAATAATTTTGATACTAAATTGTTTGTTGCGAATAGTTTGTCTAAATTGAGCAAATTGAAGTTGCCTTGTAAAGAAGCAGAGTTTGTTAATTTTGATGCATTTATTATTTTTTTCATGATTTTAAAATTTTGATTTATCCTAGAAGAGATGCCATTTGTACTTAAAGTGGGTAATCAAACAATAAATATTTCACCAAGTAGAATTTAAATTAGATGAGGATATAAAAATCAATATATTTATGTGAATTATACATCAAGTTTTAAATCTTCATTTACAGAATATTTAAATAAATTTGAAGCAATTAAATAGCTTTTAATATTAACTAAAGTTACAAATGAAGTCTTTGTCATCAAGATTAATCTGCTCTTCTTCTCTTACTTAATTGGTTGAAGTTTTTCCATTCCACGAAATTTAATTTGATAGGAGATTGTCTAGTGGAACTTAATTTGAAACAAAGTCCACATAATTTTGATGTGCATCATAGAAATAATAACTCATATATTAACCTATAAATTATAAAAGGAGAAAAAATGATGGAATGAAATTTTTAACAAACGAAGATATCATTTTGCAAGAGTTTTTCTGAAAGTTGAGGTTGAAGTTTGAGCAGGTTCGGGCAGGTTTTTGGGTCAGCAGGACAAGCCGTTTGAGAGCAATCAAGTTGATTTGCGTCAGCCAAAGTGCCGCAACCGCGACAGTATTATTGTGGGCCGCGGAGGAGTGCGAGCTGGTGCCTGGTATGTAGGGTAGGGGCACCCCCTTCAGCTCTTAGCGCCACTATGCTCTCTTTCGCGAGCGTGGCGCCGCCGTCCGTTTGTCCGATCAATAGAAGCCGCTCTCACATGTGAGTCGGTTGGTCGCTCGGGGTGTGCGCGAGGGAGGGCGTCAAAAATTCCGACGACCCCGCGGTGCCCAAATAAAACAACTCCTCGAAATAAATTACACCCAACAGCCAGTCCGGAGCTTTAAAATCGGCCGCTTTTATGCTAATCTCTCGAATTCTCCTGTTCTTTCTTTTGGGACAGCATTCCGCGTTCTCGTGCATGCGTGCCCAACGTGTGTGGCGGTGCACGCTTTCGCAAAGCCAGAGAGAGAAGGGAGAAGGCGTGCCAAATCTCTTCATTTGATCCGCTTGGGAATATTTCGCAGAGGCGAGAAATCTCTCGCGAATTTCGGACGGCTGAGTGAGGAATATAAATGGAGTTTTATATAAAAGCTAATCTGATTAGCATTTTAAAAGATTTAACATTTATTTTATCTAGTTGGAATTTAATCGTTTCTAATAAAATTTAACAACTGAAAAGAAAGTTCTGGGTGAGATTAGAGTCTAATCGAAACACAAGAAGCACAATTTCGTTAATATTTAATTTACAATATAAACATTTATAAACAATTCAGTATTTTGTACAACGATATAACTCTGTTAAAAAATTGTAACTGAGTTAAACCTATTAGTTGAAAAAAAAATGAAAAACAAACTGATTCTAAAAGCCTTGAGAATTTCTGGAAAAACCACAGTTTGAAGATGTTGACTGACTTTATACAGCTCAATGCTTTTCTACAATTTCAGTTTTAATTTTTCAAATTCCTCCCCTAGATAATCAGCGGCATTGACACAAGAAACCAGCAGACCGCAGTTAACCTTTAGTTTTCAATTCAAGATAAAATCCACCTTCAATTTAACACTGCATTATTTTAACAAATTCAAACACGGAATGCGAAATCGTCTTAGTAGGAACATGAAACGCACGCCATCTCAATTTTACTCTGTCAGTTAACAAAAAGATGCAAAGAAGCTGGATTACCTTTTGACCAATTTTTCCGCTCGCAGAAATCTTCACAAACTCGCAAAATTCTCAAGAGCTTCTCGCAAGAGAGATGAATGTAGCGCATTCTGCGGTAGAGAGGCGCAATTAATTAAAATGCACGTATAACGTCGGTCGGCTCAAAGCGAAAACGCCTTTGAGGAAATCCGTCCGCTGGTGGCGAGCCGCGGCAAACACGACTCACAAGAGCCCCCGCGTAAATATTTGCGGGCAAAATGGATTTTGGCGAAAGGGGGTCCGCTTGAAGGGGGCCGGTATCATACGGGCCTAATCGGTCTAATTGAACCAATTAAGTGGCACGATCTGCGTCTAGTAGACCCGAAAATTCATAATGAATTGAAAAGGGCCGACGCTGCTCTACCCCTTTACGGTCACTATGGTCAGTCAGCCGTGCCGAGAGTTAGTGAAGGGACTTCTTGCTGATGCTGGTACGTGCTGAAAGACACTGGCACAATTTATCTCTCCTGCTCACACTTTTAATTTAAGCTTGAATTATGGAGGCATTTTGCCTCTGATACTCAAGTTGTATGAATTTCATTTGTGATGATTGGAAATATCACCTGAATTAAAAAGTAGATTTGAAAATAAAAATTATATAGTTTTTCATAATAATTAATTTTCCACAATATGTGCTTAAAATACTTGTAAATGTTTCAAATATTCAAAAATTAAATATTTTTAAATTAAATAAATAATAAACGTAAACAGCGAGTGCAAATTTAGTTCCCTACACTAGTTTTCTTTTTTTTAACAAATTTAAATAACATGGATTTATAATTTGTCTCTTGCAAACTTTAAACCTACAAAAATTACACAAAACTAAACAAACAAACAAACATCAAGTTTCTAGCCATTTGAAAAAAAAACTATTGCTTCGAGTGAGTTGGATCAATTATCTCCGCGGTAGGAAGATGCGCAAATTATCCTACTTCATTAAGACCCATTTCAGGTAGAGCAGCAAAGTTGGGGAAATAAATCAGCATCTTTCACACGCATATACAAGAGTCGATATTGTGGAATTTGCATTTGTAATGAGCCGGCTTGTTGTTTGCATTCGCGACAGGGAAAAGCTTTCCTTCTTCCCTTGAGACTATTGATTCGCGAATTGTTGAGCAAAAGCACCTTTTGTTTCTCTCTCTCTCTTATTAAAGTCGACGTGTCCGGGCGTTCTATTGCACGCATGGAAAGTCCGAATAAAAAAATAAAACGGGTGATTCGCGTGATCCGCGGCCCTTTCAGCCAGTCTGCGGAAATCTAGGCGCGGCCGAGAATTAAAATAATAACACGTTCCGACCGCAACACACAACGGCCTACAATTCCACGTGTGCAGTACGCGTGCAACTCCAACGATTAGCGCGACGGATAATTTGTAGGGAGGCGATTAGGGCAGTTTCACGGCTTTCGACAAACGGGCAACTCGAGTTGCATGCTTTTCGGACATGTTTTACAGCCAGGCCTAACTACGAGAAAAAGGCCTTTATCTATAAAGAAATCTACGGACGTGTTTCATTTGGCCCCAAGATAGGCAATAAATTTTCGTGTTTGTTTCGTAAATTTCAAATCTGATTCTGAAACGCTCAGATTATTTCACCAGCGTTAAAGCACATATTTTGCTAAAAAGAATTTAAATAGTTAAGAAATGAAATATTTAGCGTAATTATAATTGTATTTAAAATATTCAACATTTTTTTTATTTTTACAAATAACATTTGAATTTATCATTTTATCAAGATCTTATGCTTTTAAAATCTCTTTTGATTTGTTGTGGATTAAAAAATGTTCAATAATTTGCATTGTTGGAGGCTGATTTGTAATATTCTTAAAATCAACCATCAAATAAACAAAAACAAATTTCCATTGTTGCTGGAATTCAAACACAATAACGGTCAGCCGAATTTCAAATTTTGGTTCATTTGGCTTCAAACTTTGCTTGAGACGCGATGACCAAGTGCGTTCGCTGCGTTCACCAGGTCTGCACGAGGGTCATGTCGATGTCTGCGAAGACTACGTGCCCCGCCGGCCGGTGCTCCATTCCCCGAGCGGCCAAGACCGCCGACGCCGGCCCAGGAGACTCGTCCGACCGCAAGGCTCCCGGCCCGAAGAACGCCACCCTGCTCGCACCGTCGGCCGCTATTACCCTCACGTACTTCCAACTTGCTCGTTGAATTCGTACCGCTCGCCATGATTGGCATTAAAAGTTGATCATTTCTTATCTGATTGAATATTACTGTGTTTCGTCTTTATTTAAAAAATACCACTCCGATAATTTTGATCTTTAAAGTTCTGAAGGTGGATATAATTCAAAATTCCAGGATGGATATCCAAATAGTGATGAAAAATTCACAACCTTGCAAGAAGGGTTTCAAGTGACAAGTTAATTCTGCGATTTCACTTCACAAAGTTATATGAATTCTGTCAAAGCTTTTATAAATTTTCGTGATAAATATATCATATATGTTTAAAAAGTTTTTGGAGTAAATATCAATCAGATTTAACTTTTTTATCATAATTTACAGATTTTCACATTCCGGCAAAAAAATTCATTGGTTTTGAAATAAATGACATCTAAAATTCGCTCTCTGAATCGGTTGCGCGCCCTCGAATCTGATTGTATAGAAAATTGAAGATCTCAATCGACAAGTGTGTTGGTGATTTCAGTCAAAGTTGCGTGTGTGTTTTGAAGTGTGAGATGGTCAAGTAAGTCACATAGAGTGGAGACAGACAGAGGACACCAGGTGTTTCTGAGCACAACACTCTACCATAACAACAGCCTGGACCTCCCCGGCCGGGCTTGGACTGCCGGAATGTATTTTTTTTTTATATATTATCAAAAAAGTGATTTTCAAAAATTTAAAACTGAGCATGCACGATGAATCGGAAGCTGCGCAAAATCGTGGCGGTGGAATTATGTACAGCGAAAAGCGAATCGTAAAGCTTTTGTTTTTAATCGTCCGGTCGGCGAGGGAGAGGTCCAGAGGCGCAATTCTAAAAAGGAAACAAAAGTAGTGGAATTGATACTCGAAATGAACGAACGGCCATTTAATCAAAAAAGAGAAAGAAAGAAAGAAAGAAACGCTGCGGCTCTATGAGAGAGGAAGGTAGAAAAGTGGTGGGGGGTGTACTCACCGGGTCGGCGCCCTCCTCCTGACCTATGACCCCGTTCGGCTGGTCGGCGGCGCCGGCCAGCTCGGTCTCCTGCTGGCCACGACTCAAGCCGCCTCCGATGTCGGCCTGCGCCGTCGAGGTGCTGCCCCCGGCGCTGCCCCCCGCGTGGTTCGCCATGGAGGCGGCGCCGTTCTGCGGCTTGGTCGCGTCCAGCAGCACCTTCAGCGAGGCGATCGCGTGCAGCTGCGTCGCCTTCTCGTCCACCTTTCCTGGAACAAATAGGTCTACTGTACGGGTGAGTCGGTTCGGCCGATTCAGCGCGCAGTATGGCGGAGCTGCATGCACACATACTGCTGTCGGTCTGATCAACAACATAGTTTTTTTTTTAATCTCCGGCTACTGTTTAGAGTCATTCGGCCCGAGGACATTTACATTTTCCATCTAGAGACGCACGGCCAAGCAGACCTAAATCGCCGCCGCTGCCGATCCAAGGGCATTTTTTCATAAGATTTTTGTTCAAATTAGGAAAGAACTAACTTGATTGAAAAGCAAACATTCTCTCAGTTCTTAGCTGGACGTTTGAGAGTGAATTTTAATTTAAATAATGCTGTCTACTGACAACAAGGAAAATAGTTCAAGTATATATTTTTAAATTAAATTTATTGCTCAAATGCTTTTTTTTACGTAAAATTCTTTCAAGATGAAATAATGTTACTAAATTTTCATTGAATAAAAAATTATACTAAAATAATAAATATTTTAAATAATTATGAAATTCGTGTACTTTTCAAATTTTGTTTTGATTATTAACAATTTGTAGAAAAGTAAATGTTTTGAGTAATACAATAAGCAAATTTTGTTGTAGAATTCACGATCGAGGGTTGATTCATGGTAATTTGAATTTAAGAAATTGAGGTAAATCAAAATAAAAATTTTATTTACGGACATCTAAATGCATCGGCAATTGTAATAGATTAGATTCCACTTTCAGTGTCACGAGAACAAAAGTTTTCGTCTACTGTCACGGGAGTTGAAAAGTTATTTTATGTGCCCAATGAGAACGGCAGCGGCGCGACAGCTTCTAACAGACGAGTCAGTCAATTTCCTGCGGACGAGCTTCTGTTCTATGGAAACACCAGGTATACGGGATGCAATGCAGAGAAGAAGTAGTACTTTTTAAGTAGCAGGTGTTGCTTGCTTGCTTTTTAACTGCGCTAAGAGAGAATTATGAATGTTACACAAAAAGCACAAGAAAAGCAGTTGAAAAATTAATTAAATTCGGTTCGCGGCACATTTCGCCCTGTGGTGAACATTTTTTTCTTGTTAAATCAAAACGAGCGAAGTGACATCGGTTCGTGATGTGCGGGGTGAAACAAAACAGCAATCACAAAAGCATTATCTGCATTCGCTGCGAAATGATCCCGCACACGGCGGCGGCGGGACAAATATTACAAAGGTCGGAGTGACGTAATTTAATAATCACGTTTAAGCAGATATGAAGCTGTGTTGTTATTTTTGTTGCAACAAAAGCGTCACCATTGTTATTCTTCTCTAAAAATAATAAATTCGAGCAAAGCTGGCTTTGGACCGAAATTAATGAGGCTCAGCACCGGATGTACTGCACTGGAAAAACATATCAAAACGGGAAGTGAAAAATTTATGCCCAGGAAACGCAGTTATTCCAATTGAAACCCGAATAAGGTGGATTTAACAATTTTGTAGCACTAGTAACTTTCATATTTGTAATTTTTTTATTTAATTTGCCATTTTATTAACTTGGAAATAGAAAGGATGGTAATTCAAAACATTTATTTGCAATTACAATTAAGTATTAAAATTTTAATTTTAGAACAAAAATAAGATCCTTAAATTTGCTCAAGATTCTAAAATAAATAAAAATTCAGCGGAAAAAGATTTTGTTTCAATTTTCATTATTTTTCCACTATTTTTATTGTGTGCGAAAAGAGTAATCAAAAAGCAGCGGACGGTGGCATTATTTTTCCACTCGGGCTACTCAATATTACTTTTGTCATCAAAAGTTCATCAGGTCTGATGTAGCTTCATCTCTCTCTCGCTCGCAAGTCAGTCGGTGTGACCTAATTCAAGCTAGAAAATGTATCCACCCGTCGTTCACTCTTTCACTCACGTTATGCGCGTGTTTTTTTTCCATGCTAAAGTCACACATCATGTGCATCTAGGGTGTAGTTTGAGCTGCGCTTTTTCTCTCCAGAGTACCACCGAGACAGCGACATTGTGCCGCTCTTTACGACAACCATTTGCATTCTATCACAAAAGAAAAGTGCTCAAGTTATGTAAATATATGATCGAGTGACAGCACTTCTCAAATTTGACAGCCCATTCTCTTAAATAGAGAGCCAGTTTAATAGAATCGATCTTGGTCGTTGGAAAAAACTTAAAAGCATTATTGATTATTTGTTAGTTTTTGTTATTAAACATATGCTGCGGTCATTGTTTTATAGAATTTGAATTAATTTGTCAGTATGTATGATTGATTTAATTTTACTTGCAAAAAATTAATTATTATTTATTAATTATAACATTGAGCTTATTTTAATTCTAACAAATTTTTTTTAATATTCATTCCTTTGACTAAAATAAATAAATAAGAAGGATAACAAAATCAAAGATGTGCTCTTTGGAAGTTTTAAATAAATATGCTTGCAAAAGCATTAGCACAAATACATAGCGAATCATTTTGAATGGACTAATCTGGGTCCATTACCGCGATGTGTTTGTTTTTTGCGGGTGCACTACTTGACAGAGGAAAGAGAGTGGTCCGCAATTTGGCAAAATAATCAAGCTGAAACGCTCGCACTCGCTCGCGCACTTAATCCCGCGGCGGGTAATATCGCCTCCATTTTTGTGCCGAGTTTTTTTTAGCGCGCAAACTTTTTAATCAGGGCTCGCTTACCAAGTTGTAAATCACGATGAGCAGTCGGCAGCCTCGGCAAATAAAAGCACGCCGAGAGTTGCGAGAGAGCAAAACTAAACAACATTCATCGAGGCCGCCCTCGGAAGAAAGGAAAAGAAGTTGGCCCAACTCTCTCTCACTGCGAAAAGCAATACTAAAAAGTACACTGAAACGATTTTATATATGAGCAGCTACAAGCAAACTTTGCGTCTTTCGTTCTTTTGGAGGATTTCCCGCTAGCGAAATTTCTCTAAACCTATATTACTGTTTGCAGGATATTGAAATGAATTGCTCAAGTACACAAAAAGTTGCGGAAATATTATTGGAATCCGAGCGAGTTCAAATGCCAAGTTATAAAAAAAAAGAGTGGATATTATTTTTCCTGGCCCGTAAGAGTTGCCTTATTAGGTCCAAGACAGCGATGACGCAATAGGAAGTTTGTTTCTAACTTTGCATGCCACGATTGCAGCACTTTCTGAAGTTAAATATGGTGATTCCGGTAAAAGAGATATCAACCTTTTCATATTATAATTTTATTTAATCACTTCAATCTCGATGGAGGCAAGATTCTTAAATTTTTTCATTCAAGTTTGTTATTGCATTGAATTATTTTTAGTCAATAAAAATTCACATCTGATCACAAAAGGAAGTTAAAAATTATTGAAAATTATTTTTACAGGTAAGAATTTTGAATTATTATTATTTTTTTTTTTTTGCAATTTTGGCATTTATTTTATAAAATTGATTTACAATTTTCTGCTTTTAAAAGAGGCAGACCTGGGTCTAGCAACACCCAAAAAATGTAAAAAAATATTTTTGATCCCAAAAATGCATTTTTACTCCCTTTAAAATAACGATTTTGTAGTTGAATTCATTTTTTGTAAGAGCCGCTATCGCGGATTGAGTGATAAATCAAATTTGTGTCCATCAATCACCAAAATTCACCATCGGTCTATAATGAAATATATTCCCGGACACATGTGTCAAAAAAATTCTTGGTCCGTGGACCACGGATCGATCAGAGAACGTTTCCCAGGCAGGATAATCCGCCCCGGCTGACACACTTGGCCATTTGGCAGATCCGCTTTTGTTTTATTTTGCGAGCGAGAGAGAATAAGAGCGACGGACGGGTCGAATTGCGATAGTGTCAGAAATGCCTAGTTGGCCCTCTTCGTGCGCCCCCCGTCATAAAACCGAATTGGGACGCGCGGAAAAGACCCATTGTTTCGGAAATCGAGAGGGAAGAAAAACGCCGAGATCAATCCGGAAGCAAAAAGCGGCTCGGGTTTTGGCGGGAAAGAAAGGGGAACATCAATTGCAGGGAACCGCAAAAACTGGTCCCTGACCGAAATGCTAAACACCAAAGGCGAAAGTGAAGCTGCAAAATTTATAACACAAAAACACACAGCCAGATGCATCAGCTCGGCGCTTCTATATTTTTTAATTTTCCGAGCACGTCCGCTAGCATTTTCAGGCAGATATGTATGCGAGTGCGAATTTTTGCACTCGCTTGTGAAATAATCTTGGTCGTCCGCAGACGTGACGATTTTCCTGATCTTGCCGGTGGAGCAAAAAAAAAAGGAAATTTTGCAATGCTAGGGGCAGTGACAGAGAAACAATCAAGAGTACATAAATTGACTTGATGGATGCTGTGATAAGAAAAAGAGTACAGTGGAGGTGAAATATATTTTTAGTGACGATTTTCACCATGCAGTGCATTTTGAAAATTGTATGTGTTTACAAAATATTAGTGATTGTGGCTAAAAATTAGAAAGTTCTTGTGAAGCCTGTAATTAGGTTACTTATTTCAAAAGACCCTGATTATTTTGAATCAAAAGTTTTCTAATTTCATTATTTTCCTAAACTACATACGACTTCTCTTACAGAAAAACATGATTTGAATTTCGATATTCCAGAGTTTTTTCTTTCTTAAAAATAAGTTAATTTTGTACTAAAATATTCAAAATACTATATTTTTTAATAAAAAATTTTGTGTAAAATAATAAATTAAGTTATCAAAGAGAGTCAAAACTGAGTCAGTCGTTTTTGGACACAATGGCGCGCGGGGCCTTTGATGAAGAGCAAGGCCGTTGCCGAATTGGGTGATATTTGAAAACAAAAGGAAAGTTGGCCGAGTCGGTTTCTTCTCTCAGTGGAGTGCGGCGGCGGCGGCGAATTTCGCCTCAAAACAAAGCCACGTGTCTGACAATGGCGAGTGGGTGCGTGTATTTGTGTGTGTGTGTCTCGTCGTCGGAAAAGTGGTTGGTTGCTCGGGGCCATGTGCGTCTAACTAACCAGCAAGTGTAGTAGTAGTAGTGCAGGGTCGCCCCGGAGATTTCGGCAGCAGGGGTCGATAATAAAATATACACGCGCACAGGCACAGCTATATATTCATTTTCCGGGAAACAAGGCGAGAGATTTGGAGGAAAATGAGGCCCCAACTGCTGGATCGCGCAGCCTACGTGCGAGGAATGCAAACTTTTTTCCAGCTCGGCGTTTGCGTCACGAGTGTGTGTGATAAGGGAAAGAGAGAGTGCCAATTTTCGATATCCGATGCCGCCGGGAACACTGGGTGGCTGATGATGGGCTGGATTACGATTTGCTGGTCGTGCTTTGCGACTATATAGGGTGCATTTATTTACAGTGTGCTGCGTGACAAGTGCAAATTGTGGCAAAATTTATAAAAAAATAAAAAAATGATGATCATGAGTTTTTAATGAGTTGAGAGTGGTTCGACGCAGTTCGACGTTTACTTGATGGATCTTTGCTGGCCTTCAAATGCATTTTTTCCATTTATTTTTTTTTATTACTTTAATTTAGCTACAATTTATTTTTAAATTTTTTAACTTTTTAATTGTTTAATCCGTTGTGGAATTTAAAATTCTTAGAAAAATTCTCATCAAAAGCATTTTTAGAAACGAACGACAGTATAAAGAAGCACATCAATGAAAAATAAATTAATACATACATAATTACAACGTTTTATGACAATTAATGTTTTGAACTTACAAGAAGTTTTAAATTTTTTAATATGAATAATTTCCAAGATTAATAAAAGTTAAAAAAATTGAGCTATCCGAGTCGTCAAAGTCCACCGCACAATAGGCTTTGAACTTGTTTGAGTTTCATTCTATTTGCTCAGGTTGGCCAACTGGCAATCTGCCTTTTTTGTGCTCGTTGATATCCACTTTAAATATTATGCCAGTATGGAAATTTTGCTAATTAAGCAGCCGAGTTGAAAGGGACCGCGAAAGCAGGTCAAAAACCAACTTGTGCGCGTCGTTTGTTCCCAGCGGCAAGAAGAAAGGGAACGTGAAACCTCTCACTTTCGCCCACACACACAGCCCAGCACTTTCATTTTTCTTTTTTGCTTTTGTTTCGCTGTGCAAATACGTACGTATACGAAGAAATAACGGGGGAAAAGAAATGTTTGCCCGAATTAAAAGGAGCAGCGTTCGTTTGTGTGTGTATTGAATTACACGCACACGTGTGTGCTTATTTGCTGGAGCAATAAATGCGCGAGAGAGGCCTATTGATCGCCCTTTACCCACGGGTCCTCTGCCACAAGAGAAATCGTCCTTTTCACTCTGTTCGCAATTTTTTTTGTGTGCCCTACATTCCAAAGAATGAAAGAGGAATAAACGCAGATAATCAGTCAACAAAGATGCAAGATAAACTTGATCCGGCGCAATAACGACTTTTCGTCCCGGAAAAGAAGTAAAAATATAAAGAAAAAGTCGACTTGGGAAATGGCGAGAGACCGATTTCATACTTCTTCTTTTGTCCGACGGGAATGTGGAAAAGAAAGGGATGATTTATTACGGCCGAATTCCTTTTCTTCGACGGAGCAAATTGTGCAAGTATTGAAAAGGGGGATTTATTTATTTCCCATCTACCGGCCACTTGCGCGATGACCCCGTTTCGCTCACAAAGAAAAATGATAATAATTGTTTGACGGCGAGCGAGAGCGACGGCTCGAGAGGGCGATGAGGGTGCAATTTATTGTCAGCCCAGGGCACGCGAGCCGATAATTAACACGATTCACCGACGGCACTGCGGCTCTCCGAGAGTGCAACGTGCCAAACTCTGTGGCATGCAACGCCCGAGATCCCAATAAAATTTACATCCGCCTCAGGCACAAGAGTGGAAATAGATTTGAAAGGGCTGTTAATCGTGATCAAAAATGTCACTTTTATTGATACCATTCAAAAGGTCAATCCAGAATAGTTTTTCTTCAGACAAAAAAGTTTACCTGATTTATTTTTTAAAAATAAATTTGTATTGAAACATCCTAAAGGAAGAAAAAAATGTTATTAAAACTTGATATATTTGATAGTTTCCAGTGAATTGAATGAACTGAAAGTGAAAATATTTTTATGAATTATTTTTATACTACCAAACTTTTCAATTATAAATTTGACATTTTAGAGTTAGTTTCTAAAATTTCAAATATCAATTTCCAAAACCATCGCATTTAGTTATTTTACAGATCATCGTTTCTTTTCGGACACAGAAAGTGATTATGTCAGGAAATCCACTCAGATCGCACCGTATTCTTCACACTCGATCAGTTTTCGATTATGAGATAAAGCGTCAGGAGCGTATATATTTGGACTAGTCCATCACTCAACGAGAAGAATGTTATCTGGGAAAGAACGTCTGACTGCCGGCGAGTTCTCAAAGGAAGAGAAATTGGGTTGATCAGCTTATTTGGCGTGTTCGCTCAAGCTGCACATTAAAGGAGTGCTCGACTGAGCAAATTGCAGCAAAGTGTATGTGTTTGAGAATGAGAAGAGAAAAGGAAAAAAAAGCAGTGTGGACGATAATCCTAAGCGTACGAAGCGGATGATAATAACATAAGTGTATGAGAATATAGTATAGTGTGGCTTGTTTCCATCAAACATCTATTTTCGAGCAACGAGCTCCGCCGACTCTCGCTCGAAACGGCAAAGTTAGACTAGCCCGGTCGTCACTAGAGCCAAGCCAGTTGCATAAATTCGTTTACATTTTGATACAATAAAATTATGTATTTTGTTGAATTTGAAAGGGAAAAAACATTCTGTGAAGTAAAATTATGAAAATAGTTATAAAAAAGTTGAGAATTGAAACTTTCTATTCAGGCCTAAAATTTTAATAATTAATCATTCCACATCATTTTAGGGGTGAATATTTAGATGATGAAATTTAGAATGTTGAAACCGATTGTTTTAGAAAATCAATGATAAATGTAATTTTTTTCCATCTCCATTGTTACAACCACCTGGATAACAATTAGTTTTCAACTTAGAATCTCCTTATTTTGCCAATAAACAGAATGTTTTTTTTTTTAAATATAAAATGCATCAATTATTAAAATAAATTATACTCATTTTCAGTTTATCGTTATTTTCAAAATCGAGAGTCAGACGAGCCTTTTTATGTGACGTATAAGCTGTAATTAGGTGTCACTATATAATGTCAAAGGACCCATTTTCTGTCTCGGTTCGATCCGACCTCGAACAGAAACACAAAACCGGCCCTTTAATTTTTGTCCACAGTACTAAGTTGTTGAGCTTCACTGCTTTGGTGGTTTTCGTACATGTTTGATTACAGATTAAGCCTGCATTGATCTCAGCATCCTCCAAGTGACCTGGTGGCTAAGGGGCTGGGGCCGCGCCGCTCGTCCGCCCCCGAGGGGGCCGGACGGCGACGGGCGTGACTCGGGGGAGCTAACCTACCGTCATGCAGCGGGTCGATGGTGTGGATCATGAGCTGGAGCAGGCCGTGCCGGAACTTAGTGCCCGAGTGCAAGATGGGTGCCCCAACGTGATGGTGGGTGGTGTGTTGGTGAGCGGGCATGTGGGCCCCACTCGGCGCACCTCCGCTCAACGAGCCGCCTCCGACGCTCGTTTGACTCGACGTCGCTGCATTCGCGTGCTGAAACACACAACAAATTCAAAATTAAATTACATTTTTACTAAGGACATTTTATTCAATCAATATCAACAACTTTCACATAGTGCAAGCCATGTAATTTTGTAAGATTTTAACAAATTTAATTGGGACTGAAATTTGTGTTTTGTTTTTTTATATTTTTAATGCAAATCGGCATCATAAAGTTTTGATTTTTTTATTGCTGCAATAACAAATAAATTTAATATATATTTAGGTTTTAAGTTGATAAATTTAATATAATTATATTGTTATCAATAATTCAAGTTTATTTAGTTTAATCTGGATTTTATTTTTAACATTTCGCTCAAAATACGTGATGTTCACCCCCATTTAAGCCGGAGCCAAGCAATGGATCGAGGCAAATAATTCAAGATGAAAGCGTCCTTTATCAGTCAAGTGTCTCTGTTCCCATTGTCGGAAGACTGACGTAAAACAATTCTACTCCACTCAAGTCCCATCCGATTGATCGCCCCGAGTGCAGAAAGTGCAGTTTGCCTCTGCAAATACCGTGCGAGCGACGAGACGCCCCGAGCAGGTGAGGGAAGGGTTAAAGCCGATATCCGCAGACGTGCCGCCACACATGCAGTCATTCTTATCTGGGCCACCCCGAGATTTAACACCAGCGTTACACCTCGCAAATAATAAAGAACTAGCAAGTAAGTTATCCCTTCCTGCCGAGATAAATTATAAATCTTTGCCCAGCGGAGGTAAAAAGATTGCTATCCCCCTCGCGTTACGTCACAAATATTATATTATGCATTCTTGGTCGTCGGGAAACCAAAGGAGGGAGCGGCAGCTGCGCCCGACCAGCTTTTCAATTATTTATGAGCCTTTTGTTTGTTGCCCGACTTCCTTTCTTATTGTGAGAAAGAGGAATAAATATTTGGCTATACATGCTGTACTTTTCAATGGTATTTTACTGATTTTTGTTTCAAATTTTGATGTAAATCCTTTATGTTAAATTTATTTAGAAATTTTCCATGTAATTAGTTTTAAGTTAAAATTAGTTTGCATTTCAAAATGATATTTGATTTAAGCGTGAGGAAAATGGGTAAATTTTTCAGCTGAAATAGATGAAAAATAGGTAATTATTTGCAAAATTTGGTTTTGAGTGATTTTTTTTCTGAAAAGGAATGATTTTAGATTAAATTATGTGCTTACAAAAAATCGTTTAAAAAAACATATTTTGACTTTTTTACTAGTTTTAAGTAATTGTAAGTTAGTTCCTTTCCAATAAATAGGTTAAAACCCATCACCCTTTCACTTCTAGAGCTAATTAAGAGAAATATTTTCTAGTGAATTGAATTAACAAACATCAGTATAATCGTAATGAACACAAATTTTAGTTTTGATAAAAATGAGAAATTCTAAATTTGAATTTTTGATCTATAATTAAAAAATTTAATTGAATGATGGTTTGCAAATCTATAATTAAATATGATAAAAACCAAAATAAGAAATTAGAATTCTACATTTTTTGTTTTTAAAATTTAAGTCGACGATAACTATCGATTTATTATTTCCTTTTACCGAATCGCGCATGAATGGCGAACTTGATAATAGAATAATGTATCAGCTCCGCAATTGAACGATCAACGTATGTATATGTTTGCTGCAATACAATAACCTTTTCATCTGAAATGTTTGCAGCGTCGTTGTTGGCTGAACAGCAATTATTTCACGTGCGGCAATAACACAACCGATGCAAACAATGAAGTTTAATACGTAATGCTGGTTATTGCGCCCCAGGGTCTTGCAGGACACGTATAAAGTGGCGCCCCAAAAGTAAACTACCCCGGCCGGCGAATTAATGTGCGGTGGTCAAGGTCATCCCCGTCCGGGACCTGCGAAGGTGTAGTTTGTGTGAATTTATATTCATTTCCGCCGCCCCGCCCCTTTCTTATCTCTGCAAAAACCAACGCAAAGAAAAGAGTGCCATTAAAAAAGCAAGCAAGTCCTTGAAAGCAGCTTTTATACGAGAGAGACCGCCGGACCGACGGGAAAGAAAAGTAACGCTAAAAGCCATTGTTCTCGACGGCGAGCCGGTAATTTCGCCCCCGCAGGCTGCTTTTTATTTTTATGATTTGTTTCCATGGGAAAGACGAGGAGCAGGAAAGCGAAAATGTAGCAATTCTTGTTGCAATTTTTAACCCCCCATGGAGAGTAATTTTTGTGAGAAAAATGTTTCTTTTGAAAGTTTGTAATTAATTTTTTATGGAAATTTTCGTTCGAACCTTTAAACAATTTTGATAAAAATTTCAAAAGTGCTTAAAATTAAAGATTAGCAAACGTTAATTAATAATGATTTTTTTTTAAATCTTTTTCTAGTCTTCCGTATAGTTTGTCAAAAAAATTGTTTTCCAAAATTTGACTTAATTAATAAACTTGAAAATAGGTTGTTTCTAAGACATTAACTAAGATTTTGTTATTTTTAGAATTAACTGAACACCTAGAATCCTTCTGAATTGAGGTTTAAGAATTAAGTACTATGAAATTTGAGTCAGTTACAACTTATTTTTAAATGGTTCGATATTTTTTAAGGAAAGGTGACTATTTAATAAAATTTTCACCTAAAAACTTCCTATAATCTTTAAATTTTTAATCAAAATAATCATCTATTTGTCACCTGTTTTTAAACAAAATAATCCCCTAATTTTCCATACCACGAATTTTACTTTCTAGTCTGTTTAAACGTTTCGTTGATCAAAACATAGCACAGGATTGCCTGATTTTTTTAAATTAGATTAAATTAAACAATTGTGAATTACATCAAAAAAATGAATTAGTTTTAAATTTACATTCATCAAAATTATGTGGTCGTATGAGAACAAAACACGCTGCATAAAACGTTCCTCCACCGTGTCCTCCAGCACAGGCGGCACAGTAACAACAGACGGGGATGCAAAAGCGAGTCTCGTGTCGGAGATAAGCACGCGCCTGACTGAGAATTATTGCCGGCCGCCAACCGCCATTACTGGGGCACTGCAATCAACTCGTGCATGCTCAAAGGGAGCGGTTTGCACTGCATCCCGAGCCCACCAACCAACTCACCCACCCACCCACCGATCGCCATGTAATGTGCACCGGGTCGCTCGCCTTTGTGCAGTATATCGCGCGCGCATTGATTTAATTAGAATGCACCGCAGTGCCGGCGGCGTCTTGTTCGCTCCACATTTCGTCCCACGTCCCCGCCAAATATGGACTGGCTCTGGTTTGCACACACCTGTTCTGCCTAGGGAAAGTCAGTGTTATCAGACAGTGTTTTAATTTATTAATAAAATGCTTGTCTGCTCTTAGATTATTTAAATTCCCAAGGATGCATATTAATATCGAATAACTTTATTATTATTTTTTTAAATAAAGGAATTTTTTTTTATAAACATGCAAACTTATTTTATCAACCTATAAGACAATTTAATTTTTTGTAAATTATTTATTATTTTAACTTTTTGCTTTAAATTTAAAAATGTGTTTTTTTTTATTGTTTTAATAATAATTTAAATTAGATAATTACATTAAATTTTCTTTCTACATTCTTTTAACGTTGGACTCAAATATATTTAAATAGTCTATTATTCCAACCGACGCTTATGAAAGGTACTAACTATATTTATGAAAATTGATTGAAGCTAGGTCAACAACCAATTGAGGAAGTTAATATGAAAAATATTGAATTAAATTAATATTATGTTATGTTGGAAGCCTGTGAGTGTCTTGAGGAATATAATTTAAACGTTTATTTATTTAAAACCAAATGTATAGAAATTATGACTATAGAAATTGAATTTGTGTCAGAAATGTTTAGCCCATCATAAATCAACAGAAGTTGGCCTTCGATTTGTGCAAGTACATGGAGCAGAAGGAAACCATTCGAGACAGCAGTAATTACTCCGGTCTTGGGGCCAAATTGAGCGTTGAAATGGAGAGGAATGGTTCGAGAGAAGAGCTCAAGAGAAATACTGCTAATGGGGCGCAGGGTGGTTTAGCTCGGCAGGAACGATCGGACGGACGGACGGGCGATAAATTGAGCAATTCTTGCCTGCCGCTTGCGCACCTGATTGAAACAAATGACTGAAAGAGCGAAAGGTGAAAAATGTGACAAAATGCAGCGGACGCGCGAAATGCTTCGAATTTCAGCTCCGAAAAGAGGATAAAAGAGGGAAATGCTTGGAGTCGTCCAACAAGAGAAACGCAGAGGGTTTTTATATTAAAAAGAAAGAAACTGGCGGCACGATATTAACTTGTCAGCAACTGCGAATTATTATGCTCTTTTATTAAATTTTGTCCTGGAGCTCTTTCTCGCCCATTTCAAGAGTTGCTTTGATTTCACTAGGAATATAAAACAAAATGTTATTTAAATTTCGTAAACTGAGATATCGACGAAGTTGTTATTATTTAATCACAATTTTTTTTTATTAATATATATTGAATTAAATTTATAAGAGTTACCAAGTGAAGAGAATAAATTTAACACGCTTTCATTTAATTTGAAGTTAAAGATTTAAATAACATAATTTGTCTTAGTAATAATAAAAATAATAATAAATTAACATTTAAAATAACGCTGTTGTTTAAATTGAGTTATAAAAAAAATACAAGATTAATAAATAAATAAATAAATAAAAACGTTGACCTACTTCAAGGATGCTTCATCGTGCAATTATTTTCCTTGTTTACATCCTCACTATAGTGTTTGCGTCTGGGCGCGTGATTTGCATGGCTCATGAGCTCTAAATTTGCAGAGGGTGCAGCAGCTGCATTGGAATGCGCGCGCTGCCTTGTATAAATCGGAGGACTGCAGTCCTCTGTTAGTTTTCTTAGCCAAGAGTGCGTTTTTTTCTTACTGGGGAGGAAGTGCGTGTCGCCTTTGTCCCTGTGACCCAATTCGCTCGGGGCGCGTGCTGGGAAAAAGCGAGATGGGTCATTCGGTGGATGGGTAGGATAGGCCGCTCGCCAACGTTTGGAATCGGCGCCGAACGGAT